TTTGCACTGTCCCTAGCTGTTAAGGCTACAGTGCTAACCCCACATTAATTATCAGCTGCATCCTGAGCTGTCATGTTGCTGTTCCCACCTATGGTGGCTCTTCAATCTGGCTGTCCATTAGGAGAACCTGGGGAGACTCAAAAATGTAACTCTTGAGCCCCACCGAGACCTATCAAATCAGAATAGAATCTACCCAAGGATGAGGCACAAGAATATTGTAACAAGTTTCCCAGGAGATTTTCCAGCACCAAGGCTACATGGGTCCTCTGCCCAGGATGATACATCAGCTTGAGGTAAAGTCAACTAGAGACATCTGGTCTACAGCAAGCCAAATGGAAGCTCATGAAAGGAGATGAAAAGACCTTTACCACGCTTCTCCAAGGCCATCCCAGATGGAGGAGTGGGTGCGCAATAGCCAAATGACCCCACATGCTGTTCAGCTGCTCTCATGCAACCATCCACCCACCCTTCCATCCATCCATTCTATCAAACATCTGTTGAGCTCAGGCAGTGTGTACCAGACCATGTGCAATGGGTCTGTAAAAAGGAAACACCCCAGATCCTGCCTTTCAAGAGCTCATAGTTCTGTAGAGTAAGAAGCCCAGCCATTGATGGTGTTAGCCCCATGTTTTCCCAAAGGGAGAGTAAACTAATCATCCTTCTTAAACGAGCAAGCAAGGCTCAGCTCAGAGCCTTCACCAGGCAAGAAAATAGCATGGATTTTTTTTCCCCATTGATTTTTCAATGGGAGGTTATTCTAGGGTTTCATTTACAGTAATTAAATAAAATTTTCCTTTAAAATAAGCCTATTTTTAAGGTGATAAAATAAAATAAGCCTATTAATGAGCATGATAGTGTGCTATCACTATACAGTCATTGGATGGCTAAAATTAAGAAGACTGAATACCAAGTATGGATGAGGATGTGGACTAAGCAGAACTCTCAGACACTATGCATAGTAGTATAAAATGTTACATCCTCTTTGGAAAACCATTTGGCAGTTTTCTCTAATGTTAAACGTGCATATATCATACAATTCAGCAATGCTCTCTCCCTATGAGTTTAACTAAGAAGAATGGGTTAGTCATCTTTCCATTACATAACAAATGCCTGACATAGTCAACTTATAAAAAGAAAAGGTTTATTTGACTCACTTTAGAGATTTTAGTCCAGGATCCATTGTCCCCTTTTTTGGGGTGATCTGGTGATGAGACAGCACATGGCAGGGGTGTGTTGCAGAGGAAAACCACTCATCTCTAGATATAGAAGGGTTCTAGCACAACATAATAAAGACTGTATATAACAAACTTACAGCCAATATCATACTGAATGAGAAAAACATGAAAGCCTTTTCCCTAAAATGAGAAATAAGTCAGGGTTTCCACTCATATCATTTTTATTCAATCTATACTTCAAAATTTTAGCCACAGCAATCAGACAGGAAAAATAAAAGTGATATAAACAAGGAAGGAAGAAATAAGATTATCTGTTTACAGATTATATGATTCTATACTAGAAGACTCTAAAGACTCCACAAAAAGACTCTTAGAACTCATAAACAAATTCAGCAAAGGAGCAATATACAAAATCAACATACAAAAATTAGTATTTTTTCTACACATCAGTAACAAATTTGCTGAGAAAGAAATCAGAAAAACAATCTCATTCACAATATCCTCAGAAAAGGAGACCTAGAAATAGTCCTAGCCAAGGAAGTAAAAGATCTCTACAGTAAAAATTATAGAACACCAAGGAAAGAAATTGAAGATTGTTCATGGATTGGGAGAACCACACTGTTAAAATGGCCATGCTGCCAAACGTGATCTACAGATTCAATGCAATCTCCATCAAAATACCATTGTCCTTTTTTCACAGAACTAGAAAGAAACAATTCTAAAATTTTATTTGGAGCCACAAAGGACCCCAGATAGCTAAAGCAATCCTGAGCCAAAAGAGCAATGTTAGAGGCATTCCAATACCTGATTTCAAAATATACTGTGGAGCCATAATAACAAAAATAGCATGGTATTGACATAAAAACAGACACAACCAGAGGAATAGAATAGAAGACCCAGATATAAATCCATGCATTTACAGCCATCTGATTCCTGACAAAGGTGCCAAAAACATACATTGGAGAAAAGACAGCCTCTTCAACAAATGGTGCTTCAAAAGCTGAACATCTGCCTGTAGAAGATTGAAACTACATCCTATCTCTCACCCTGTATAAAAATTAACTAAACTGGATCATTTAATATAAGAACTGAAACTTTGAAACTATTAGAGGAAAAGATAGGGATAACACTTCAAGATATAGACACAGGCAACAATTTCCCAAATAGAATTACAGTAGCTCAGGAAATAAAAGCAAGAACTGACAAATGGGATTACCACTAAGTAGAAAGTTTCTGTACCAGAAAGAAAACAATTAACAAAGTGAAGAGACAATCTACAGAATGGGAAGGAGAGAATCTTTGCTAATAATTCATCTGGCTGAGGATTAAATTCCAGAATATATAAAGAACTCAAAAAAACTTAACATCCAAAGAGGAAGTAATCCAATCAAAAAATGGACAAGTGATCTGAATATCCACTTCTCAAAAGAAGAAGTACAAATGGTCAATAAACACATGAGCAAGTGCACAACATTTTAGCCATCAGGGAAATGCAAATTAAAACTACATTGAGCTTCTTTCTCATCCCAGTCATAAAGGCTGCTATAAGGAAAAAAAATTCAAATGCTGGCTGGTGAGGATATGGAGAAAAAGGAACCCTTATAGACTGTTAATAGGAATGTAAAATTGTACAGCCACTATGGAAAGCAGTATGGAGGTTCCTCAGAAAACTTCAACTAGAACTACCATATGATCCAACCATACCCAAAGGAAATGAAGGCAGCATACAGAAGAGATACCTGCATATTGCAGCATTGTTCACAATAGCCAGTTAATGGAATTGGTCCAGGTGCCTACCAACAGATGAATGGATAGATGTAGTTTATATACACAATGGAATGTTCTCCAGCCAGAAAGATTGAAATCATATCACTTGCAGAAAAAATGGACGGAACTTGGGATCATCATGTTAGACGAAATAAGTCAGACATGGAAAGACAAGTATCACATGTTTTCTCTCATATGTAGAAACTAAAAAAGCATGGTGGGGAGAGAGAGAACTTAAAAGTAAAATAGGAGCTATTAGGGAAGGGGAAGGGAGTGGGATCAGGTGGGAGGAGAGAAAGAAGTAAAAGCAAGAGAGGGAAGGTGGATATGATTAAAACACAATATATGCATTATGGAAATGTCACAGTGAAACCCATTAATATGCACAATTAATATGAGTTAATATTTGTAATGAAAAATAAGTAAATAGTTTTTTAAAAACCACTCACTTCATCATGAGCCAGGATGCAGAGAGGAAGAAGGAGGAGCCAGGGTCCCACGATCCCTTTTGAGGACATACCTACCATAACCTTAAGACCTCCCACTTAGGTACCACCTCCCAAAAGTTTAACCACCTCCCATAGCAACAACCTGGAATCCAAGTCTTTAACCCATGGATCTTTGAGGGACATTCCAGATCCCAATTGTAGCAAAAAAATGAAAACATATGTCCACATTTTAAAGACTTATACATAAATATCTATAGCAGCTTCACTAATAGTATCCAAAGCTGGAAACAGTCTAGGTGTCCATCAACAAGATGGACAAGAATCCATATTCCAGAATGCTATTCAGTTGGAGAAAAACTGTTGCTTCATGTGACATGATGATTCTGGTAAACATTATGCTGAACAAAAGAAGTCAGGCATGGAAGAATGCATTTTGGCTCCATTTCTCTGAAACTGTAGGCAAAGCTAATCCACAGAGAATATAAAGTTGATGAGTTTACAGGGTACTTTCTAGGATGATTGGCATTTTTTCTGTTGATGTGGCAGTAGTTACTCAGGTACATATCTTTGTAAAAAAAAAAAAAGTTCATCAAACTGTATGCTTGTGAGCATAATTTGTGTGTAAGTTTTCTTCAATAAATTGCTTTATTAGGTAATAACCCATATGGCAAAAATTATGAAGGTGGCATAGAGTGCCTGAAAATTTGGAAATGGTACTCCAGGACATGGTAGACAGTGGACAGCACCCTACAAGAAGTGACAATGAAATGCTGTGGCACTTCCAAGGCAAAAGGGGACAGTGTTGGGAGCTTCAGATAGTAAATGACATCTCTACTGAACCTCTGAGTGCACATAAGGCCAAAATTAACATATAAGTGAAATTGGGTTGAAATTAATATTAAGGGCTTGAGATGGGTGAGGAAGGAGAAGGGAAGAGTCCAGAAAAAGTCACATGCACCCTGAGAGGAAGGAAGAATAGGGGTGGTCCCACCACCGTGGCCTTTGTGACATCTAAAGGTCTTTCTAATCAGTGGAACCTAGACATACAGGCGCAGCACCAGCTGAGTAGCCACCAATTTGCCCCTTACTCAGACAATTTGAATGGCCGCAAAGCTCACCAGTGGGATCAGGACTGGGGTGTGGCAAGCAAGGCACCAGAGACACCACATTATAGGAAGCAAGGTCATGCAGAAAGGCTGAGCCTGCACTTCCAGGACCCCGAAGAGGAGTTCCTTGCATGCCTCACCCTAGTCCTACCCTGCTTTCTAGTTATCTGGGAGCAGATACCCCACTCATTCACAGCCAGACCTGCCTGTGTACTCCAGGCCAGGCACTGTATCAGGTACCCTGTTTGAGACAAGTCCTCAGAAAGCTAAAGGCAAGTATGAGAGCAGAAGCCCAGAGGCCTGTGGACACTTCGAGTAGAGATACTGGACCGAGATTGGAATAGAAGGTCAGAAGACTTTAGGAGCAAATGAAACCTTAGCCAAGACTTGAAGAAGGCAAGTCCATGGGAGGGTACAGGGTGGTCCTTCTAGACCTGCCTGGTCTAGGATTTGGCCACAGGGCACCAATTTTCAAAAGCCCTCCCACTCCTATGCCTTTGTAGGTTTGTGACATGGGTAAAGAAGCCCAATAGTACCCCTGTGTCCCAGATGGAGTCTATTCCAGCAACCTCAGCATCTGCCAGCTCACCAGCAGTCCCTCCTACTGTAGAGTCACCCGAGGTGGAAAATAGTGATTCCATTAGGTAAGTACAAATGCAAAACCAGCATGGACTGGTCTTTAACAGCATTCTTATCTCTAATCTGACTTTCATTCTCTATACTCATTCCTTATTCATTCAGTCATTCACTAGTCAACAGTTTAGTGAGTGCCTTCTGTGTGCTAGACCCTGGATTAGACCTCTAGAATCAGGAGCTGAGAGTTATCTCTGCTCTCAGACATCCGTTAAGTCCTGAGCCCTGGGAGACTGAGTCCTTCTATACGGCCAAGGCTTGCAGCCAGGATTGGGTCCAGGATAGCAAAAGGATATGAGACTATACCAAACATTATATCCTCATAATAAAATGCTCCAACAATTATGAAGTTGAACATTGAGTACTCAGGACACATTCATATTGTCTGAAGAATTGCTACAGCTTCCTAGGACTTTCCATAAGTCAGGCATGGGTTCCGGGCTCCAGGAAAGATAAGTTGGGGCCTAGGAAAAAACTGACCAGTTTAGTGGCTTAGCTGCATATTTGGGGACAGAGGGCAGCTAAGCACTGCTCGCTGACTTCTTGAGACCCTTGAGTGAGAACTTCCCCTTACTTTCTGGGGTGTGACAGAGGGAAAGAGGAAGACAGTAGAAGAAGATGCCAGTGACACTATGTGATGATGACTGCAAACTGAATGATTCCCTCCATTTTATTAATCTTCCCAGGACTATCATTATGGATGAAGAGATGGGGTACGAAGACCAAGAAATCAAAAAAATGACAGCATCTACTGTGATCTCAGATGTAAGGTTCCTTTGCCCTGGAGAGAGCTGACAAATAGAAGGTCTTTCCCATAAAACAAAGGCAGGACCAGGGGTCAAGCTGGGATGAGGCTTTGTGGCTTCATCCAGATCACTCTCCAATCACACTCCAGAGCCAACACCCCACGGCAAGCCCAGGATCCCCCAGGACAGAGAGCTCTGAACTGGAAAAGCCAGTTACTTCCACACCTGAGGATCTTATGCTCTTCCTCCCCCATAGCAGAGGCTCCCAAAGGAGCAATATTCTCAATAGTTTCATAGCAAAAACAAAGGGAAGATTGAGAGATTTGAAAGATACATATACCTAGCCAGATTCAGCCTCACACACCTGTAACCCAGCAATTTAGGACACTGAGACAGGAGGACTGCAAGTTCTAGGCCAGCCTCAGCAACTTAGCAAGGCCCTAAGCAACTCGGCAAGATCCTGTTTCAAAATTTTAAAAAACAAAATATTTTTAAGGGGGTGGGGATGGGGCTCAGTGGTCAAGCACCCCTGGGTTAAAAAATATTTATATATGTATATAAGGGCTGGGCCTATAGCCCAGTGGTAGAGCACTTGCCTCACACGTTTGAGGCACTGGGTTTGAGCCTCAGCACCACATAAAAAATAAATTAATTAGTAAACAATGATATTGTGCCCATTTACAACTAAAAACATCTTTTAAATACACACACACACACACACACACACACACACACACACATACACCCTTAAATACTCCTTCTAGAATTATGGCCAAAGAAAGCCATCAGACACACAAAGATTTGCATACAAAAATTTTCACCATAGTACTTTAGAAGTAGCAAAACATTGAAAAACTTAAGACTGTGTGTCCAAGATGATATACAATCTATTAAAATAGGGCTTGTAGCATTCATGGTGAAGAGTGGCCAGGGGCAGGCATTTTCATACTTGGCCAATAGGAATTTGAACTGGCACATCCTCTACAACATGCAGCTTGGCAAGTATATCAAAATTTAAATTGTATAGTTCCTTGTCTAAAAATTTCATAGCAGAATTCATATTGTCAAAATGGTCATACTACCAACAGTGCTATACATATTTGAAGCAATTCCTATTAAAATTCCAATGATATTCTTTATAGAAATAAAAAGTCATTAAATTCATTTAAAAAAATAAGAGGCCTGGAATAGCTATTTTTTAATATTTTAAATGATCTTTGTGAAGAATATTCAGTCACACAGGAAGGTGACACTCATAATTTCAACTAAAAAAATCAGAATATAAATATATATATAGAAAGAGAGATACAGATACATACAGGATATAAACACACATGCACCTGTACTTATAGTATAACCTATTGATTGATTTTTTTTTTCCCCTTGGAGTTTTCTGTATTTTTCAAAATTTTCAGTGTGAGTATATAGAACACTTGTCTTTTAATTTTTTTTTTCTATTTTCAAAGGTGTTTGTCATAGGAAATTTAAAAATACAAAAAAAATTTAAATTCTCAAAATTCCATCATTTATGGAAAAATACTACTGAAATTTTTAGCAAACAAACTCCCAGATATCTGTTTGCATATGCAAATCTCAAAATGCCAGTGTTTTAAGAACTATGTTGAATAGAAGTGGTGTCTTGTTCATTTACACCCACTCACACCTTCAGACCCACAGGGCCTATGTAATTTTATATGAATGGAACTGATTTTCCACTCCATCATTCTTGGTCTGTAAATATACATTGTACCCTCTCCATAGAAAGAGGGACCACATACACTTTATTTAAGATGAACTTTTATTGATGGGCAGCTGGTTTGCTTCCAGAATTTTGTGATTATAAATAACACTGAAGTAAACATCAGTGTCACGTACATTGTGCACATTTTGGACATTGTCCAATTATCTCCCTGGGGAAAACATACTATTTTTATAATTATATACCACATGCTTCCTTTCTATGTCAGTGATGGGGAGGTGCATATCTATGCTCCATTATGCTTGCTTATAGATTTCCCCATATCTTTAATTTATAGGGAATAAAAAATAACTCTACTGAAACAGAAAGAAGTCAGAGTCAGGTGGAGTTTCAAGAATCCCCATGGATCTTTGAGCAGGAGGAGATGCTTACCATTGGGATAGAAGAAGTAAGTCCTACTGAAAACGGATTTTGGGATAAAACTAGTTTCTCTGCTTCTGCTGGCAGGTGGGGTCTGTGTAAGCTGCAAGTCTTTGCAGCAGAGAAAGCCCATTTTAGTACAGCTAGTCAAGGAAGGGAATGCCTGCTGATGTTAGATCTGAGGATTGCATTTGGCAAAGCTGGAGAGTGGCATGTTGCAGTTCTTAATGGTGGGCCATTCCCTCCAGTCACAGCAAACCCAGCATTCACCACCAATTTCTTCATTCTGGGTCCTTGCCTTGCAAATTCAAAGAATGAAATCCACAGGCCAGGAAGAGTAAGAGCAAAAGAGTGAGATTTATTCCCATGGGAAAAGAGACAAGAGCTCTAATAGTGGAGAGGGGACCCAATAGGAGTTGCCACTTCAGTGTGCTAGTCTAGGAGTTTTATAGCACTTGGATCAACCACGATTGGTCTAAATTTATGCTAATCAGGGCTTGGAAAAGTACCAACACTATTGGATCAAATTTATTTTAATCTCCATTTGGGTCTACCTGACTTCCATTTTCCCACACTCGTGTCAGTGGATCATGGATGCTCTGGGGCTTGGGGCCATGCATTGTGTGGACTGGCATTTGCAGTGGGCCCAGGTTGGGACAGATCAGTGCACCCTGGCTCACCACACCTCAGGCCTGCCAGCTTGGTGGGTTTCACGTGGATGCACCCACACTCCAGCCCATCCAGTCTTGCTCCAGGACAAGGACTTGGCTTTGCTACTTCCTGGGTCTCACAAGAGCACTGTTCCCACCATGACTATCATATGGGTTCAGGATGCTGCCTTAGTCACCTCTCATAGAGTCAAACAAGTGAAAAGTTGGGGATTTGTCTGTCCAGTTGGCAGGACTTTAACTTCCATTCAGGCTCATCATCCTGATCTCTGTTCTCAGGTAGTGTGACTTTCTCTGCAGGTGTTTGACATTCTGCCCCTCTATGGAGTTCTGCAGCCACATAGTCACCACCAGGTATCTTTCACCTTCTTTGGACATGCTGACATCGTTGCCCAAGCCAAAGCTCTGTGTGAAGTGGAAGGAGGGCCCACCTATGAAATAATACTGAAGGGAGAGGCTTCCCTGGTCAACTATTCCTTTGACACCAAGGATATTAACTATGGATTACAGGTACTACGATGCCCAAGGTGGAGATTTCTGGGTTTTCCTCAAACATGAACCATAGTTCTTGTCCTTGAATCTCTCCCAAACTCTTGATCGTCGTAGCTTTACCATCATCCCTGTCCTGGGTCCCTAATCTTCTTCTCTGACCCCAATCATTCTGCTCCCAACTGTGTGCCTGACATTTTCACTTACTTTTCTCACAGTCTCCTGAAACTCGGTATGCTGGACGCCTGTTGGAACCCACAAGTCTGTTCCAATCTGTTTACTACCATTTTCTCACACCCCTTGGTTTACAATCTCTAAGGCTTACAACCACCTCCACACCCCATATCCTTTCATTGTCCAGAGATTGCTACTTCATTCCCCAGGGTCCTGCTCTGAGTCCCTTTTCCTGTCCCCCTGCCACTGCAATCACTCTACAAGACCTCATCAAGCCAAGCCTAAATGACCACAGCTGCTCCTCCCTCACTGCCTTCTACATACACATCCATCAGGTTCCGATTCAGGAGGTCTGGAGGTGACCTGAGATTTGCATGACTAACAAGTTCCCGGGTGATGCCAACCCTACTGGTCTACATAGTCACTGCAAGCAAGGGGTTACTGGAACATTCTTGGCTTCTATCACTAAACTTCTATCCCACCTAAACATCTTGCCAGATAAATTTCCCTTTTATCCCCTCAGTCTCTGACCAGTTAATCTCAGCAGTATTTGGAAAATCAGTATTTGAGAAAAGAGCATGGTTTTATATCCTGTTGTTGCTTCTTCCTGACTCTGTTACCATAGGCCCTCCACCCAACCTCTCCAGGCCTCAGTATTCCTGATCTATAAGATGGGAGTGAGCTAGCAAGTGCCTGTCTCACAGGAGACTGTGGTTACACAGGTGGAGTCTGGTCAATGTGGTACATGGGTCAGAGTAGAACCTCAGCCATCGTGAGCTTCTATCTGTGTCCCCCAGTCAGTCAGGGCTTGGGTCCTGTTCCTGGGGAGGATATAGTGAGCCCCTCTACTAATGTGCTCCTTTCACAGGAGTTTCCCTGTCCATGTTCCCCTTTATAGTCCACTCATATAATTGTGGCCAAGCTGGTTTCCCCAATGGCCCCAGTGCACCCCAGCCCTTCTGGCCTCCACATCTTCCCACATATTGTACCCCCATCCTCCACTCTGAGAACCTCAAACCATGCATCCTGCAAGACCCAGCTCAGCTCCATCCCAGTTACCTTCTCTTACTTGATATTCCCTTGGCACTTAGGTATAGTCTTTGCTAGAAAATAATGTACTTTCTAATTTTTGTTTTGGGATAATTATTAGTTAATTCTGTTCTTTCCCCAATTAGATTCTGTGTTACACACTCAGAGACCATATATCTTCAACCAAATTTTAATGATTGGACCCTCATTAGCTTCTGCATGTGTAACTACTGAATTGTGTGTTTATAGATTAAACATTGTGTCTAAAATCAGATCATCTGGCACTCAGACTTACTCCATTATGTTGACCAAATAGAATTCCCTTTCCTTCTTTATCTTTGGGGTCCTCTGGGCAATTGGTTTCTGCTCATCTCCAAATGTATTCTTTGAAGCAGGTGGACCTTGTCCTAGCTTGTCCTAGGGACCCCCAAAGTGACTTCAGTTTGCAGTTATTAGGCTTACTATATCAACTGGTGAAGAACTGGCTGATCCATTATAGCCATGGTTCCCTAAATAAATGGAAAAATTTATTCCAGAATATTCTGAATTCAAATCTTACATTTTTCTTATGAGACAGAATCCAGAAGGCAAATCTTCTTTGTATAGAAAGCTTACTTCAAGATTTGCTAATTTTAGTTCATGTGATAAAGAAACTGAGGCACAGAGATTGGATGCTGAACCAAGCTATTAATGAGAAGAAGTAAGCCAGGTATCCAAAGGGTCGCAGTCCTACCCCAAGAGGCACTGTATTATGGGTTGAGCAGTGTCTATCTCAGGCAGAGTAGAGACCGGATCTGAGGCAAGTTTTGCTGATTCCCCTTCCTCAGGGTGAGGGCAGCACCCAGTGGATGGGGATGGAGGGCCACTCTTCCTTCTTCTCTCAAGCTGTTCAACTATGTCACGGAGCGTGAAATCACACTGAAGAACACTGGGAAAGTTGGCTTCGAGTTCAAGGTCCTGGCTGGCCACCAGACTTCATCGGAAAACTTTCGTCCTGGGGTACCACTGATTGTGCCTCTCTCGGTGAGCAAATGGTGGGAGGGACCCACATTCCAACCCCCTGGGCCACACCCCAGATACAGGTTAGCATTCCCTGCCAGGATTGGGGAGGGGTGACTTCTTTTTGTAAAATTAAAACTAAAGAACTCTCAGAATGAAGAAAGATAAGTAAATCCAGGTCATCTGTTTATTAAATGAGTATTTATGGAGTCCAATCCTAGCCAGTTTCCAGGTATTCAGAGGTAGCTGTGAACCAGACAGCTACAACCTATGGAACTACTACTTCGTGATAATAAAATCAACTTTATTTCCATGGAAGTCTTCACACTCCCCCCAGTAACTGCCAGGGGCTTCCTCTCCACTTACTACACCAAATAAAGGCAGTTTCTCACTAGCAGATGTGAAAACACCTGTAGACGGTAATGAGCCATGTAAGTTCTAGAATAAAAGCAAATGGGGGTGTGGTTCCTTGTCTATGTTATGTTGATCTTCCAGTGGTAAGGAACTTTGAATGTTTCACATTATGAAAATGCACAGCATTGCTATAAAAATTATAAAATATTAAACAGCATAAGTGATAAATTAACAAGCTTACAGTCCACAGATAATGAGTACTGTCATCTTGTCCTTCCCCTAAATTAGTTAGGTTATTGCTAGTCTCCCTAGTCTTCATAGATCTATTTGTCTGTTTTTATTAATATTAATTATTATATTATTTATATATTAATATTATATTATTTCAATAATTATTTCTTTAAAATAAATCTTAGGATCTGTTAGATCAACCCTATTTTCTTTTTTTTTCCAATTTATCTTACCTATTATTTTGAATTTATTCTTACATTTTGTTTCTCTAACTTCTCTTTTTGTACTGGGGATTGAACCCAGGGCGCTTAACCACTGAGCCTTTTTTATATTTTATTTAGAGATAGGGTCTCACTAGTTGCTTAGGGCCTCGCTAAGTTTCTGAGGCTGACTTTGAACTTGTGATCTTCCTGCCTCAGCCTCCTGAGCTGCTGGGATTACAGGGTGTGTGCCACCACACCAGGCTCTCTAACTTCTTAAGATGAATGGCCACTTTTCTTTCTAATTAATAGTGTAAAATGTAAGGCTATTTATTTGCCTGAGTACACCTTTAGCCTTACCCCATAAATATTAAGAAAATGACAGATTAAAAAGTAGAAGTCAATTTTGTATATTTCATACAAGTGAATATCATGATTTTCATCATTTTCTGAGTTCTCTAAAATTACAGTTTTATTTACAAGTATAATTTTAAAATATATTTTTATTTTCAAATGACTAAGATTTTTTCTTTTGTCATTTAAACTCTGATTAACATTCATATTGAGGTATTTGTATCATGGCCAGATAATATGGCTGTGTCCGTTTCTACTGAGTGAATTTATTCATGTGATTTACTGGCTAAAATGATTTTCAGTGCTTGCCAATGCTTGAAAATAATGTCTCCAAGGCTCCAGATTATTATGAAAGTCTATTAAACTGCCCAAATAATTATAGCATTCAAATCTTCTATATCTTTTTCTGTTTAGTTTTTCTTAGGAGTGGCATATAAAGCCCCGTGCATCACTCTATCTATTGTTTTCTACAATATGTAAAAATTGTGTTTTATGCATTCTCTATGTTGACACCAAGGACTTTATGACTATTGGGTGTTTGTTGTGGACTGCATAGTTTCCTATTTTAAATTGTCTTTTTGTTCTCTCTTAATGCCTTTTGCTCTGAACTCCATTTTGATCTCAGGGTCCTGATTCCAGCTTCCCTCTGCCTTACATCTATTTGATTTTGTTTTAGGTTTATCATTCTTGAAACATTTATGGTTGAATTTTATTTTTTAAACTTACCAGAATGTCTGAGGTTTTGATAGGGAGATTTGGTGAAGCCTTATCATCAGTAGACTTGAAGTAATTGGTTATTATTTTCTCTATTAGAAAAGTTTCTGTAATGATTTCTTTTTATTCTTTTTATCACAATTGCTACACTTTCCTTGCCTTTTCTCCTCTGGTTTTCTTTTTAAGCATTCACATTTATACTGCTGCTATTAGTATCAATTTATACAACTCTGTAGAGAACAATTTGGCAATATCTCTTAAAATTACTCTTCGAATCAGAAATTTTATTTCATTTCTAATTATCATACATACATTTTCCTACATTTGCACAATGTTATTTTAATGGCAATATCAAAAGACCAGAAACAAACTAAATGTCTACCAGGTGGGAACTAGTTTTAAAAATGTATTAAAACTTTGTATTGGAATAACATACAGCAGTTAAAAAGAATACAGCTGTTCTAGATGTATCAATATTCACTTTATTCTAAGATATATTCTAAAGTAAGAAGGAAAGAAAATATGAAAAACACTGTGTATTGTTTGCTATCAATCTGAATTTTAAAATTTTGTGTGTGTATGAAATCTGGATTCAGTTAACTAATATTTTATTTGCTGTTTTTTGCATCTTTGTTAATAAGTGATAAATGGCCCATAAATTACTCTTTCATACTGTGCTTGACCAGTTTGGATACAGTAAGAAGAAATGAGAAATTCTGAAATGGTTTGTAAACTAACGTGGTTATTTTTTGAAAGATCAGCAGAGCTTGTCCTAATGTCATATGTCCCTTTTTCTCCAGGAGGATTCGTGGGACTCAGCAATAAGTTGTATTCACAGCTATGATTTATTACAGCAAAAGGACACAAAGTAAAATCAGCAAAGGGAAAAGCACTTGGGGCAAAGTCCAGAGGAAACCAGGCACAAGCTACCAAGGGTCCCCTCCTGGGGGCTCCCACAGGGCACTCTGAAGTCTCCCCATGAGTTGTGACAACATTGTGAGGGCAGCCAGGGAAGCTCGTCAGGAACTCAGTGCCCTGGATTCTCCCTGGAGGTGATCACAGTAGGCATGACACCTGGCGCATACAGAATTCCAGACGCAGCTATTCAACATAAACCATATTGTTTGCAGTTTCAGCACAGTGAGTCTTATCAGGGGACTGTAAAGACGCTCCCAAAATCTCAGATGCCAGATGCCAACCCAGGGTCCACCTTGCTAGCAGGCCTTCCTAAGAACAGCAGTCCAGGGCCGCTGTGTTAACCCTTGTCTGTAGTCTGTCTCCTGCTTTTGAACTGGGTCTTCTTTTTTTATGAGTCTAAATGGGGTTTTTCCTCAGTATTCTTTTCCTCTTCTATATACCCACTTTCCTGTTGTGAAGTCAAATTCTTCTAATGAAAACAAACATTTACAGAGCTCAACAGTATATAGGACATAGAAAAATGGGGGGAGGGAGGTCTCCCCACCAGAATTCCATGACAGAACTGGTTATTTTGGAAAAATTCATTGCAAAGTGCTTGACATAAAGCTGAGACACCTCCTCACCCCAGGTCACTGAGTTCAGGAAGAATTGTTTCGTGGGAAACAACAGAATTCTGTGCATTGCCCAAGGATGGGTGAGAAGAAGAGAGAATGGGGATACAAAGATGAATCTTGGAGATACAAAACATGGCCCACTTTGCAACTTGCCTACATACTGTGTTCCCTTACATACACATATGCATACATATGCATCACACACACACAAACACAATGTTCCATAAAATCTGAGAGGGGAGAAGCACATTTTTTCCCCCAACAATTTTCTATTAAAAATGATCCTACCATGAATTTCCCCCCTGTGTCTCCTGGTCCAGAGGTGGAAGAGTTTCCCTAGGGAATTTTCTCAGAGGTGGAATTGCTGGGTCATGGCCTGTGTGTGTGTCCAACTTTATAAGATGGTGTTAGAGTGGTTTTCTCCATGCTTATCCCCATTGATCTCCCCACCACAGGTATATAAAGTAAGTTTTCTTTGATGCATATTCTCATCAAGACTTGGTAAATTTTACCAGTCTAGTTTAAGATTTTTTTTAATTCTGATTTTTGCTGGAATTTCCTTAATGAATGAGGAGGGTGAGAGTTTTTTTTTTCTTTGCTGCTTTTATTCACTCTTTGTGTTTCCTCTCCATAACACGTCTGTTCATGAGTGTTGCCTGTTTTGCTTTTGCTTTCTTGTCGATTCCTTAGGGCATTCCAGGAACAGATCTCAGGGGAAGTATGTGAGCGCAGAATAACTGGTACAGTCGGCCTCTCGGACTCTCCAGTACCTCACACCTCCAGAAACAGAAGTCTTCTTGTATGTCTGAGTGTTCCCTCTGCTCTTTCTACTACACAGGGTTTTATCAGTTCATGTAAGGAGCAGGTATTGAAGGTTTACTACTTACCTGGCATACCTGAGATCTTTGAAAGGAGCTTCCAGATACAGATCGCTCACCTGGTCCCAGAAAACATTACTCTGAATGGAGAAGGCTTCTTTCCCCGGATCTGCCTGGATCTCCCCAGGAATATTCGAGGTACTACTGCCCATTATGGTATTTCCCCCACAGTGGGGACAAAAGGTACATATCAGCTCTGCTTCCTGGAAGGTTGGTGACTGCTCGCTTTATTTGCATGACAATCCCCTCTAGTTCCTGTATTAATTGCCAAGGGAGGTCGGGGCTTGAAAGTTGAATTTGACTTGGTGACCTGAGTTTAATGAGACAAGATATAGCCTATGGTAGATCCAAACTAAGACCCCTGGACAATCTTGCCATCATTGAATTACCAGGAAATTGAAGGACCAGGAAATTTCACCTTCAAAGGCCTGGCAGTCTGGTGTGTATTCCTTCCAGCCCTGACCTCTCCCTGAATTTCCTTTCCCAGTAGCATGTGCACAGATGTCCTCTGGATTGAAGGGGGTGGCTGATGTACCTCCAGGCATAGAAACCTCAAAACATAAAGAGCACAGGAAGACAGCAGCCATGGCCCTATTTTGACAATATATGGTTTGAAGACTAAATTAGACATTATTAGTTGTTTGCCCACGTGCCTAGCCTGGGCTTTTCTGGTCATATGTGGCCCCCAGAGCTATTCTTCTGTAAGAAGACTGACACTTCACTCTGTCAGCTGAATAGTGCTTTCATCTTCCTGACACCAGATACAGGACCAAGGGACAAGAGAAGCCTCTCACTGCCGTGAGCTGTGAGAATCCACCTTCCCTGTACAGCTTCAGGCTAAGTCCTCATTCCCCAGCCTTCCTCCTACCCCAGGCCCTAAAGTCTCTAGTGCACCTGTTTATGATCATCCATTGAATTCTAAATGTCTGCTCTCTGAAAACATCAACATAAATGTTAATAAAGCTAAGACCACATTCCTCTCTAATATCTAGAGTTCCAGCTAGAGGAACATAGCTACAGCAGCATACATATGGTTATCCCTCTGTATCCAGGGGGCATTGGCTCCAGGACTCCTTTGAATGCCAAAATCCATGGTGCCTTATATAAAAAGGCATAGTAATTACTCTAAATAGGGCAAAGAGGAGGCAGGGGAACAGAGGAGGCATGAGGGTAGGAAAGACAGTGGAATAGGACGGACATTATTACCCTAAGTACATGTATGAAGACATGAATGGTGTGACTTTACTTTGTGTACAACCAGAGACATGAAAAAATTGTGCTCTATATGTGTAATATGAATTGAAATGCATTCTGCTGTCATATATAACGAATTAGAATAAATAAATTTTTTAAAGGCATAGTAATTACATATAACCCATGCACATCTTCCCATATGCTTTAAATTATCTCTAGATTTCTTTTAATTCCTAATATAGTGCACATGCCATGTAAGTGGCTATTGAACTGTGTCGTCTAAGGGATAATGACAAGAAGAAAGGGCTTTCTGTACATGTTCAGTACAGATGCAATTTTTTTTTTCAAATATTTTTGGTCCATAGTTTTTTGAATCTGCAGATGCAGAGCCTTCAAATGCAGAGGACAAACTTTAATTGTCAGGAAAGAAAGCCTTTGCCACATGGTTGAAGACTGGGCACCCAGCCATGTTTACCACAGCAGCAGACATGGTTTGACCAGTAAGGGCTTTAAAATAGTTTAAATCTGAATATGATTAGTTGTGCTACAGTTCTCTAGTCTCAGCATCTCCTGTTCTCTTACGGTAGGCACCTTAATTATTCTGCTGCCTTTGCCCTTCAGAGCATTTGAATTTGCACTGGCTTAATAGTGAATTTGGGAGCCTGCAATCTCTCCACCAGTTGCCTACCCTCCCTTATTCAGGATATTGTGACTTATTTAGATTTAGTTACAGCAACCTGACCTAAATATATTCTTCTTCTGAACTGAAGATTTAATCAACATGAAAATCGACTTAAGTGACCAGCTGTCCCAGCCCTGCAGGGGCTCCAGAGTGTAGGGGTTTCAGTGCCAGAACTGGCAAAGTTCCTCCAAATTCTTGAAAACCAGCTAGTAGCTCACCTCGTCCAGTCTCATTAAACTCAGGGAAATCAGGTACAAGTTCAACTCACTCACAGATTACCTCACCCTCTGACGTAGGGAAAAACCTGGCAGGTGCAGTCTCAGGAAGTTCACTTCCCTTATGGCTTCACCCTGAGCCAAGAGTCTGTGTTGGGGGGCATAAGTCATGTTTTTCTCAGCATCCTGATTCTCTTCCCCTTCCAATCTCCACAGGCAATGAAAAGTATGAAATCTTCTTGAACCAGGCTAGAAAAAACCTGGAAAAAGAGTTCAACAAATATGAAACTCTGGATCACTTTGAGATCATAACTGAGGAAATACCTGAGGACGAATGTGCTGAGGTGAGGCTGGCTTCCCCCTGCACAGGACATGGGAAGAAAGGAGAGTGCGTATGTCCACTGGTCCAGTGGCAAGAAGGACATGGCAGCTCCGAGAACAGAGAGAAGAAAGATAGAGCCAAGGCAAAGCGGGTGGGGAGGGAAGGTGGGATGAGCCCAGGGAGGTGAGCAGCCTCCTGGAGAACGTGGTAAGGGTTTGGACTTTATCCTGAGGGCCCCAGGAAGCCAATGAAGTGAGATGCTGGCGTAGTTGGATGTGTGTATTTAGAGGATACCTCTGGCTGCCTTGTGGAGCTCTGAAGGTGGGGCTTGAGAGGAGGAGAGCAGCTACGGGAGGCAGCTTTGAAAAAGTTGGCACTTTGAGGTAAGAAATGGTGGTGATGGGATCAGGGGTACGGAGAAACGAGTGAGTTCCAGGAATATTCCAGAATAGTCAGGGATTAGGAACTAATTGGATATGGAGTGAGGTGAGCATGACGTCCAGATATCTCATTTGGATGACAAGGTAAGGAGAGAGACGATGAGACAGGAAACACAGGTAGAGAAACATGTTTTTCTGGGATGTGGAGGGGACAATTGAGGTCAGATGGTCCATTACTGAGCATGAGATTTCTCTTCATCATCCAATAGGGAGTCGGAACCACTGCTGGGGTCCTGGGGCAGAGAAAGAGGTTGGAGAAAGTGATTTGAGAGTCATCATTGGTCATCGTCATCACAGGAAGTAGTGGAATTCCCTAGGAAATGTTCAGAATGAGCAGGGAAATTGGGTAGATTCAGAAAGGAGCCCTCCTAAAACAGACAAGTGGAATTACAAAGTGAGAGATTATATCCCATCTATGTGTGATATATCAAAGTGTATAAATGCATTCTACTGCCATGTATAACTAATTAAAACAAATTTAAAAATTTTTTTTAAAAGATTAAACCTGCAATCCAAGGGGAGCTAAATTCAAAGCCAGCCTGGGGAACTTGGCAAGACCCTGTCTCAAAATTTAAAATAGAATAAAAAAGGACTGGGAGTATAGCTCATTGGTAGAGCACCACTGGGTTGCATCTGTAATGCCACAGAAAATTGAAAGAATGCACACCAACTCCTGAGTTGGGGAGAAGGGCAGCCAGAGGTCCTGGAAAAGTCAGCAGTGCATAAGTGTCACAGAATGGGAGCCAAGACAAGAGGTGGCCTCTGAAGGAGGAAGTAGCCCAGCTTGTCAACAGAGGCTGCAAAATCCCAAAAAGTCCTCCCTCACCATCTCCTGAAATTCCTCTCCTAGTCAGGAGGGCTGCTTTCTCCCTGTCCTCGTCTTTGAAAATGTAAACACACGTGGGATTTTGGTCCATGGAAGAATTATATATGTTGTCTCAGAAGCCCTTAGACTGATTGAAAGTAATTCTAAAATACGGAAGAGGGGTGTTGTGGGGAAATTCAGGTACCCCAAAGGCCACCAGGGATGACCTGTTTTGCAGAATCCTGTTCAGTACAGGATGCCAAAAGTGAACCTTGGCACCAGGGATGATCATAATTTACAACACTTCTAGCATTTACTGAACTCTTATATGAGGCCTGTGCCACGCTGTTAACCTGCATTAGTATCTCATTCAATCCTCTCCCAGCAAAGGTGGGGGGTAGGCTACCATCATCATCTAACTTGACAGCTATCTGGAGTTCGCAGAAGTGAAGTCCCAGTCCTAAGGGAAGCTCAGAGCTAGGACTTGAATCCAGCCTACCCAGCTGCCAAGATTGGACTCTTAGCTTCTGCCCTCCCCTGCCAGACTCCTGGCTGATCCCAAGGGGCAGCAGCAGTGTCTCTCCACCTGCTAATCACCGTCCTGGCTACTCCCTACCAAAGCCCAGGACAGTTGTCTCTGGCAGTCTCTCCCATGGCGGGCTTTCTGTAAATCTGATGGCATCTGTAGAGCTACGTTAGTCCTCCTGAGCGGGGCAGGGCTGGGCTACTCCTGGCTCTTGAGCAGCACAGAGTGGACCTTGCTGTTCTAGAATCCAGACAACTGGGAACGCTGCCCTCTGTCATGCTGCTCTCCACCCTCCATCTCTGTTGTCTTGTTTTGGGTCCAGTCGCAGGTTACCCTTCCTGCTGGGCTCTTCTCAGACAGAAGTTATCAACCTTTATCACTATCACCCCCACAAAAATCACTCTTAGAATTTTTTCCCTAATGTTCCCCCAATGAAATATTTTTATTATATGTAAAATGAAATCCTCTTTGAATAGTTTGATTGTTTTTTTAGCTTTTAAAAATATAATTATAGATTATAGAGAGTTGCCAAAAAAATTGGTAACAAACTCACATAACTAACATAAAATATCTAAACCAGGAAATTGACATTGGTACAGGTCACAGAGCTTATTCAGACTTCACCAGTTTCACATGTTTGTGTTTGTGTGTGTATGTGTGTGTGTGTGTGTGTGTGTGTGTGTGTGATTGTATGCCATTATATCACCTGCATAGATTTATTTAACCACTGTGACAATTAAAGTTCAGAATTATTCCTTCACCACAAGGATTCCTTGTGCTTCTTGGAGAAAGTCTTCCAACTTAGAAAGTCTCTCCACAAAGACAAAACAATTTTATTGTTCAATGAGGAAAGCCAGAATGCAATTTGTATCGCAGGCAATCTGCTGAGAGATCACACGGAGAGGAAAAGGTGGAAACCCCTTTTATATAACCCATCAGATTCAACCCACCACATAGGTGTCCTTGTACATTCCACGTAGTTTACCCTAAACTCACATGGTGATTGCGGTAACCATCTGTGTTAGCTAGTTGGCTTTACCCAAAAGAGATGCTGACTTCTGTTATCTTGGCCCCACCAAAGCTAGGCTCCCATCCTCCTACAGAAGCTGGGAAGTAAGGCTTCCGTCTTCCTGATGATGGCATCTCAAAGATGTGGCTCCCTGGTGTTCAAGAAAGTCACAGAGAAAGATATTTCAGAGTCTGGCAAAATGGTTACTTAGCTTCTTTAGAAATTTATATACATTTCAAAGAGATAGAAAGAACTTAAAATCACAACTTTGTAATGCCCTACAAAGCTGGCTGGGAGGAAGTCTCTGCATTTATTTTTTCAACAGGTAGATCTAAGCCTCATGTTTATAATTCATGCTTGCCCATTACATGCCCTACCTCTATGACCACACCCACTCTCCTCTCCCCACATCCCTCACCCCTGGCCTTACAGTCTGTTCTCCATTGCTATACTGTTATTGTTTCAAGAATGTCGTATGAGTGGAATCACATAGCGTGTAATCTTGTGAGACTGGCTCTGGAGATTCATCTGAGTTGTGTGCATTGATAGTTCATTCCTTTTGATGCCTGAGTAGTAGTCCAAGATATAGACGAACCAGTTTGTAATTTTCCCCAACCACCTGCATGAAAATTTGAATACCCTAGGTTTACTGCATATCTGTGCACTATAGCCCTTTGGGGGACCATAACCCATTGTAATAGCTAAGATCTTCCAACTCCCACAAGAACCACTTTTAATCTCTATTTTGTTCCCCATTAAGAATGCATGTTCCAGGGCTGGAGATGTAGCTCAGTGGTAGAGTGCTGGCTAGCATCAGGCCCCAGCACCACCAGAGAGAGAGAGAGAGAATGTATGCATGTTCTAGAAGAACTTTCTGAATTGCTCTTCTCTCTTGCTCCAGTTAAGTGCTCATCTCCAGATGGAAGTAGAGCGACTTATAGTCCAAAACTATGCCTTAGAACATCAGAAAACAGTTAGCCCTGATGCAGCAGATGACACCGGCTTCATCCACTGGAGTTGCCGCAGACTATCCAAGTGAGTGCCCTTCTGTGTTTCATTTGATGGAAAGTGTGGCAGAGAAAGCATGCAGTGTCCCCTGAAATAATGGCTGATCATTTGGGAATGAAACCCACTCGCCTTGTGTTATCTGCAGTCCTTTTGCACCCAGCCAATCTAGCAGGGTCCCACCGCCTCAAGTCAGAAGACTCCAGCTGTGTCTAATAGACAGGCCCATTTCAGGCTCCCTGGAGGAGCCATGCCACACACCTTCTGAGATGATGGCTAAACAGTGTGGGCTTTGGGGGAACTATGCTGTTTCTAGTCTCCATTCTAGTGGCCTTCAGTTGTTCTCCACCCTGGAAAACAAAATTGAGCACAGGAGGCAGGAGAGACCCTCACACTCTCTTACTTTGAAAGTGTCTGGTAAGGACAGCGTGTTAACTGTTTCAGAGTCCACCTGCCTGAGTACATCCTGGACTTTGGCTACATTGTCGTTGGTGAAGTCCGAACCCACATCATCAAGATTACCAACACCAGTCATTTACCAGTGTCCTTCCAAGCAGATAAGCGTGTCCTTCATGACACAGGTAACCAGGCGGGGAGACCCTTTCCTGTTGCACTTTGTCATTTCCAACAAGGACCCCACCTATCTGCCCTCTCCTTCTGGAGCAGCATCTGTGCTTCTGCTGGGATCAGCAGATGGACTGGCTGGGTCACTCTGTGATAGTTGGAGCAGTCCTTCTGCCCCAGAGGGGGTCTCTAGAGCAGTGCCTGTGTGTTGTTTTCCTTTCCCCCAAAGAAATTCTGTTTGTGTTGGTCCAGGCTTCAGTACTCAGCTAGATCGCATTAAAAATCTGCCTTATTGTGAGACGGAAACATTTGAAGTGAGATTTGACCCACAAGGGGCTAATCTTCCTGTGGGAAACAAAGAGGTCCTTCTGCCCATCAAGGTAAGATGGGCCCACCTGACCCTCCGCACTTCCTGCTCTTCTCATCCCTGGGATGATCCAGTTATGATAGCAAAGCTGGGATTCTCTCCCCAACCCCATGCCACATGGTAAACAGCAACCTTTTGTCTACTCTAGGTGGTTGGAGGGCCAACCGTTCACATCTGTCTCAAAGCCAACGTGACCATCCCAGCTATGACACTGTCTTGTGGAAAAGTGGAGTTTGCCACAGTTCAGTGTGGACAGTGCATAATAGAAACTATTCAGCTTTCCAATCATCTCCAAGTCCCTTGTGAATGGTTTGTCCAGAGCCAATGTTCTGTAAGCAAGGTAAATGAGTTGTGACCATTGGTCTCCTTTTCTCCATCTCCATTGTAGCCAGATTTGTAATTCTCAGCCCTTCTATTGATCATTTCAATCTCCTGCTCAAAGACCTTTTATGGTAGCCAGTGTCTGGGCCCTAAGCCCTGCATTGAAGGCTCTATCAGACCGTGATATCAGGTCAAATGTTCTGTTCATCTTTGCCCTTATAGAATCTACACATTCTCTGACACCTGGGAGGTACTCGGGAACTGTAGGGTGAGTGAGTGGATAATAGAACGAGTCCATTTTCCATGGAAGATTATCTAATTGTCTAATATTTATAAACCAGCTGAATAAACACATTCCAAAGTATTTAAGAAGGAAACTTCGTGCTGAATTAAAGCCAAAGTCCCGGACCTTTGAAATACAACCCACCTCTGGAGTCTTGGAACCTGGTGAGAGGTCCAATGTGCAGGTGAAATTCATACCAAAAGAAGAGGTGAGTTTGAAAGAAATGTGCCTTCACTGAGATTTTTCTGGATCTCTTTGAGCTTTGCTCAGAGTCTGTGCTTGCTTGAGTCTTAAGGGAAACTTTGACCTCACTTTCTGAATAGGGCATTTCAGGTATTTCTGGTTCACATAGGAGCTGAATGGCCTGGTGTTCTGGAATTGGCAGATCTTTTTTTATTACTATTATTTATTTATTATAATATGTTATACATGATGGCAGAATGCAATTAATTTCTTATTACACATATAGAACACAATTTTCCAAGTCACTGTACACAAAGTATTTTCACACCATTCGTGTCTTCATACATGTACTTAGGGTAATGATGTCTAACTCATTCCACCATCATTCCTACCCCCTTTCCCCCCTCTCTTTCTCTCTCTCCCCTTTGCCCTATCTAAAGTGCTTAAATTCCTCCCATGCTCCCCCTGCATCACCATTATGAATTGGCATCCTCATATCAAAGAAAATGTTCAGCCTTTGGTTTTTTGGGATTGGCTAACTTCACTTAGCATTGTTTTCTCCAACTCCATCCATTTACCTGAAAATGCCATGATTTTATTCTCTTTTAATCCTGAGTAGTGTTCCATGGTGTATATATACCAAAGTTTCCCTATTATCTACTGAAGGGCATCTGGGTTGGTTCCACAACTTAGCTATTGTGAATGGTGCTGCTATAAATATTGATATGGCTGTGTCCCTGTAGTATGCTGTTTTTAAGTCCTTTGGGTTTAAGCCAAGGAGTGGGATAGCTGGGTCAGATGGTGGTTCCATTCCAAGTTTCCTAAGGAATCTCCACACTGCTTCTGGAATTGGCAGATCTAACCAACACATCAACTTTTATCAGCAGGCCTGGCTAGTGGATTTCTGCCCTTATAGGCTGTGAGTCTTTGAGCCAGTCACTGAGCCTTACTAAGCCTCAGTTTGTGTATAGACAAAATAAAAAATAGCATTATATATCCAAAAATTCTTTATTGCTGCTGGACACTGTGGCACATACCTATAATCCCAGTGACTCGGGAGGCTGAGGCAGGAGAATTGTAAGTTTGAGGTCAGCCTCAGCAACTTAATGAGGTTCTTAAAAAGTAAGTGAGAACCACTTAATTGTTACATTATACATTCCCAGCTCTTTTTATTTTTTGCTTTAAGATAATTAGAGCTGGGAATGTAGCTCAGTGGTTTAAAAAAACTCATTACAATTTTGAAATTCAGTAAGCTCCAAAAAGCAAGGTGGGGGTGTAGTTTCATTAGTTGTATATCAAAACTTACTTTGGCAAAAAAAAAAAAACAACTCATTTGACAGAAGACTATTTTGATTTTATTTTATTTTTCCCATTTAGTTTTCAGAGTCAAACATTGCAACTGCAGAACTGTTACTGTTTGATTATAGAAGACCTTCCTGGCACTCTTCTGAGGGCACTGAGTGACACAGTGCACTATGCACTGCATTTAACTTTTTAAAAGCTGAACCTGAAAGCATCTGGCCCCTGGAGTTCCCAATAAATTATTACTGACCTGCAACAGCCACCTCTTAGATTCAATTCAAAGATTAACAGATTGAATAAAATAGGCATCATACTGCTCTATATCCAGTTGTTAGAGTTTAGATGAGGTTTCCCTAAAGCAACAGTAAAAGTCTCCACAACTATAAAGTCTTACCATCAGTAGTCATGATAGGAAGAACTTCCTGGTGAACAGTCTCCCTGAGCCTCACAGACATTTGTTTTATAAAGACCATCAGCATGAAACTACTCCTAACCAAGAATAAATAAAAATAATGAAACCCTAAAACCAGAAATATTCTCAAGAAGTTACACCAGAAAGACTTATTTAAAGCCTAAGGCATTTGAGAGATGTTTTCCTCTATTCTATTCTTTTCAAAGACAAATCAGTGTGAACACCTAAGTGAACTCCCATTTTCCTGGTAGTGGCTTTAAGGAAATGCTTAATAATGTATAGTGAGAAAGAAGAAAAGGATGTGACTTCATATTTCACTCTAAAATGAGGCCCATATTCCTACCATTATCAAAATCTTCCTAACCCTTTTTAGAAAATAATGAATAATATGCTTATTTTTCCTAGGGAGTCTTAAAACTGTAAATGGATTTACTCAAGATTTGGGAGGTTTTTTTTCTCATTACCAAATGAGGGAAATATCAGTAAATGTTTTTAAAAATAGATTTATTTAGGCATTTTCATAAATATTGAATTGGAATTGGTCAAAGTTAATAAAATATTTCTATCAATTGGGAGACCTGGCTGGGTGTAGTCAAGGAATCAGTTTGCCTTGAAACCAGCATAATCTGCATCTGCATCTTCATCACCACCAAAAGCACAGAGAAATCATTTGGTGTCCACACTAGCAACTCTGTGGCATTATACCATGTATTCAGAATACTCCATGTTAGGAAGTGAATGAAAGATTGTCCAAAACTGCAATTAAAATATGGAAGTTTGGGTCATAAGGTGCTAAGTCCATAACTACATAGAAAACCCCCTTAGCCAACAACTGGATTTTTCCCCCAATTTATAGGTAAGTCCATACATATTCTTTCCATCTCATGTCTGCCCGGTAAGCTAACATAGTTAAGTGTTCTTCACATTGTGAAGCCACTCACAGCCCCACACCCAACCCATTAGGAGCCCAGATATATCAGAATGTCCTGTTATCTGTTTTAAAATGCAGAATCTTCAGCCCAGCTCTCCCCCCGTGGAGTCAGGATCTTTGGGGATGGGCCTATGAATCTGAATTGTTAATAATGTAATAAGATTAGAAATTACTGAATGGAAAGTAGATTTTTGTGCCAATTTGAGAAAACGTGAGTAGGTATGTATCACTGTCACCTGGCATCTGATTGTAATTCTATCAGATGGACTGAGTGCCATAGCTCTGCCATTCCACCAAATTCTGGGGTGAACTACAAAGTACACACTTGAGAATCATCCCTCCCTAGAAGCAAGGGTCCCAGGATGCTTACACAGGACTTCTGAGAATCACTGCTAGTGGCATGCTCCCGGCAGGTGTTACTTCCATGCCAAGCAGGGTCACAAAATGAGAGCCTTCGGGCCCAGAGGCGAAAATGGTGGCAAGTGCAAGTCTGAGCACCCAGGAAGTTCTGAGGGAAATGAGGATAAAACTCAGAGGGCCTGCTACAAGTGGTGAAGTTCTCAGTGCTGTGCCTGGCAGGTTAGATACCCAACATATAAATACCCAGTGATATAAATGCCACTTTATAAGAAAATTTCTAAATAGGATAAGTTTTGTCCCCTTAGCAGTTTTTCAGTTATACATAACATATAACAGATTTTTAAAAATCAGATGTTTGTTTTGTTTTTGTTTTGCAGAAATTCTACAGCCAAACCCAATTGTTCCATATTGGTCAGAGCCCTCAAAAGCTCTCCTTGCTGACATCTGGGCAGGGTCTGGAGCCACGCCTGGAATTTAGTCCTTCCGTTCTGGAACTGGGACCACTGCTGCCTTATACCTCTGGAGATGAGGCTGAGGTGATAGTCAAGAATCCCTGCAGCTTTCCAATTGAGTTTTACTCCTTAGAATTTGACCAGCAATATCTCTTTGAAGAAAAAGTAAGTACAGGCCACAACCAAACTCAATTTCCCAGCAAATGCTGGGCCCTGCGGTGTACTTGTGTTCTCTCTGTGTGGAATAACTTGGGTCTTTCCCCTCTCATTCCCTTGAAGCCTTCTTGTGAGTTTACTCATCACTTTGCTGTGGCCTTTCCTGACCTGTTTCCTTGCCTGAGCAGAATCCATTGCTTCTTTGTGATTCCAATATATATTTTTTAAAAAATAATTGAAAAACTAATGCATATTGATTGTTCAGATTCAAACAGTAAAAAAAAAAAATTATATACAACAACTTTCCTGTGTCAGTATATTTGAAGTGAGTTACTTGTAGGCAACCTGTATTGGGGATGTTTTAAAAATGTATTCTGCCATCTCTGTCTTTAGTTGGTTTATTTAGACTGTTTACATTTAATGTGATTATTGATATCTTAGAACTTAAGTCTGCCCTTTTGTTTGGAGTTTTTTTTGTTCTAGGTTTACTTTTTCCTGCCTTCCTATCAGTAAAATTTCATTTTTATTTACCTGGAGTGTTTTTGAGTGTATCTCTTTATGTAACTTCTTTAGTTGTTGTTCTACATTCATACATATGTGTATACATATATATGTTGTTGTACATATTACTATATATATAATATATGTGGCTTATAACCAACTGGTATTGACATTTTATCAGTCTAAATTATACTAGAAACCTTTTCTCCCTTTATCTCCTTTTACCTTTCTTACATTTTAATATAACTGTCTTAAATATTTCCTTATATCAGACAGCATTATCATTTTTGTTTCAACTCTCAAACATAAATTAGAAAAATTCAAAGGAGAAGAAAATGTATTTATCTTTATACTCTTTCCATTGTTCTTTCTTTTTTCTCCTGGTATTTCAAGATTTCTTCTTTCTTCATATCCTTTCCATTTAGAGACCCACCTTTAGCTATTATTTTAATGTAGTATGCTGGTAAAATAAAAAATTCTTAGTTTTCCTTCCTTGAATCTACAGATTCAAGAAAGGAAAAATTCTTAGTTTTCCTTCATCTAAAAATGTCTTGATTTTCCCCTTGTTCTTGAAGGATTTTTTTCCCACAGGATATAGATTTCTGGAACAATGGTTCTGCCGGTCCTTGAAAAATATGCCAGTTCCTCCTGGCCTGGTCTAATGAGAAATCCAACGTCATTTGAATTATTTTCTCTCTACATGGATAAATGTGTGTATGCATATGCATTTGTGTGTGTGTGTGTGTGTGTGTGTGTGTAAAGTTTTCTCTCTCATTGCCTTCAAGAAATTTTCTGTGCCTTAATTTATAGAAATCGGACTGTAATGTGTCTTGGCATATATTTCTTTTGGTTTATTCACTTTGGGACTTGTATATTTTCTTGAATCTGTCGATTGTTATTTTCCCAATTTGGAAATTTTAGCCATTACTTCTCGCCAGCTGCCCGCACTGACAAGATGATCTGGGTTCAAAGGAGCTGGCTGCAATGTTAAACTAAGAAAACGGCGAAAAAAATCACACAACACAAAAGTAGTTTTCATGTCGAGGGTAGGACGGCTCTGCAACCTTAAGGGTTAGCTGGAAAAGAGAGCATGCACCCGGAATCTTTTTATTTTTATAGGGGGGACACACAAAAAGAAACTTTGATGGAATGTTCTTCACCAAATAAGGCAGGGGATAAGATTTCAAAGGTGGAGTCTTGCTAAGTGATGTCTTATGGTCAGCAGATTGACTGACATCTTGGCAAGTCACACCCATCTCAGGTGCTGTGTGGGATCACAGGCAGAGTGAGAGGAGAGGTGCACACACGTCACGCAGCGCAATCAGCGTGCAATGCCAGACCTGTCCCTCATATAGCTACAATGCATGTAACTCACACACACAGCCCATGAATGGCTCACAATTACTTATTTGAGTACTTTTTCAGCCCTACCCTCCTTCTACTCTCCTTCCAGGACTTCCGCAGTACTAATGTCAGGTCTTTTGTTAGAGGTCACAGTTGAAGCTCAGTTTGATTGTATACAGCACCCTTAGCTCACATTTTCTTCACATGAGTATCTTAAACGTGCTACTACATCATTTGCTGGTAAGATGTGACTGCACATGAAGTCTGATACTGTACTAGTTATCTTTGCTGTATGTTACATTAGCCTAAAACTCAGAAACTTAAAACAATAAGCATTTGTTATCTCATGATTTCAGTGGGTCAGTATTTGGAGATGGTTTAGTTAAGGGGATTGTGTTTCCTCTAGACCCTCCCCCACTCAGCCTTTGAATCTTCTGTATGCCTTGTTGCCAGTGTTTACACCCTGCCTAATGCGCATTCTGCCCCCAGGAGTGTTCTCAGAAACAGAATCTGCCCCTCTAGAAGGGAATCTTTTCATTAGATATGAGACCCTCAGCGGCTTAGGTGGGCACAGCACCCTCTGTGGTGCGTCAGGTTCCATGGAAAGCACAATGTAAGACTCTGAGGTTTATCTTTGGAAGATGTATTAGATGCACTCTCAGGAGCAACACCTATTCAGGGAGACTAGGAAATGAGAATTGGACAGACAGAGAAGATGAGCGATGAGGAGACTGCAGTGGAGAACTTAGATCTAACTGCACAAGGAGCTTTGGAGCTGGGTTAGCCCTTCCACGGTCCCCAACTAATGCAAGTTGGCCACCTTCGTACCCCAACATCCACCAGTCTGGTATGTTCCTTCCCTTTCCCACTAGAAAATGCCACCTCTGTCCTATATAAATTTCCAATTTGGATGATCTACACTGAGCTCGTTCTTCATTCTCATTGCTCACTTTTCAGCCCAAACATAGTACCACTCTGTCTTTTACTGTAGCTTCATAGTAAGTTCTGGTGCTGGGCAAGGCAAGCCTTCCCTTTATTCTTCTTCACCAGTGTTCAAACTCTTCTCGGTCCTTTGTTCTTCTTTAAAAATTTTAGAATGAACTTATTATCAGGGGCTTTCAAACAAATAAAAATGATGATCTTAGAGAAGGGTTACATAACAAAACAAACTCTCAAACCAATAAATCAGGTAGGGGAGGAAGTACATGTTTTTTAACTTCATTTTACTGTGTTTTATACATATACATATGTCTTTTCCTTCTCAAATATTTATAAGAAAAAAAACAGGCTCCCCAATTAAATTTTAATTTTAAATAAATAACAAATGTTTTTTCAAAGTATAAGAATATTCAAATATCACATCGAATATATTTACACTAAAGTAAAGTATTTGTGGTTTATCTGAAATATAACTTTAACTGGGTATCATGCGTTTTATCTGGCAGCCCTAATATATATTCACACACACACACACACACACACACACACCATTTAATACCATTTTACCTTATTTCCCCTGGATCCTCTATTTATGAGAACTCTAGTGTAATATGTGCCATGCGCCACATAAGGTCATTTTAGACAGCAGTCTCCTAAGGTTGTATTGCCTAATGATATCTTAGTTTGTGAGTCCACTGTATGGTATTAGTACAACAAAATTCCCTAACATATTTCTCATGTCTTATTCTTAAGCAGTGCATGACATTTTTTTAATGAATGTGTCCCTGTAGATTTCTGTACATTTGTCATTGAAAAAAAAAAGTAAAACAGTTTACGTTATTTTCAAAGCAAAAAGAAAATTCTTTGCCACATGAGAAATGTCCAGGCTCACATGGAGCAAAATAAGGATCTTGAACCCCCATAAGTTCAGGGTTCAGCCCTACTTTTTAGATCTCTCCAAAGCAACCCCCCCCCCCCTGAAATCCAGGAAGTATTTCTACAAATTTCAAGCCTCAGGTTGGAGCAGAGGTTTCACAAGATCAAAGAACAAAAAGAAATTTCAGTGTGACCAACAGCAGTTCTCGTTCTCCCCTTGAGCAGATCTTGCGACAACTGAAGGGCTATGACTCCTACAACACCCTGCTGCTGCCACCCCGCAGTCCCGGGGAGAAGCTGCCCCCAGAACTGTATGAATATTTTAAGGAGGTGAAGAAGTCAAAGGAAGAGCAGATGAAGGCACAGGAGAATGGTGAGCACTTACCATGGTGAACCCTTGGCCCCAGCCACTGCCCTGGCCCTTCTGAATTACCCCTGAATTACTCCGTAATTACTAACCAATTACAGAGTACCTGCCTGATGCCAGGTGCCTTCTGTAACAGGACCCTTCCAAAATGGGTCCTGTTATCCCCAGGTCATGGATACAAAGACTGGGGCAGATTCTGCTCTCACTAGAGTTCAGTGTGGTATTGAGATTTAAAAAGAGCTTTAATAGAAGGGCTGAGGCTGTGGCTCAGTAGTAGCACACTTGCCTAGCATGTGTGAGGCACTGGTTCATTTCTCAGCACCATATATAAATAAATAAATAAATAAAATCTGTCAACAACTAAGTTCACACACACACATACACATACACACACACACATACTCACGAGCCAATAGAGATAGAAGAATATTTGCTAGACATTCCACTCAGGGCTTTACATCTACAGATGAGAAACTAAAGAACAGAAAGTCTAAGTCAACAGTGTGAAGTGGCAGAACCAGTCCCATCTTTTTGACTCGAAGAATCCATAACTGATAGCAACTCCACTGCCCCCTAGGGGTATTTCTTGGTAATGCAAAGTAATGTGTTGAGTAATGTAGACATTTGTGCCCTAAAAGAAGTAGCAGAGAAATTCATACAAGAAATTTCATACAGCAAGCCCATCCCTGTGCTCAAAAGCCAGCCCTAGAGCTGGTCTGCTCTCTTAATAATCTTGTCTTTTCTGGCCCAGCACCCCTGAGTCATCCCATCATCTGCTTGGGTCCTCTCATGTACTCGAGCAGCCATCACTTGGGTAATTATTTTCTTCTTACCCTCATATCACCTCCTCTAGATAAGAAACCCTTATATGAGCCAGGCGTGGTGGCGGGAGGCTGAGGCAGGAGGATCTTGAGTTTAAAGCCAGCCTCAGCAAAAGTGAGGCCCTAAGCAACTCAGTGAGACCCTGGCTCTAAATAAATATAAAAGAGGGCTGGGGATGTGGCCCAGTGGTTAAGTGCCTCTGGGTTCAATCCCTGGTGCCAAAAATAAGCACCCATATGGGCAGAGATGTGTCCCTCACTTATAAACCCATGACATGGAACGGCAAATGTTACCCTACAGCACCCAACAAATTTGTGCTGTTTGAGGGAATGAGCTGACCTCTGGCCTGCCTCGTGGTCCCTCAGGAAAGCAAGGCTAGTAAATGCTCATGTGGCCGAGAAGAGGGCTGGCCCAGCCAGTCATGTTTGTTGAGCACTGTGGTAGTTTGCTAGAGCTACCCTAAGAAATGCCAGCCGGGTGACTTAGCCAACAGGAATTGACTTTCTCATGATCCTGGAGGCTAGAAGTCCAGGGTCAAGGTATCAATAGTTTTGGTTTCAATAGTTTCCTCCTGTCCTCCCACTGTCTTCCCACTGTGGGTTTTTGAATCCTAATGTCCTCTTCTTTTGCTGACACCAGTGGACCAAGGCCCACCCGTATGACCTTGTTCTGCCTTAATTGCCTGTCTGAAGGCCTTATCTTCAAATACAGCCACATTCTGAGGTTTTGGGGCTGAGGAGTTAGGACTTCAGCATATGACTCTGAAGGCACCCATAACAGGCACCCTCCGTGTTGCAAACACTGAGTTGAAATGCTGGGGGAGAAAAATCAGAGGTGAACAGCCCCTGACTTTGACAGCTCACAGTCAGGAAGGGGACAGAGGAGAGAGTTAAATTTAGAGGGACTGTCCCACGGCCTGAGGCAGAAGGCTACAAGGGGCTGCCATGTACAAAGGACGTCATGAGGGCAGAGAAGGACCTTGTTTTCATGATCTCTAAAGACCACAGTTATAGGTGCAGTTTTCCATTTGGCCCAGTGGAAAGTGATCTGGAGCTAAGGCTGAGGAGTGTGTCGTGACACCAGCAAGGGGCACTCTCTGCGCTTCTCCCCGCATCCGTTCACTGTGCACTCTGCTGTAGACCGTCCTTGTCTGCTTCCCGGGCCCCTCCATGGAAGGCCATCTGCCTCATTCACAAGAAGCCTGAGGCTCAACTCTCAGCTCTAAACAAAAACGATATCTTGCCCCAGGTGAAGGGACCCACCTTTATACAATCCTAGCCCACAGAGACACTGTGAACAAGGCACAGAGGAGGGTGCTGGTCTGACAAAATGGCAGGTGTGCTTAATAGTGACATGGGAAATGCTCAGGAGAAGTTAGTTGTACCATTTGAAGTTAATGTACCATTTGATCCCAAGTAGAGTTCTGAAAAATTAAGAATTCAAAATCCAAGAGGCTGCAGCCCTCCTGTGCTGGTATTATAAGACTCAGCTATGATTCCTGTCACCATTTCTTTGTCTCTCCCAGTATCTTTATAGGGCTAAACTTTATAACTTTTGACTCTTCTGGATTTTCCAAATTTTCTGAGCAAGTGTATAATTTGGGTATCTCAACAAATGTTAAAATATAGAAACCCTATGCACAGAGAAGCTTCACAGTCCAGGATGACGGTGGCCTATCCAGCGATTCTCCCCATTGTCAACTCCCTGGACCCCCATTGCCCCTGTGCCCCTCCCAGCTCCTCCTCCTGTGTTTGCATCTTTTTTCCCCCTTGCAGAAGACAAAGATATAACCATTTCCGACCAGGGAACCTCTGCCAGCACAAAGCGAACATCACTCAGCCGAGGGATCTCTGTCACATCCAACCTGGAAGAGCGGCACTACCCTGACCTCAGAATCTACCCAGATGAAGAAGAGGATGAGGACAGCCTGGAAAAGATAGTGTTTCAAAGTAATAGAGCATTTTAATGGTTGGGGGCCAGTTCTCTCTAAGCAGAAATGAGGAGATAGTTCAGTGCCCTGTCACCTTTCGCCATGGATATCCCCTCTGGGCCCCCTAGTACTGGCTCCCTGCCTTCTGGAGAGGCCCCAGTCCACCCTCACATCATGCCCCAAGCACAGACGTCTGCTGGGGAGCTCAGCATATGGCCCATTCTTCTTGCCACGGTTAATTGCATTTTAACTAGGCTAAATATTAATCTGAATCTTTAATGCTAGAATTTCAGCAGACAGGAGGGTGGCTGGAGAGCTATTCTGGGAGACTGGAGAGCATTCTTTCCAGTGTCCCTCTAACTGGAATCCTCCTCTTGACCTCCCAGTTTTGCAGTCTCATCGTCTGGCATGTATTTTCCCCAAAGTACACAAGACACTGAACTTACATTTAGAAAATTAGTTTCAGCAAAACTGGGTTTATGCGGGCTGTTTGTTGCCTGTCAGGATGAAGCACACACTGCCTTGCCAGGTGCTCAGAGAATAGGAATCCTGAGCAAGGCTAACAAGATCTTGAAAGAGTTAAGTTGTCATTCTGGGCCCTTGTCAGATTTGCCAGGTGAATAAATTAAAGTGGAAGAATGCAGTGGGAAAACAGACCAAGACAGAAGTTCTTGGCTTCCATGCCTCATGATTAATCCCACCAAGATCAACCCCTCAGTGGCTTCTGGCCACCCCAGGCAGCCTTTCCCCACCCCACACATCCTGGCTGTGCCCCCATCTTCCACATCTGGGCAATGCCAGACACCTTGTGAAGACAGAAGCACACCCCAGTGTTCAGGGTGGAAAACCTGGGAACCATCTAGATGCTCGTCAGTAGGGGAATAGTTAAATTATGACAAATCTTTACAATGGAATTTATTTAGAGGCTATTTAAAAAAATAAAATCTGTATTTTAATAAATGAAAAGCTACTAAAAATATGTGAAAAAGCAAGCTGCAGACAAAATTTAGGATATCATCCCAATTGTCACTAAAACACTGAACGTGTTTGGGTGACTGTAAGTATTTGGCCACATACTGCCCTGAATACCATATGTATCACTCTGCCGTTTGCTTTTCTCCATTAGAGACATCCCTCCAGACCAATGTTTTTGATCTAAATCAAGGTTTGGTCCTACTGTAACATCCTGGGCTCTGTAGGCCACGCTGTCTCTGCTGCAGCTACTCAGCTCTGTCCCTGAGCATGGATGGAAGCAGCCAGGGACAGCACAAGCCAGAGGGCCATGGCCGTGTTCCAAGGGAACTTTGTTTACAAAAACAAGGAGCAGGACAGATTTGGCCTATGGGCTGAAGTTGACCAGCCTCTGCTATCTAGGTCATTATTTCTGCAGCTACTCTGCATGAATCCTATACTGTGACTATGCAATCATTTAATTTCCCATGATGTTAGAAATTCAGCTGATCACTAATATTTTGTCACTATAAGCAGTCCCTCTTTTCGTACAAATTCGCTTTTTATTTTTCAGCAGGGGAGATTCCAGATATAGAATTCAAATCAGAGTGCCTATTTTTTTTTTTTTAATTTCAAACGATATGGACAAATCACTGGCTAGAAAGAATGTTCTCATACACTCTAGGTGGGGACGGCTGTAGCGTGTGCCATTTAACAACAGCATTTAAAAAGAAAAATTTATCCCCACTGCCACCAGCCCCCACATCAATACATTCTGGGTGTATTACACATGCATACACACATGCAGATATGCATGCATATTTTTGTTTTGCAGGTGAGAAGATTCACAGCATTGACAGCCATTCCGCAGAAGAAGTTGGAGAGGTGGAAAACAATCCAGTGAACAAGGCTATCGCTCGTCACCTGGGCATTGACATTTTTTCAGAAAGCCACTTGGCCAAGAACCGGAAAGGCATCGCCATTATCATCCATGGGACACCCTTGTCTGGTATGTGACAACTCTGAAGGGAGGTTAAGATCAAGGAAGCCATGTCTCCTCCATAAACCTGGTGGCTTCCAGGGTAGTGACATCCACCGTGTGGTCAGGGCAGATACTAACAATTTCATTTGAGAAACAACATACCAGAGTAATTACTAGATGTACCCCAGAGCCAAACGGCCCTACGTATGTCCAATCCTAGCACTGCCATTTATAGCTGTGTGCCTTTGGGAAAGTTACTGAAGTTCTCTGTGCTCAGTGTCCTCATCTATAAAATGGCATTAATAGTATTTCTTTTATGGGATGGTTGGGAGAAGCAAAGGAGAACATTTGTATAAAATGCTTATGTCAGTATTTGGCACATTGTAAATACTGAAAGAAATTACCATTACTATTACTACAGTGACAGTTATCATCCATCATTGTCACCATATCTGGAGTTTAAATCACCACTGAAAAAACACTCCAATCACATACTAAAGAATTTCAAAGAATATTTTGCTAATCATAGTCCCATCAAGAAGAAGAATCTTTCACAAGGATCCTTTTTTGCCCCCAAGTTACACATGACAACTTCACCATAAACTCAAGTGAGCAAAATCACCTACGTTGCACAGGATCTTAAACTTGTGTAGTGGATTCCAGTTTGCAGAGCTCCTTCCCATTCATTTCTCTGTATAAACTCCCCAACCACCTGGAGAAGAGAGTCCGATTGCCTCTACCTCACCTGAAATTAATGTTCAAAGAAACTTTAGAACATCCTCCCAAGGTCCCCCAGGTAGTAAGTGGCAGAGCAGCAGGACCTTGGGAGGATGTCCTGGGGGCTCTCTTAGCTTCAGCTTCCTTGAAGAAGAGCAAGGAGACCTTTCAGATCCAATTATTGTCACTCAAACTGCGTTTCTGGAACATCTTTGTTCACATCACTGAGAAGCTCCAGGAATCTTTAGAAGAGTAACAGTCCATTATCCTTTCCTTTAAAGAACCTTCCCTTGAGGAGTCACAACCCAGAGCTTAAAAATTCTGAGGCCAGATTTGGGAGCAGCAGGTAGAAATCGAATAAGACGCTTAAGAATGTGATGGAAAGTGTTTTGAAGACCCCACTGCCCAGAGCCACTCATGGCCATTTTGTGTTGCACTGGAAGGAGTGTCGGAGAGACGATGAAGCAATCAAGACAGCTGGAGAGTTGACCCTGCAAATGCTCAGACCTGGAGGGGGTCATTAGCCCTGCTCTAAAGGAGGGTCCAGACACACCTCCATCTGAAGACGACAAGCACTATTAGGGAGAAATGTCAACCTCAGCAACAATTCTCACATTTTTTAATGGAGCTTTCCAGTTTGCAAAGACTCTTCAAGCAAAATAGTTTGAGTCTCAGATTGTTCAGCGTTGAGGATTTTGCCCCTTTGGGGTGTATGGTGAAGTTAGCAAATTTAATTTTTGAAGGCAATAAAAGACTCTTCAGCTTATCATTTATGTGCCAAAGAATTAACCCCAAACTGTTAAATTGCTGGCCTCGGAGATATAAGGTTAAGAAGGAGAGCATCAACACCCCATTTCAAATTGAATTGTTTGAGCCTTTATCCTTACAATAATTTTAAAATATTAGAGAAAAATCCGGGACATTGTTTTATAAGAGGGGGAAGAATAAGTGTAAACCCTTTAGCGATGTTACTTTTAGGCATTGCTTAGGAAAACAGTTATCAACGTGGACAAAGGTTAACTGCATCAGTATTCACTGCAGCACTGTGTACCATAATAAAAATTGGGGTCAGTTGAATCACTCACTATGGGGTACTGGTTAATTAAGCCATGGTACATTGATGCAGGGAACTGTCTTGCCATTAAAAACAATGTCTTGGGGCTGGGAATATGGCTCAAGTAGTAACATGCTCGCCTGGCATGCGTGAGGCACTGGGTTCGATCCTCAGCATCACATAAAAATAAAAAATAAAATAAAGATATTGTGTCCACCTAAAGCTAAAAAATAAATATTAAAAAAAAAACAATGTCTTGGGGCTGGGGTTATGGTTCAGTGGTAGAGCGCTTGGCTAGCACATGCCAGGCTCGCCTAGCACATGCCTCAGCACCACATAAAAATAAATAAATAAAATAAAGATATTATGTCCAACTACAATATATATATATATATATATATATATATATATATATATATATGCACTTAAAATGGTTAAAAAGATGTTTTGTTGTGTTTATTTCACCACAATTTTTAAAAATGGTGTTGTACAGGTGTATTGAATGAATAGAAATAGAATAGTATTATGTCCAACTACAGTATATATATATATATCCAATGTCTTTTACATCTCTGTTCACGATAGCCAAAAGGTGGAAATAATCCAAAAGTCATTGATAAATGCACAAATAAATAAAATATGGGATATTATTCACCTTAAAAAGAAATGAAATTCTGACATATCCCCCAACATGAATAAACCCTGAAGACCTTATGCTAAGTGAAATAAACCACACACAAATGAACAAATATTATGCTTCCACTTATGTGAAGTACCAGCTGTGGTCAAATCCATAGAAATAGGAAGCAAAGTGGGAACTGCCAGGGGACGGGGGGTGGAGAGTTGGGGGTTAGCAGGTGCAGTTTCACTCTGGAAACATGAAAAAGTCCTGGAGATGAATGGGGGTGGTGGTTGCACCACAGAGTGAACACACTCTGCATTGAGACATGGTTAACGAACTGTGCACTTAAAATGGTTAAAAGGATGTTTTATTGTGTTTATTTCACCACAATTTTAAAAAATGGTGTTGTACAGGTGTATTGAATGAATAGAAATAGAATAGAAATGGATATTCATGATGTATCATTTTATATAAGAAGAAATGCTATGCTTATGATTTATAATTTATATTCATTTGCTGTATCTTCTGTAATAAATAGCCACGAACTTAGTGACTTTTTAAAAAACCATAAATTTACACTCTTACAGTCCTGGAGGTCATAGGGCTAAAATGGGTCGGCAGGGCCACTTTCCTTCTGGAGGCTCTAGGTGACAATCCATTCCCTTGTCTTTTGCAATTTCTAGAAATGTCACCTGCATTTCTGGGACCAGGGACCTCTCCTCCATCTTCACAGCATAGCATCGTTTAGTCTCTACTTCTGTCACCACATCACCTGCTCCAAATCCAACTCTCCTATTTTCTTATAAGGAGTCTTGTGATTAGATTGAGCCCACCCCAATAATCCAGAATAATATTAAGATCTATAAACTGATCACATTTGCAAAATCTCTTTTGCCATGTTAGATAACATATTTGCAGGTTACAGGGATTAGGACACGGACATCTTTGGTGGGGGGGTGGGGATTATGATTCAGGCTCCTGTGTAACATATTTCTTTTTTATAAGAAATACTAAAAACATAGTTAACTGTGCAAATTTAGCAACCATAGGTTAACTATAATCTCTCCAGATGATTGAATTGTGGATTTTTTTGCTTTGCTCTTGTCTGTTATTTCTGAATTTTCTGCTAGCTTTTTAAGAAAATTACCTAGAAATCAGAAAAAAAATAATCAACACAGGTTATTCTTTATAAGAAAAAGGAAAGGAGAGAGGGAGGGCGGGAGAAGGACAGAAGGAAAGAAAGAGTCCTCCTGTTAGATAGTAGGAACTATAAGTATTGTGAAGATCATCTGGTAGAAAGGGGAATCCCTGGTGAGGACATGGGTTGCCATGAACACATGCCTCAGTCATAGGATTAGGACTAGATCCACGGCCCTTATGCCTGGCTCAGATCTCCCTTCTTTTTGCTGCTGCCCACCAGGCCACCCAAAAGACTAGAATACTCAGATCACTTTACAGAGGGGTCTAAGATGCAGAACAAATGAGAACCATGAAATCCAGTGTCGTGACTTTTTTTTTTTCTTTTTTTAATAGGAAAGACAGCCAATGCTGTCAACATAGCCAAATACTACAGCGCAGCCTACTTGAACATCGACTCGATCGTGCTGGAAGCCATATCCGATGGCAACAGCATCCCAGGCATCCGGGCCCGGGAGCTCTGTATCAGGGCTGCCATCGAACAGTCCATGAAGGAAGGAGAGGACACTGGTAAGACCCCTTCTCCCTGGACGAGGTCCAGGGGCTGGCACCTACAGGTAGAGCCTGTCTTCACTGTGCTTTCCTCCCACAGCTGGCACATCAGCCCAGAGGAGAATCCTCTCTGCCAAGCACATAAGGTCCAGGTCTCCTGGCCTGCCCAACACAGCTGTGCTCTTGGCATTGTAGGGAAGAGAACAATACCTGGGAGGGAAGCACACATGACAGAGGAAATAATGTTGCAACAGAAGCTTCAGCTTCTTTGGAGGACCAAGTTTGGGTTCCAACATGGGTGATTTGGGGGCATTTTCATGGAAATTGGCATTGAAGAAATAAGAAATTATTAGTAGGCAAAAATAGGGACAGGCACATTCCAGACACGAAAACAGGGGAAGTGGTCAATCGAGGGTGGGGAGGCAGGTTGAGACTAATCATAATTGACCCTGATTAGGAATTTGGACTTTACTGAAGGAAAAGAAGAATCAGGGAGGTTTTTGCACCCAGCGATCAGAAAGTCACAAAGGAAAGTCGCTCTTATAATGTCTTATAAAGGAGGCAATAGTGAAGCTGAAGATGAGTGGGCCCGGGCAGCTGGCCTGATGTCTAGCTGCCTGGTGGAGAATCCAAGGAGTGGGAGGCAAGGTGGTGACACCTAGACTTGTAGCCATAAGAACTGGCAGGACAGTGATATCATTTGCCAAGTCAGGGAACACAGGAGGAAGAGGAATTTTGCTAGTGAGTACATGAATGGAGTTTTTGGATCCCAGAGTAGTAAGGCCTGGTGTATCAGGTCATCTGAGGGACCTACAGGGCAGGAAAGCAGCTTCCCAATGGGAAAATATATTGAATATGAAGCAAGAGTACCTGCTAGGTGGTGGACCCTTTCATATAGTCATAACAACATGACGTGGTTCCTAATAGTGCTACGGTGCCTGCTGGTCGGGAAAAACATGAAAAATGTGAGTATTTCCATAGGTGAACAGTGTGTCCCAATGTGCCCCAGCCCCTGGCTGGGCTTTCAGTTGTGTCTTCTCCCACAGTATCTCTGCTTGGGATGCTCATGGCAATGGAAGGTTCTTTGCTGAGAAGCTAAAATAAGAAACTCTTAGTGAGAATCCCCAGCTATGTCATCATTCTAGTTTGATTTTTGTTTCCTTTCCCATGAAATAAACTGCATTTTGTCATGATCTGTGGGGCTGTGTGAATGTCTGGGGCCAAATAGTAAATTTGAGCTCCTGATCTGAGAAAGTAATGTCAAGTTAGAGACAGAGGTGAGGGAGTCTCCTAAGGGAGAGAAGAGGCACAACCACTGGAGTAGATGAAATCAACCCAGAATGATTTCATCTACTAGGGAAGAGGTCATTTTAGGAGGAGCTGGTGGAGGAAAACCCAGGAAAGGAAGAGACGGCAGCGTGAGGGCAAGCAGCGGGGGTCTCTGGAGCACACCAGGGAAGTGAAGGAGACTTCAGGAAGTGGGGAGCAGAGGGGCTTCTACATCTTCCTGTTTCATTGTTCTCACAACCCTTATCTCTAGTAACTTATAATTTATTTTACTTATTTTATTTTATTGTATGTTTTCACTGCCCCCCACCGCAAAAAAAAAAAAAAAGAGTCCACTTTTGGGGGCAGGCGTTTGTGTTCATTTTCCTCACTACTGTGTTCCCAGCACCGGGACCAGGGCCAGGCACACAATCAACATGTAACTAAGATTTATGAGAAGCTATTGAATCAGTAAGCAGAGTCAGAGACCCCTGAAGGCTCCAACTCAAGGAACCCAGAGTGGGACGCCACTGGACTCCACAGTCTTGAAACCATGGCTGCCTTTGGGAGTCCCTGCAATGGAGAGGTTGAGCTCTAATCTCCAATCGCTGTCTGCTCTAGAGTCAACAGGTCATGCTGAAGTGCTAAGTCCCAAACCTGCCTGTGACAAACAAGCCATCAGCCCCTGGGGCTGCTGAGCACTTGAAAGAGGCTAGTCCAAACCCAGGTGTGCAGCACGCACTGGAACTCTGAAGAAGTTGTGTGAAATGACACCGTAATAGTTTTTACATGTTGTTCACACATTGAAATAGTCACATCTTTTTCACATATTGAGTTAAATAAAAGCATATCATTAAAATCAATTTTACTCTTACCGTAGCTACTAGAAAATTTTAATCACCTTAAAAAATACACATGTGGCTCCTATTATGTCTATTAAACAGAGCTGGTCTAGACGGCTGTTTTGAGAAATTGAGGAGTGAAGGAAAAAGAGGTGGAAGATGATGGTTTGAAAGAAATAGTGTCAAATGAGAACTTTTGTTAGAATTATATCTAGAACTGCTTTCTGTCCTGAAGGATGCTGTGGACAGGGGAAGGCAAAAGGCATATGGAGACCATAGAAGCGATTCCACAGCAGTCAGTGAAAGGCAGGGGGTGAGCAGGGAGGAGCAGAAAACACAGTGAAGTGGGCAGGTACCAGGAAGCAGGAGGGTAGTCATTGTCAAGGCAAGATCACTGGTGGCACTGCTTCTGAAGGAGGCAGGCAGAGCCTGGAGGAATTGGGGGCAACAGGACATGGGTACACATGGGACCTGCCACTTCTACACTTAGAGCAGGATTTGGGTGCAACTTCTTCAATGGGGGCTTCAGCCTCTTTAGTCCCCACCCCCACCCCAGATGCAACATAGAGTCCTTGTACCTGTGATCAGCTCCCTGGGGGAGGAATGGAGAGGGTGGCACAAAAAGAAAAAGCAGAGTTAATTGCAGTGACAACTCTCAAGGGAACTCTGGAGACTTATTTGCTGAAATGGTCAACAGCAGCAGTGAATCTTAATGTGTCTCCTGGGAGCTACTGAAGCACAGATGCTCCCAGGCACACAGCTCCATCACCCCATCTAGGGAGGTCAAGAGCATCTGCTGTACTCCTGTTCTCCCTCAGGGACAGGTGGCCCACCCTGAAGTTGGAAGCTCAAGGGACACGATGAGACAAGACCAGGGTAGTGGCAGGTGAAGGGCGTCTGGAGACTTGGAGGCTCAGAGGTGACAGGAGCTTATCAAGGGTCAAAGATACCCCAGCAAGAGTTTTTCCAAATAGCTTTTTAAACATTGGAATTTGGCAAGGGAGCTTCTCGGTGGGTGGAGCTTTGGAAGGGTGGCAGTCTGATTGGAAGGGGGGTTCTGGAGTGACAGACAAGAAGAAATTAATCTTGAAGCCATGGCTGCCAACAGGCACATGCTTGTTGTTTTATTATTATTTGTTCATTTGGGTGGCTCTGCTGGGAAAGGAGGTCAGAGAAGGCCTCACCCTAGCTATCGGTAACATCACCATTGCCTAAAACCTCAAAAGGTCAGGTGCCACGTTTCCTGGGCAGCACTGAAGCATATCAGCAGTTTCAGAAATTGTTACCCTCTGGGCTGGAAGGGGGAGTGGGCACAGACCTATCCCCAGGATGAGCAGTAAAGAGCATGGATCCCAAGACCAGCTTTCCATTCACTCATCCTCTGGTCCTTGGTGGGCAGAGCCTCTTCTCCCAGCCTGGTTGGCTGCATACAGGGATGGCTTTGTAATCCTAAGAGAACGCAGATTCCAGGGTGCCAACCCCACTGTCAATTTATCCTTACCCTCAGGTGGCTTTTAATAAAAACTCACCCTCTCCTTATAGCCCAGGAGGCTGCTGTAAACCAAAATATCTTAGCAACACGACTGAGCAGTGAAAACTTGGGGAAGCTTACGTCCGATATAACCCTGGTGAACCCAGAATTTAAACCTGCCAAGAGCGTGCGTGGAAGTCTGCTGTTACCCAAAAGCAAGGCAGAAAGCCACGGCTCAGGGTCGCAGAAGCAGCATCACCAGCACCAGTCGGAAACACCACAGGTACGAATCAGGGCTCTCTGCAAGGAGGGTTGGGATCCTTCCTCCTCCTCCTCCTCAGCATCCTGCATCTAGACTGCCACCCTTCATTTCCATGGGTGTCCTCAGCAGGCCAGCCTGAACACTGGCCCTGCACCACCTCTTCCACAATAGGAATAGTGCTCAGCCAGGGCCATTTATGTTAGAGGCACTGGATCAGGTGTTGGTGAAGGTAAAGCAAAGTCCCTGCACTGAGGTTGCACTGATGAAGAGTCTGATGAGGGAGGGAGCCATGCATGCAAATATTTGCAATAAATTGAGATTAGTGACAAATGAGGCATATAAAAGGAATCAGGTTGAACCATAAGAAATGGCTAATACTCAACGATTGTTGAACCCCATAATAGCCATTCCCTATGGGTCAACCTAGTACCAAAGAAATGTTAAGGATGAAACCATTGAAGTGATGGGATTGCTGCAGAAGGAGTTTTGGAGTCACAAAGAAGTCACAGAGTTTGATCAACATGGCAAAAGACTTAGAGAACAATCTTGACAACCTAGCAGGTGCCAAAGCCAGTTACAGTGGGATGAGGTGAGCTAACGAGTCATAGATAAAGTGAAGTCAAGTGGGTACAGACTTTTAGGATGTTTGACAGAAAGGAGAAAAAGAGTCGTCATTACAAGGGGAGCAAACTCAGGGTCAGTAAAGAAGTCGAGGCACAACAGTCCCTAAAGAGCTTCTGGAGAGCTATGAGATGTTCATCCACCAATAGGGAATGGGATTCCAGGAGAAGGGAGGAGGGCCAGAATAAGCAGTGAAGGGGAAGGGAGCTAGCCTCCCCTGGAGCCACAAGGGTAAAAACAGACACAGCTAAGGACAGGAGAGGCAAGGTGAAGGTTGGAGGTTGGAGGTTGGAGAAGTCTGTCGAATGTGTCTGCTATTTGCGCAGGAGGTGAAGTCTTTTGCAGGAAGCACTGAGGAGGTCAGGGTTGTAGAGCATGCTGGAGGTGGGTGGCAAAGCTCCAGTGTCTCTTCTGTGGTGAGCAGAACCAGAAATTGGTGGTGGACAAAAAGAAAAGTAGTTGAGAATGATAATGGCCCCACCAAGACTGGAAAGTGTAACTTCACAGTTGTAACATTTCTCTAAGTTCCCCCGGCAGCCCTCATTCAGAGGCAGAGAGAGGAGGCTGAATATTAGATGGGGTGGGGATGGAGCACGAGGGGAGGTCTCCATGGGAGACATCTGCAGGTTGGGTGAGCATCCCCCAGGGCTGAATTCATGCCAGACCGTGCCTCTGATCTTTACTTCCATCTCACCTTCTTCTAACACCTTAAAAGCCGAAACCGTTTTCTCATTTTCTTTTCCAGCACCATCTCTTTAACACTCTATTCCAGGATCTAAAACTCATATATTTGTTGCAAATAGGGTGATACGGAGAGTCATTTTTCTTTGGTTTTGTTCTATCTATCTAGAAGTAAAATAAGCCTTTTTAGAAAACTTCAAAGGTAGCAGAAAATCCCAATTCTGACTCCAACCACCTTTCAATAAATAGGAAACTTAAAGGCCAGGATAGAAATCCCTGCCCCCAGCCCCAGAAAAATGACTGCCTTCGTTGCTCCAGTGTGACAGGCCTCAAAACAGTTTGGACGACAAAATTCCCCCATCAGAGTGCTTTACCCAGAGATGTGGCTGCTTGGTCTGTTTGAAGCTCTCATAAATCACAAACCCTCCGGCAGCTGCACGTTCAGTCCTGTCACAGATGTGAAGAAAGGTGTAACATGGTATTTAATGACAATATGGCCTTCATTTATAAATCCCCTTTTTTTTCCAGGAAAGTACCAGTTAGAAATCCTGAGCTTTTGAACCATATTCAATCCACCATTCTTGCCTCTCAATTCCCTGGCCTCCTCTGCTACTCACCACCATGATCACATTCCTAGATATGAGTCATGGACACCCATGAACCCCAAGCTCCCTCTGTTGCACACCCTACTTTCTGATAACCATCTTCTAACTAACTTTCCAGCTGATTTGCTCTGGTAAGTAATTTGCCCCATCAAATCCTCCAATCCACATTCTCTCTGCTTACCACCCACCTCACAGACTTCCTGCCCCCATTCGGATGCCAAGTGCCCTGTGGGCACTCCCTGTGCCTTCCCCTTCATCACATTACCCAAGCAAAACCCCCATCCCTGGTGAACCCATTTCTCCCACTCTCTGCACAGCAGCTGAATGTGGATGGAGAAAATGCCTTCCCTAAATGGTCTAATTTACATTTAAGACCACAAATCTCAAGTGGCCTCTTTGGTCTGCCCTAGTCAATTTGTCCTCCATTCAAGATGACTCATCCATGGCTGTCCTCACTCCCCTGACTTCTCAGACACTCTTCCTCTTCCTCCTTCCCAGTTTGTGGTCTCTGCTGATTTCCTGGGGAAAGCAGCAAGCGCAGGACTAATACCTCACCGACCACCACCCACCTCCCAGCCCGCCTCCTGCCTCACCCAGCACTGCACTGCCCTGCGGCTCTGTGCTGCCTCTGCTCTCATCCAGGGCTGGTCCCCTCCTCCCTTATCAAGGGCTAAATTCCGGCAGCTGTCCTCTCACTCCCATGAGAACGGCAGCACCATTGCCAGCCTGGCTTCCTATTGGATCTCTGGTTCCTGAGAAGGGTCTGGTGCATGATGGGTGCTCAGGAAATATCTGTTGAGTGAATGAACAAGTGGATGCAGTCCAGGACGTACCTAAGAACCTCTCAAAATATTCCCATTCGAATCTCCCAGCAATTCTTTAAGGAAGACAGGAGTCTACAAAGATTGTGATTTTTATTATTAAGGTCACATGGCTTGCCAAGACACCTAGCTGGATTCTCACTCCTGCTCCTCTACCCCTCGACAGATTTCCTACAGCCCTCTCCTCGGGCCCACCCAGCGCCGGCTCAGCGTCAGCGCCAGCATCGGAGGTGAGTCCGGGCTGATGAGCTGTGTGCTCCCTGAAGAGCTTCTCACGCAGATCCTGGCCGAACGGATACAGGTGCGTCCATGTCCACCTGCATCACACTGTAGGACTCGCCACTCACACACTGTCCCTAGGAGCTGAGATTCTGGGCTACCAGCCACTTGCAGCAGCTCAGAACCCAGGGGCCTTGAAGAGGAAAGATGAGTTTCTTCACCCCCAACAGTCATTCATCAGACCTTCTGACAGGTCTCGCCAGTCCCTGACCACAGCCCAGGCTATAGCCTGAAACCCCTCCCCTTTAGAACCAGAGAGCAGAAAATTACACATTTTAGAGTGATGAGTTACAATTGCAATGTGCATCATTATAATGTGATGCCCTTAAAAGTTAGAATTTGGAGCTATGTTAATTGCTCTGAAAATATTAAGTGAAAAAAGTAGATTATGAGATAGTATATAAACCCAAACCACATTTCTGTGTAAGTATTTATAAATGTGTATCTTGTACATAGTAAAAACTTTTGAAGTACATAGTAAATGGTTATCTTTGGGTAGGAGAATTCCAGATTTTCAGTCTTTCACATTTATGAATTGTTTTATGATGATATGTTGCTTTTAAAATCAGGAAACCAGCACTGTTTCATTTTTAAAAAATGATTCCCATAAGTATTTGCAGTTAAGAGAAAACAAGATCATTAGGATTTGAGAGGGCATCACTTTAGCTGGTTCTGCTGCTCACAGTGTTTAAGCAGGGAGCTAAATTGCTCACCAGGCCCTGGAGTTGTGTTTGTTTTTTTTTTTTTTTTTTTTTTTTTGACTTCTCAACTGGGCCACTGTATTAACTGCACATTTAAATATAACAGAAAAAGAACATCATAAACCAGAAATGGTTGATGTCAAGGTTTGGGCTGCTACTGCCTTCAAGTTGCTATCACTCTCCACTGATTTGAGCAAAGTGCTCTAATAGTTCTTCAAGTACTTTGTGCACCCAGATTAGGGGTAAGAAATGGTGAAACCCAAAGTGGCACTGAACTGCTCAGAGAGCTGGTCTTTGATAAGATATGGAGCTTACACCTCATCTACAGAGTCTTGCCAGCTGAGCTAGTGTGTTCAGTGATATAATTGGTTTACATTGTGACACAAGCTTCTTGTCTCATCAAAAGCATAAAGTTCAGTTCCTAGTCAGTGGTGGCCAGTCTCTGGGCCACATTTTGAGTACTACTGCAGTGCAGTGGAGGCTAGTACGCCATGGGGCATGGTGGTGAGTGTCTGTAATCCCAGTGGCTCAGGAGGCTGAGGCAGGAGGATCGCAAGTTTGAGGCCAGCCTCAGCAACTTAGCAAGGCCCTAAGCAACTTAATGAGACCCTGTCTCCGAAAATTAAAAGGGGCTAGGAATGTGGCTCAGTGGTTAAGCACCTCTGGGTTCAACCCCTGATACAAAAAAAAAAAAATAGTGTTACAAAAATCATTGCACCCAAAGCAGTAAGACCACTGAGAAAAACAGGAACAGCCCACCTGCTGCTGCTCTTGCTGGCTGTCATTCGTTGGGTGCGTGGGGACATCTGTCCTTTGCATGTTGTTTTCGTATACCTCGTGGATCTTCCCAGACCATCACTTTAACATTTTCTTTGCTCCTTTATTCTAGAGAGACAGAATAAATCTTTTGCTCTCTACAACAATGTGCCAGAAAGATCTTTTGTAGCTGATTAGATATTTTTATTTTTTTCTTCTGTTTCATGACAGCACCTTGGGTTTAGCAAGCAGAGGGTGGTTCTGGTTTTTTCCTCGGGGCCTAGCAGGTCTGTAGAACCATGAGGCACCAGAAAAGAACAACAGAAGAACAGCAGCTTTCTCCACGTGCAGGGGGCCATCTCGAGGCCATGGTAACTGTCTTGTCCCCTCTGGTTTCAGCTAAATGACTGTTTCCGCGGGGTGGTGTTCGATGGCCTGGACACCCTCTTTGCCCGCAGCGCGCCTGCCGCCCTCCTCTGCCTGCTAAAGGCCCTCGGCAGCCGGGAGCACATATACGTCCTCAACATGGCCCAGGACTACACAGCCATGAAGGCCCAGGAGAAGGCCAAAAAGGAGCAGGAAGGCAAGACCCCCAGCCTCCCGCGGCCACCCTTCCCCCGCCCAGTGGGTCTTTCCTTTCCAGAGGGCCTGAGGCTCTGCCAGCCTTTTCCCTGATCTTTTGTAGCTGATTAGATACACTTGCTGTCTCACAGGGGCACCTCACCTCTGTCCTGGGTGGTGGCTTGGGGCTCATATGTCCCCAATATAAGGGGACGGAGGCAGAAGCAGCCTGCTGGAGGGTATGCAAAGAAGGCTGAACCCACTCCCTGACTGCAGTGCCTTTCTCTCTCCTCCATATCACCCCACACCCCATCACCTTCTCTCTAATTACAAACAGCCAGGGGAGAGCACCCCTGGGCCATCCGGTGGTGATTTACTTGCTGGTTTGATCAAAACCAATTGTACCTTTCCTGTAAAACTGGGAGGGGGTGCTAATTTTTACAAAACCTCTATATTTTAGCCCTCTGTGTGCCCAACACTATGAAGTCACATTGCATATTAATAGGAAATCCAGGTCAGGTAACTCCACTTTTTCCTCTCATTATGCCCATGACATCTCTCTCTCTCTCTCTCACACACACACACACACACACACACACACACACACACACACAAAGTTAGCTTAAATTCCCAGTTTAGTCAGAAGAAGACCCAGCAAAGCTTTGCCGTGTGGAAAGGGCTTAGGGACAGCTGCTACAACACAGTCCCTGGGAGGCAGAACCCTCCAGAATTCTCACTTCCTGACACACTACTGCCACTTCACTTGGGCTTTCCACTTTCTTCTGGCACAATCTACACAAATCATAATGCTTTTCTGATTTGAGAAATATTTACAAACACTGGGCTGTCTTCAAAAAAGAACTCAGAAGTCTATTCCTTGTACTTCATCAGAGAAAAATCAGGAACAGTGACGAGGCATCCCTGAACAGCATTTCAACCTAATCCTCTCCCTGCAGTACTGACATTTGAAAAGTCCTAAGGCAGCTTACATAACAATATTATTAAAATCGAATGTTTATCAAACACTTATGAATGGGCGAGGCACTAGACTACCTTATTTAATCCTCCACAGCCTTAGGAAAGAGAAAATATTATTATTACATGTTTTTATCCCTTGGGTAAGTTGCAGAGAAAAGAACTTAAATGCAGATCTCTGGGTCCAAAGCTCCAAACTGCACAGCCCTAAGGGAAATCCTGTGCTAGGGAAGGGTGACAGGAGCCAAGTGCCTTTCCACACCCTGTGGAGTCCTGGGCCTGGCTCTTGGTTTGCAAATAGCCGTGTCACTCTGGGCACTTTGGTGGCATATGCTCATAAATAGGTGCAGTCGATGGGGGGCTTATTAGTTTCCTACCCCTGCTGTGATAGATGAGCACTGTCTTAGTCCATTCAGGCGTCGATGACAAAATACCGTAGACTGGGTAGCTTATTTTTTACATTTCTCGAGTCTGAGAAGTCCAGCCCGAAGGCCATCTTCTGGCCACAGAAGGCATCTTCTTGCTGAGTCCTCACATGGTAGCTGGACAAACGAGCTCCCTCGGGCCTCTATTATAAGGATGCTGATTGCATTTGTTAGGGTTCTACTCTCATGACCTCATGACCCCCTAAACATGACCTCATGACCTCCTAAACATGACCTCATCACCTCCTAAAGACCCCGTGTCTTAACACTGTCCTGTTGAGGACTAGCTTTTCGTACCCAATCATAGGGGAATACAAACATCAGGCCACAGCAACTACAAACTTGGTGACATAAAATAACACAGATTTATTACCTTACAGTTCTGGGGTCAAAAGTGCTATAGTCAAGGTGTTAGCAGGACTGTGTTCCTTCAGAGGCTGTGGTAGGGCAGAACTTTTCTCTGCCTAGCTTCTAGAAGCCACTGGCATTACTTGGGTGAAGGTCCCTTCCTTGTAGCCCTCTGACCATTGCCTCCATTGTCACATCTCACTCTGCCTCTGCTGTCATGTCACCTCCAACTCTGGAGATGCTGTGACCCTTGCAAATAGTTTGGGCCCATCCAGATAAACAAGATAACTCCCCCATCTCAAGATCCTTAATTTAATCACATCTGCGAAATCCCTTCTGCCATAGAAAGCAGGTTCCTAGAACAGGGACGTGGCATCTTTGGAGGCCACTATTCCACCCACCACAGGTGGAACCTAAATTTGACACTGTGGGAATGAAGTCCCAGCAGGGATTGGGAGTGCCAGCCACAGCACCTGCCACCTGTCACTGTCACCGCCTGTGCAGAATGGGAGCTGAGCTACTGGAGAACTTGACCTCCCTCCTTTCTCTGTCCCCTCCCCCCCCCAGAAAGCAAACACAGGGAAGCTCTTCAGAAAGAGAAGGACCGTCTCCAAAACATGGATGAGGAAGAATATGACGCTTTGACAGAGGAGGAGAAAATCATGTTTGACCGAGAGATACAGAATGCACTCCGGGAGAGAAAGAAGAGGTGGGAATCAGGGCTGGCCAGAGCAGAAGCTGTCCCCTAGGATGAACTCATAGGGAGACTGGGGCTACTGTGGTCCCAGTTCTGGGTCATCTTCTGGGAGGATAGAAGCTGCCACAGAAGACCCAGGAGGAGAACAGGAGAGTTCATCTGGCCCTTGGGGACATGGTTGCTGCAGGTTTGGGGAGTATCTCCCACTCTCCTTTCTTTCCTTCTTCCTGGGTGTGTTTGGGGTCAGCAGAAAGTTTCTGTAATATCATGGCCACCCTGTGCTATCCCAGGGCCCTGCTGGCTTCCCTGACAGTGCACCCTGGGTGTGGTTTATCATCCCTGTGCCTAGGTACCCACAGCAGCTGACCCAGGATTCTCTTGTGAATACAGTGGCTGCTCCCTAGAACCCAGTCATTTCTCCTGCTTCCTACACCCCGTCTTGGCCTACGGTGCTGCCCATCCCTGAGGTCTGGCTGCCTCCCCATGTGATCCTCGGCCTGGCAGCTCCCAGCAGGCTCACAGCCAGTGAGCTCAGCAACCTTGTGTGCCTCTCACTGGGGACCACAGGGGAATAACTAGATCCCTGCATCCCACCTGTGAGACTTAGGGCTGCCAGCTCACACTAGCCCAGAGATTCAGGGGGACACTGGGACACACATTATTTCTGCCCTCAGAACTTCAAACACTTCAAGGCTAAGAGTCCACCCACTCTCGGGGGTTTCTAACGATGGAAAGGGGAAGAGCCTAAGGTCCATATAACTCTCCTTTCCTCTCCCTCCATCTCCTCCCCCACTAACTTCCAAAGAGCTTTTATGGGCTCCCTGCCCCTTCAGTGTACTCTTCTCCTTTCTCTTACATGGTCCTGTAGAATGCCAGTCCTCCCGATATGACAAGCCCACTCCAAAGGAAACTGTGCTCACCAGGGCTGCTGCTTTCAGATAGTCATCTTATGGGGGACTTAGGAAATGCAAATTTGATCTGCAAAGCTCAACAATGAGTTTCCCCTCGCTCCCCCTCCCCTGCCTTTCTCTCTCTCTCTCACACACATGTAAACACACACACACACACACACACACACACACACACACACACCATGGAGGATGTTGAGTTAGCCTCAGTGGGCAGAAAGCCATAGCAACCAGGAACACCTAGAGATTCCTGGAGATGAAAAGAGAAGGGTTAGATAGTGTCTGAAGTGCTGTTCCCTCACTTGTGTGAGTGTGCTGCCCTCTCTGCTGTTAGCTGGGGCAGGCGAGATGGAACACAGGATGCATGGCAGGAAGGCAAAGAAAGAGGAGAGCAATGTGCCTTTCAGACCCAGTAGCATGGCTCCAAGTCAGCCATGGCAGGGACTGCCATTAAAAACATCATACCTGTTGTCTCAGCACCAAATGCAACAGTACAAGAGGCAGGGTCACGCCTGTACTAATGCCAGAGCAATCCTGGAAAGCTGTTTTTCAAAGACCAAGCTCACCAGGTGCAATGGAGGGCACCCGGTAATCCCAGCTACTCAGGAGGCTAAAGCAGGAGAATCGTGAGTTTGAGGCCAACATGGGCCACTAAGTAAGGCCCTGTCTCAAAATCTAAAACATAATAATGTCCAGCTTAATTCAGCTCTTGTCTCGCTCTCCTGTGAAAGGAGATGGAAATAGAAATAGATTCATTGAAAATTCCTCCAATTGTGTTTAATTAATCAGAGATTTACTGCATGAACTTTCAAAGATAGATGTGAGCCCTTCCTTCCCTCCTCCCTCCCCGACCCTCCTTTCCTTCCTGTTTTCCCCTCTTTCTTTTGTCCATTCTTTCTTCTCATGCCCAAGGCAGCTCTGGCCAGGGCCCCTCCTCCGGGCAGTGTAGGTGGGCAGAGCCTGGCGGGTGGCCCTGACCTCTGTTCCTCTGCCTGGTTCCATGAAGGGAAATGGAGAGACTGGCCAAGGAGATGCAGGAGAAGAAGCTACAGCAGGAGCTCGAGAGACAAAAGGAGGAGGATGAGCTGAAGCGAAGGGTCAAAAAGCTCAAGCCAGGCCTCCCCGGGAAGGAGGAGCCCCCCGTGAAGAAGCCTCCAGTGCCAAACAAGCAGGTAGCCGTCCTCGGAGCAGCACATAGCCCCCCACCCGGCCCAGAACATTTCCTCCTCTGGAAAGCAGCCCAACGTGTCTGGTTTTGGCGGGGGCAGAGGCTGGAGGACCTTGTCTCTCCATTTTGGCATCCCTCCCGCCCTGCAAGGGTCAGAGAGGTGAACTCCATCCCCAGTTCAGAGGTGAAGTCCCAGTCCAGGACCTGCAGTTTTGTCTGACCACAGCCCTGCTCTTTCCTCTGCCCGCTGCAGGACCCCAAGTGGGGCTAAATAGGCTGCATTAAAGATCTGCCTCGAGGAACCCCAGGAGGCCCATGTGTTCCTTGACAACAGTCAAGGGTGAGGCTAAAGCCAGACTTTGAGACAAGGTGCAGACAGGTCCAAGTGGGTGACTGTGAGACAGTGACCGCAGCCCAGTAGACCCAGGGCAGGAGAGTCAGCAACCAGGGAGGCCCTCTCTGCTGTCAGCCGCAGGGGCAGTCATGGCTGAACACACAGAATGCACAGCAGAAAGGGGAAGAGAGAGGAGGAGAGGAATTTGGCTTTCAGACCCAGGGCTGAGGAGGAAGCAGGGTCTGAGTACACAGAAGTGGACACAGGTCAAGGATGCCTGATGCCACTGACATGAGAGAAGTATATGACCTCTCAGGGTACCCAGGAGAGAATTCCAGGGACTGACTCCTACCCCTCTTGCATGATGTTACTCATGAAGCCAGGAGGGAGAATTTAGTCACTGTGTGTATGTCAGGCATTCTTTTTTGCAATTAACAGTGTCCATTTCTTACTTGGAAAAAGGTGGGAATAATCTGTGCAGAAGTTGTCTTCTTAAACTTGCTTTTGAAAGACAGCATTTAATTCATTATTAAAAGAAAGACTATCTGGAAAACCGTCAACTGCAAATTATGCCCACTAACTTCATCGCCAGAGTCTCCACCTGGAATCTGTTGGAACTTCAGTGAGGGTTTCCCATCATCCTCTCAGCTCAAGTGACTGCGTCTTGAGCACCCCCACCCCTGGCAAGTCCCCTCTACCAGGAACAGGGCACATCCCTTCACATATGCTTTGTGGACCTTGGGTGGGGTGGGAGGGGCAACAGCCATCCGTTTGGGGGCAAGCGAGGGTATCATCTGAGCTTAGCCTGAAACAATCAATCATACTCCCCGGGGAAATTCTCAAGGCCCCCTTGGACTAAGCAGTAGCCTGGCGAGTAAACCCTAGCTCAGGAAAATCTGCTGAGACTAGATATATCTTCCAGAAGTGAAAGAAGATCCAGGTGGAAGGGAAGAACTGAAGACGTTCCTGCTTCCTCATCCAAAGGACTGACTGCTCCAGGTCTTGGGTCTTTAGCACCATCCATTTCCCTCTCTCTGCTCTGGCCTCAGTCTTTCTTCTCATCGGCCTCTTTATTTTAAGATTTCTCATGTTCAAGAATCACCCTTTAAAAAAGAAAAAAAAAAATCTTCAACCTGGTAGCCCCCTGACCCAGCACTCTGTTCCTCTCCTTCCTCCACAATTCACAATTTCCAAGAATTACCCTACCTGCAGGCTCCACAGGCTGGCTTCCCATTCATGCCCGGCCTTTCCTACTCTGACTGGGGTGGCCATGATTCCCTCCCGTCAAAGGGTCTGGCAGCCTCTTCCTGTCCAGATCAACAGCTCCAGCGTTGGCCTGCTCAGCTTCCTTCTCTGAGGGACTTACAAGGTTGACTCCTATTCTTTGAGCTCTTGTTTCCAGTGAAAGCCCTGTTCTTTTTTTATTATTGTTAATTTATTTATTTATTCTAATTAGGTATATATGACAGCAGAATTCATTTTGATTCATTTTAGACAATTGCAGCACAACTTTTCATTTCTTTGATTGTACATGATATAACATTGTACCATATGTGCACTCGTACATGTACCTAGGGTAATGAAGTCCATCTCATTCCACCATCTTTCCTCCCCCATACCCCCTCCCCTCCTTCCCCTCCCTCCCCTTTGCCCAAAGTTCCTCCATTCTTCCCATGCCTCCCCCATTATGAATCAGCATTCACTTATCAGAGAGAAGTTTAGCCTTTGGTTTGTTGGTATTGGGTTACTTTGCTCAGCATGGTATTCTCCAACTCCATCCATTTACCTGCAAATGTCATGATTTTATTCTCTTTTCATGCTGAGTAATATTCCATTGTGTATATACACCACATTTTCTTTATCCATTCATGTATTGATGGGCATCTAGGCTGGTTCCACAGTTTAGCTATTGTGAATTGAGCTGCTATAAACATTGACATGGCTGTGTCACTACAGTGTGCTGATTTTAAGTCCTTTAGGTATAGACCAAGGAGTAGGAATAACTGAGTCAAATGGTGGTTCCAGTCCAAGTTTTCTAAGGAATCTCCATTAATTTCCAGATTGGTTGCACTAATTTGCAGTCCTATCAGCAATGTATGAGTGTGCCTTTTCCCCCACATCCTTGCCAACATTTATTGTTGTCTATATTCTTGATAAGTTCCATTCTAACTGGAGTGAGATTAAATCTTAAAGTAGTTTTGATTTGCATTTCTCTAATTACTAGAATGTTGAACATTTTTTCATATATTTGTTGATCGATTATATATATTCTTCTGAAAAGTGTCTGTTCAGCTCCTTAGCCCATTTATTGATTGGGTTGTTTGTTTTTTTGGTGTTAAGTTTTTTGAGTTCTTTCTATATCCTGGAGATTAGTGCTCTATCTGACGTGCATATGGCAAAAAAAAAATTGCTCCCATTCTGTAGGCGGCTCTGTTCACCTCATTGATTGTTTCTTTTGCTGAGAAGAAACTTTTTAGTTTGAATCCATCCCATTTATTGACTTTTGATTTTATTTCTTGCACTTAAGGAATCTTGTTGAGGAAGTTGGGGCCTAATTCAACGTGATGAAGATTTTCCTCTGCTAGGCACAGGGTCTCTGGTCTAATTCCTAGGTAAATGGGGAGCCCCAGCATGGTCCTCTGCTCTGTGCAGGGCGATCCTGAGTCTGGGCTTTCACACAGGTCAGTGGGGGCAGTCCTGGGCCTGACCTGGGCCTGGGCTCCTGCACAGGTCAGTGGGGCAGTCCTGGTGAAAGCCTGTTCTTCTGTCATCCTTTCTTCCCTCTTGGGCTCCTTTCTGGGCTCTGTCTCCATCCATCCTTAGTCACTCTGCAGATTTCCAATCCTAGCCTTCTCTAGCCACTAGGCACTTTGGTCCTACCCCACATTTGGCTTCATTGCTATTTACTGGCCTCACCTGATGTGGTGGGGAAGAAGGAGAGAGTCAGGAAGAACTTGCAGGTTCTAAAGGGAAAGGGCGGCTGCTCTGGGCAGGGTGAAGAGGAAGGCGCCTTCTGTCCTCTGTGGCTGTCAAGGTGTCATCTGCAGCACCGTCTTGTTCCTCCCATGTTAGCCTGATTCTTCTTCTAAGATGCTCGTTCTTTGTTGTTAAGAGGCTGTCTCTTTTATTCGGTAATTTACTATGATTTTCCTAATATTTGATCCTGCACAGGGTTTCTAATGATTCTTGAATCTGTGGCCTGGGAACTCTCAAACCAGTAACTTGTCGAAACCACTTGTCCTCCATTCTTTCTCTCCGCTCCCTCTGGGATCCCAGCCACACATGTGCTCGACCTTTTTACAAACTTTCCCCAGTGTTTCCTTTGTCTCTCTTGCTTGCTCTGTGTTTGGCATGCTTTTGTCTCCTCCTGCTTCACCCTGGACATTTTCTTCCGGCATGTTGTCAAGTTCACTGTCTTTCTTCAGTGAGGTCTACTCATTGTTCAAACCTCCTTCTAATTCTTAATTTTGTTTTTGTTTTAGAAAGCTACTAGCTCTTATTTTTTTTCTAGTTCTCTTCAAAATCCTCAATCTTGTCATTTCCTCAAACATATTCCTATTTTTTTCAGGTCCTTTCTGACAATGCCAATGCACAAAGCCCCAGGCACTCTTCTGCTGTCTGTCATTTGTTTTTGGTTTCTGGACACAGGGTCTTTTCTCTTTGGGTACTAGGTTATTTTTTATTTTTTTGAACATGAAATTAGAAATGATTCAAGGCGCTGGAGGATGTTATCTACCTCCAGAGAGGACCACTGTTTGATTCTGGCAGACAGCTCGCTTAGGAGCACTTCAAGTCTTACTTCAACCAGGATTGAGATCATTTAGAACCGAGCTTCAGTCCCTGGTAGGGCTGGGCTTACTCTGGTCCTGCCCTACTCCTAAAATGGAGCCTTTCAGAGTCCTAACCCAAAGGGTAGGGGAGCTACCAAGAGCTCTTTTTTTTAGCTAGTTTTTGAACCCCAGTCCCCATGAGTCTGTCAAAAGTCTTGCTCAACTTCTCAGCCACACTTTTGAGGGAAAAGCAGCTCCAGTGTTGGGCCACTCTCTGTCATCCCCTCCTCTCTCTGATCGTGGCCTGCAGCTCATGACAGTCTGGGTAAAGCACTTGAGGTTTTGAAATGTTTTATGCAGATTTCCTGCTTGTGGGTGTTGAATTATATGACATGATTTGGTTTTCTTCTTCAGTCAATTCACATGGTAGGTTACATATTCATTATTGAATTAATTTGCTTTAGGACTAAAGGTTTATTTAGGTTTTACTTTCAGAGTCAATTTGGTCATTCATGATTTTCTTTAAAAGTAGCCGCCTTATCATACGTTCAAGTTTACTGGCTTAGGGTAATTCATGCTGCTATCTTAACCTCTTCTGTATCTGTGGTTATGTTCTTGTTATCACCCCACCTGGTGCTTATTTGTACACTTCTCTCTTTTTTCTTGAACAATCTTGCTAGGACTTTGGCATTTTTATTGCTTTCCAAAGTAACAGTTTCCGCCTTGAGCCCAAAGTATCCCTATTATATGATTGTTTCCTACCTAATTAGTTTCTAGTCCTGTCTTTTTATAATTTTATTCTTTCCATGATGTTATTTTTCAATTCCTTTTCTCAATTCTTAAGGCGGATGCTTATTTTATTAATTTTGAATCATTTTTATTTTCTAATTTATTAAAAGTTATAAAAGCATTTAAAGATATATAAGTACTTGCAAACATTATTTTTAGACCTACTCCTCAAGGGTTGGCATCCAGTGTTTTCATTGCTCTTTGATTCTAAAAATATTTTCTACAATCCTTTATGGCTGCTCCTTCAACCCATGGACTATTTCAAAGTGTATTTTCTCATTTCCAAATGAATGGCCTCGTTAAGGATCATTTAAGTTTCTGATTCTAGAATACCATCCTCATAGAACGTGTTCTGTGTCGTGTTTTCTTCACGTTTGTGGAGCTCTGTTATGTGGCCTCACACATGATTAGTTTTTGTCAATATTTCTCATGTTGAAATAATGTGTGTATTTGATTTCTGCACCTGTTCACTCAAGCTCATTGATCCTGTTATTAAACTCTTCCATATTCTGAAGTAGTTTCTTATCATCCCCCAGCTGCTGGATGCTGGGCTCCTACAATCTTCCAAGTGCAGGTCCTCCCCACTGGGCTCCATCCTCTGTACCAACCCTAGTGTGTTGGCAATGGCTTTCCAGACCAAAATGGATGAGGTAGAAGCCACGTTCCCTCCCATCCTGATGCAAGCTGCCATAAGGTGCCGGAGCTCTTACCCCATAAGCAGCTTTGCCAGCACTGAGACTGAACACAGCCAGTCATGTTGCTGGTCTGTGTTCAAGATGGAGAAGTGGAGTAGGAGGAGGTTCAGTGGGGTAGAGGGAAAAGCCCGCCCCGGGTCACACAGGTCTCCAAGACTGCAACATGCCTGAACACAGAGGAAGAAGAGCTGTAACTGGGAAGGGGGACACTCGGTTATACTGTAGGTAGTGACCAGTAGACTGGACGAGACAGGACATCACCAAATAATGACCCAAAAAGTAATGGAACCTACCTGAGGATTTCAGAGCCTACAAAACAAATTTGAAAGGGAAGGAAGAAAAAGATTAAATGTGGTTTCTATATGCCCAGTTCATTGAATAAATAAATGTTTTCTAAAAGCCTAGGGTAGAGCCAGATTCTAAACTCCCATTTGTTCCCAACAATACACAACATACACAAAACTTGTGTAATTTTAATAACTTCATGCTAAGTAGAATCCTTACTCCACGGCAGTCACTCACAAGCTGCTTATATGTATCCACACTTTTAGTCTTCAACAGTCTCTGGCATAGTTATTAATGTCAGTACCAGTACTACTCTCCCCCATTATACAGATGGGGCAGAGAGAAGTGAAGTCCTTGCCCAGGAGTACAGCTGGGACTGAACACAGCCAGCAGGCAGTGCAACTAAGACTCAACACTTGGCCTATTCCAGAGCACCTGAGAGCAGGTGCAGAAGGCTTGATTTGCAGGACTTTTCCTGTTGACCCTTCAGAACAGCAGCTGTCAGCCAGGAGCACACATCCAGGGCATCACACAGCTTTCTCAGAATGCACAGGACCAGATCCCAGCCCAGTCTACAGCAGGGAAAGAACCACGGGATAGTTATTTTAGATAAAAGCCCCCCAAAGTGGTTCCTAGGCACGACTGTGCCTGGATCCTATGAGGCCACCTTTTGAAACAAAAATGTCTGTCCTCTTACTGTTTTTTACATAGTCTCCTCACCCTTAGTAAACTGTATAAAACCTCGTTTCTGTGTTTTACCTTCTAGATTATTACTTCCAGCAAACCAGATCTCAAGATGGAGCCGCTAGAAAGGAAGATTTCTGTCCAGGAGCAACTAACGGTGGAGAAGGAAGAACAAAGCAAGAAAAAAAAAACCATGACCGATGTCAACTCGTTTGGGGCTCCTCTTGTCCCGGAACAAGAGGAGAGTGAAGGGGACTTCCCAAAGGACTCTGAAAAGCAATTGGCCCAGAAGTTCAAGGCCTATGAGTTGAGCCTGAAGGATATCCAGGCCATGCTGGTGTTCTGGGACCGCAAGCAAGGAGTTCAGCTGCCTCAAGGAGGGATGGAGGAGGTGCCCCACGAGCCCGATGACCAGCGCCAGGCTCCCTCGGGGCGGCGGGGCCGCAAGGACCGGGACCGGGAGCGCCTGGAGAGGGAGAAGGCCGAGAGGGAGCGGCTGGAGAGGGAGAAGGCCGAGAGGGAGCGGCTGGAGAAGCTGCGGGCCCTGGAGGAGCGCAGCGACGGGGAGGGGGAGGGGGAAGAAGACCACGAGGGCAAGAAGGACCTGGGGGTGCCCTTCATCAACATCCAGACTCCGGACCCCGAAGGCTTGAACTGGAAGCAGGCCCTGGAGAACGACAGGCTTCCCGAGGCCGAACAGGTAGGAGTGTAACAAATGAGGCAGCAGGTACCGCCACGCCCCGTCCAAGATCCTCATCCCTTAATTGGATTCATCTCTGATGCTCCCGGGATAAAAGACAATAATGACTTAGAGGGACCTTTGGGCATTGGCAAAATAAAATCCATAGAAAGTCCCACCAGTCTTAGTATTCTATCAAACCTCACAGCCACCCGTACAGCTCATCTTTGATGTTTTCATCACTGTATTATGGGATGGCAAGGCAAGTGACTCCTCTACTCCAAAATCTCTTCCCCCAAAGCCTCCCACAGTGACAGAAACCATCCTATTAGATACCCTTCTCCGCCTGCATTTGTGAAAACCACCCTGGCCAGTGGAGGCATAGGGGGTATATTATACCTTTTATCCATGTGTCCTGGGAAAAGAGATGTCTCTGGAGAAGGGTCTAAGGAGTTCCCAGAGGGGCAGGAAAATTCAAGTCAGGATCAGCAGGGTTCTTGACATATGTGACGGAAAAGAATTTCAGCATAAGCCAGACAAGGGCATAGACAGAGGTTTATTTAGGAATGTAGATGCCTTGGGCTGGGGATCCAATATTTATAGCAGGGCTGTATCAGGAGCCAGACTGGAAGTGAGGCCAGGATGGAGCTGCACAATTTCATGTCCATTTTCCCTGCACGTACGTGTTTCCCTTGTTTTAGAGCATGGGCCAAGGGCCTGTTGCTCAAGATTTCCACCTGTGCTTTCTGCATCTCAATGGCTCATGGGCGCTTCCTTTAAGATTCAGTGTATCTCTCTGTTTATCCTAAATACCTATGTCATAGGAACAGGTTTCCTTCTGGAAAGGACCAGAAAGTACAATTTTAGGTTGTAGTTCATACACTCTGTATCACATCCATTCGTCTCAGTCTTGGGATGGTGAAAACAGCCTTCAATAATATGTAAGCAGATGAATATGGCTATGGTCCAATAAAACTTTATTTACAAAAAACAAGTAGCAGGCCAGAGTTGGCAGGGGAGAGGAGGAGCTTATGTTCTCTGACCTCTGATTAGTTTATCAGAAACTAGGTACAATGTTTCAAAGTAGAGAATGGAGCCGGAGAAGGTTACACATACTCAAGTGTTAGTGGAGAGTAATCCCCAAAGGGGCAGACTTCAAATGATGTGGCCTCACAACAAGTCTTCCCATAGTGGTCCAAGGTGGGGCCATAGGAGAAGTCTGTGGAGGACAAACCCCAGCAGCTCAGTTCACAGTTTTGCCTCAATACAAAAGAAATTGTGATTTTTTTTTCCAAAAATACACCTTTTGAAAAAGACCGACAGCCAAGAACATCTCCTTGTATTGCTTTATACCCTTCACATCCGAAGTCATAGGTTAGACTTGCTTGGAGAACCTCCTGGCTCTGGTAGTTTAATAACTGGTACCAGCAGTTCAATGCTTTCCTCACAGACATTCTAAATACTGGGACGGTGTGTGGAGTGGGAAGTCCAGCTCCTGGCCCCTGGGATGAGAGGCACAGGGTGATTACATAACAGTGGTTACTTGCTAGACCTAACAGGCTACTTGGTCCATAGATTGAGCACTCAATAGCATTTATTTTTGTGATGAAAACAATTAGTATGGGTGTAGCCTGCTTATTCTGATGATATTTGCATGCTGGGAAGTCAATTTTCAACTCATCTGTTCTGGAAATTGCTCGTGCATTATGTATCAGAGATGACTGGGATGCTGTAGGAGTACATTTTCTCTCTCAAGGTTCTTCTTGACCTCTCTCCATTCCCATCCTTTATTGCATTCCTAGAATCCTTGGCGGATTTTTTGTTTTATGCTCTATTTGACCTGCTCCCATCCTAACTTTCTTTCACCTTTGAAAGGAAAGAGCATTTAAAGTGAAAGAAAATAGAAGCATGAAATATGAACATGGATGAAGCAACTCTACACTGTCGGCGTCAGAACCTTACTTACCAGCTGGTCTGTTCATGCAGATTGGTGCTAGGTTTTGGGCCATGTCAACCTGGTTTTTGTCCTAATGGGGTTTACAGTCAAGTTGCAAAGACAGATCATCAACCAGTCACAATACAGCATGGCAAAGACTACAGAAAATATAGGGAGCCCACAGTCTGTCTAGGGTACAGAGGTCTTTCTAGACCTCCCTTCAGAGCTGTTCAGAAGTCCTTGATGCCTGTTCTTGAACCATTCTTATTGCAGGTGTGTCCGTCAAGAATGTTGAGGGATGGGGGGTAGGGGTGAGCCACTCCTGCTCTCTCAAGGAGGTGGTTGAGATTTGCCTGGCCTCTGCATAGGAAAGTAATCAGGCCTTTCTTTTAGATCCTGGACATCTTGGGTCTGGGGTCCTCTGGACCACCCATCCCACCTCCTGCCTTGTTCTCTGTCATCTCCTACCCTGTGAAGCGGCAACCCATCGCCACCATTGACATCTTGAAACACTTTGTGTTTGTGACTCCACCAACGGATGAGGTCTCCCTGGTAGAAGAAAAGAAAGAACCAGACGCAGAATTTGAACTTGGCACCAACACTATCTCTCCAAAGGTAAAGCATCTGCTGCTGGTTCTCCTGACCTTGGCAGGACTTCAGAGGGCAGAAGGAAGGTCACCACCCCAAAGTGGCCAAATCCTGACCCTCCCTCTCCCCTCTGCCATCCTGTGCAAGCCTCTCCAGGCTGCACCTTCCCTGCATATGACTCGCCCTGCTTCCCAAGAGGAGGCTGAAAATAATGGCGATTGACCTTCCAACCTTTCCAGTCCCCAGGGGAGGGTCTAAGGAACTGGTTACATTACTCTGAAGCTCAACTGCAAGAAAAAAGTAAGCAAAACTAGCTCCTTTAAAAAGATACCCAAAAAATGTATTATGAAGCTAAGGTGCTTTACACAGTGCCTAAAAATACACAAGGATCCACAGATTCCAATTCAGGGAACACAGCCAGGAAAAGAATCAGTTATTAAAGAGATTAAGATGGAAAGATTGGATATTTTGAGTAAAGTCACTTTTTATCTCCTTACCTGATACTATAGTAAAATAAATTCTAGTTGGAATAAAAATAGATATAATCAAAATAGAATCATGTAAAAATAGAAGAAAATTATACAGAATTAGTAGAATAAATCACAAAGGGAAATAGATATGATAGCAATAATATGATATTAAAATTATAGAGGTATTTTTTTATCCCCGGAAAACACTGGCCCAAAAGTTTAATCTCTCCACACATGCTCCCACGAACTATGTACCTCTGCAGAGAGAAAATAAAATTACCTGTACTCTGCGGCACTGTCCTAGCATCTGTAACCTAGTGTTGAAGCATAAAGTGCCCAGTACCACCTATGAGTCAAATCAAGCTTTTAAGCCAAATTTACAGGAAATAGAGGGAGAAAAGGAGTAAGTTCAATGGCACTGTGAGAAGAGTCAGAACAATTGAAAGTATGAAATATACTGTAAGAACATAGATATGGTCTCTCCAAAGAGTCAGGACAATTGGGACAAGGTAGGAGGCTGGAGATTAAAGATACTAAACTCTAGGTTCAATCTATAGCACAAAAACAAACAGAAAAAAAAAGATACTAAATAGATTTCATGATAACCAATATAGGAGCAAATGGTTATAAAAAGAAATGCCTGGGACAAATAGGAAAATTTTAACATGGACTGTATGCCAAATGATAGCCTGGAATTATTGTTCAGTTTCTTAGATGCTGTAACAGTATTATGGTAGTCAAGGTAGTCCTTGATCTCAGGCACAGGCTGAAGTACTTAGAGGCAAAGAGTTACCATCTGCAACTCACCTTCAATGGTTCCAAAGGAAAAACAATGGATGAAATAAATAAATATTACCAGCCGGGCCTGGTGGCACATGCCTGTAATCCCAGCAGCTGGGGAGACTAGGGCAGGAAGATCACAAGTTCAAAGCCAGCCTCAGCAAAAGCAAGGTGCTAAGCAACTCAGTGAGACCCTGTCTTAAATAAAATACAAAATAGGGCTGGGGATGTGGCTCAGTGGTCAAGTGCCCCTGAGTTCAATCCCCGGTACCAAAAATAAATAAACAAATATTACCCACTGTTAAAACTAGTTATGACTGTACTAGGCCTTCAACTTTGCAAGTTTTATAAAATAAAAAGTTAGAAGTGATAAATAAATTAAAAGAAAAAAAATTAGTCAAGAAACATGAAAATACCCCTAGAAAAATGGAACCTTCTTATTAAAAGTGACATACTAAATATATGTTTATTCTACTACTTCAATAGAATAAACATATAATAGAAAGAGATTTTTTTAAACAGCATAAATCCTAAAAACAAAGAGAAGGAGAGAGGAGATGACCGGGAATAAAATATGCCAACAGAATATTGGAGTTGAGTGAACAAGATAGCTGGTCTCGCAATGCCAAAGAAGTTGGAAGCCCTGTTGCTATGGGTGGGCTGAGTACTGTCAAGGGCTGAAATCCTGGTCCCACAGCCTCCCTGCCGACTTCAGGTTTTCTCTGGGGTTTCAGCCTCCTCTTCGGGGAGCAAGGTCTTATCATTGGCAGGCAGGCTGGACCCCACCTGTCACGCAGCAGCACCCACAGTACCCCCACCCCAGACTGCAGACGAGTCAGGGGAATCTCCATCTTTGCTGGTGTGTACCTAAGATGAGTATTTAAGACCCTGTGCTCATTTTTAATGAAGGTCCAAGAGGAACAGCCCACCTCATCTAAGGGGGGAAGACAGAAAACAAAAGAAAAACCAGAACAAACCCGTGAGACTCAGAAGGAAAAACGTCTCATGGCCTTCAACAGGAAGGGCCTTGCTGGGGGGCCTGCTGGGATCATCACGCCCCTGACCGACATGGACCAGAACAACTTCAGCAGGCAGCACTCTCAGGAGAAATTCATCAGGTGGGCCTCCCAGCTGCCCAAGGGAGGGGGACGCAGAAGCCCCACACTGAGCTATCACAGCACCAGAGGGGAACAGGGCTGGGCTGCTTGTGGGGCCCTGTGACCCGCAGTGCTAACCCCAGCAGGGCAGGGCCTCTCCCAGGCAGCTCTCCTACCCTCTCTTGCCAGAAGGAAACACTCTCACTTTAAAAGCCTGTGTGTTGCCAGGCCCGGCACCACATCTATAATCTGAGCAGCTCCGGAGGCTGAGGCAGAAGGATCAATAGTTCAAAGCCAGCCTCAGCAATTTAGCGAGGCACTAGCAACTCAGTAAGATCCTGTCTCTAAACAAAACACAAAATAGGGCTGGGGATGTGACTCAGTAGTTGAGTGCCCCTGAGTTCAGTTCCCAGTAACCAAAGTGGGGGAAAAAAAAGTCTGTGTGGTCATTTCAGGCTGAATCACTTCCGATGGATCGTGCCAGCCAATGGAGAGGTGACACTCCGAGTACACTTCTCTTCTAATAGTCTGGGGAACTTTGATCAAACCTTTAACTTTGAGATACTCGGAACTCGCCGCCAGTACCAGCTTTATTGCCGAGGTGTCTGCACTTACCCGTACATTTGCCAAGACCCAAAGTAAGTGTATTTTATTTCAAAAGAAAAGGTTATCGTTTTCCTCCATGGTACTTTAAACAAGGCTGCTGTTAATAATAACAGAACTGGTACAGCATTCCTGACCCTGTTGTTGTACAAGGCCTCAGTGTCTCAGACATTGACCAAGAGCCTCAGAGATGGCACGGTGCCACAAGTGAGTTCCAGACTCAGTTAGATCAAGTGTAAAAGGGGAGGGCAAGATAATTTGCTTATTTAATTGTTATGCAAATTTAAACCAATTTCATATTTGCTCTAGGATTTTTTCATCTTATAATGCAAATATGCATGCGAATCTCCATGGGTGGGCTTTTTTCTGAGCTGAACACCCCTGTGCAGTTTATGCACCACATAGAGATTCCTGGCTGAGCAAGCTAGCAGGGCTAATTCCCTGGAGGAGGGGGCCTTTTATACATGTCTATCCAGAGGAGCCTTTTGCAATTCTCACCAAAGGGCCCCATTGAACCAAGAACTAGTTTTCCATAGAGATTCTTGGAAATTTTTCTAGCTGGGCTCACTGGAACAGAATGCCCAGTTCAGCTCTATTATCAGCCCTTGTTGTGGCAGATACCCCTGGAATCTTTTCTCTGAAGTGCAAACCTTACTGTCCTCCCTTGGGGTGGGAAAGCCTTGACAAAGTTCCTCCAATTACTAGTAACTGTCTTCAGACACTTGGCCCCTTTGCAGAACAGGGAGCGCTAGGTTCTACACACATCAAGTGCTGTTATTGAACTTCCATTCAAGTAGCTCACCTCACCTCTTCCTCCCCTGGGTTCAGAGTGGTATTCCCTCAGCGGAAGAAGGACATGAAGCCAAATGAGGTCATCTTTAAGCAGTATATTATGAGCTTGGAGAAGTTTTCCTTTGGACCACTCCTTTGTGGAAAATCAAGAGATAAGTAAGTGTTCCCTTATTTTAAAACAGTTTTCAAATGCCTGGGTTGGGCTTATGAATAGTACAAGATTTTTTTTTTTTTTTTTTATGTAGACATAGCTTTAGCTGATTCGATGTCAGTTAGAACCAAATCACAAATCAGGATAACTAGGTTATGCTTAAACACCCAGATGAATTGAAGACCACCAAATGAGAAACCCTGGGAGAGGGCCAGGTTTTGAAGAGTAGGATCAAGAGGTCGCTTTGGGATCTGTTAAGTTTGAGATGCTTGAAAGATATCTCTATAAGCCACCTAAAGTGGAGAATAGGATATATGATTTGGATTCTCAAAGGAGAGCTCTGTCTTCAAGACTGCAAAAGCCATAGGCACAGATGAGATGGGCTAAGAGGAAAGCATTTTAGAAGAGAAGGACCAAAGATGGAGCCCCAGAGAACCTCACCATGCACAGGAGGAACCACAAAGGAGATGAGAAAGAGGGCCAGAGCTATTAAGAGAGACCAGGAAAGGGTGGTGTCATGGATCCAGGAGAAGAAAGAAGGATCATTTTTGTTGAATGCACTGAGAGGACAGAAGGATGAAGGCATAGACATTCACAGGGTTTAACAACATGGAGATCATGCCCTTCAATAGATGAATGGATTAAAAAACTGTGGCATTTATACACAATGGAGTATTACGCAGCACTAAAAAACGACAAAATCATGGATTTTGCAGGGAAATGGATGGCATTAGAGCAGATTATGCTAAGTGAAGCTAGCCAATCCCTAAAAAACAAATGCCAAATGTCTTCTTTGATATAAGGAGAGTAACTAAGAACAGAGTAGGGACGAAGAGCATGAGAAGAAGATTAACATTAAACTGGGATGAGAGGTGGGAGGGAAAGGGAGAGAGAAGGGAAATTGCATGGAAATGGAAGGAGACCCTCAGGGTTATACAAAATTTCATACAAGAGGAAGTGAAGGGAAAGGGGAAAATAATACAAGGGGGAGAAATGAATGACAGTAGAGGGGGTAGAGAGAGAAGAGGGGAGGGGAGGGGAGGGGAGGGGAGTGAGGATAGTAGAGGATAGGAAAGGCAGCAGAATACAACAGACACTAGTATGGCAATATGTAAATCAATGGATGTGTAACTGATGTGATTCTGCAATTTGTATACGGGGTAAAAATGGGAGTTCATAACCCACTTGAATCAAAGTGTGAAATATGATATATCAAGAACTATGTAATGTTTTGAACAACCAACAATAAAAAAATTTAAAAAAAAAACTGTGGCATTTATACACAATGGAGTATTATGCAGCACTAAAAAACGACAAAATCATGGATTTTGCAGGGAAATGGATGGCATTAGAGCAGATTATGCTAAGTGAAGCTAGCCAATCCTTAAAAAACAAATGCCAAATGTCTTCTTTGATATAAAGAGAGCAACTAAGATCAGAACAGGGAAGAAGAGCATGAGAAAAAGATTAACATTAAACAGAGACGAGTGGGGGGAGAGAAAGGGAGAGAGAAGGGAAACTGTATGGAAATGGAAGGAGACCCTCATTGTTACACAAAATTACATATAAGAGTTTGTGAGGGGAAAGGGGAAAAAAAACAAGGGAGAGAATTAAACAACAGCAGATGGGGTAGAGAGGGAAGATGAGAGGGAAGGGGAGGGGGGATAGTAGGGGATAGGAAAGGTAGCAGAATACAACAGTCATTAATATGGTATTATGTAAAAATGTGGATGTGTAACCGATGTGATTCTGCAACTTGTATTTGGGGTAAAAAATGGGAGTTCATAACCCACTTGAATCAAATGTATGGAAGATGATATGTCATGAGCTTTGTAATGTTTTGAACAACCAATAAAAAAAAAAAAAAACATGGAGATCACCAGGGCCTTTAGTAAGAGTCCTTTTGGGGCACTCCTGAGAGTGAATCCCAAGTTTAGTAGGATGAGGAATCAATGAACAGTGAAAGAATGAAGACATGGTGTGAAGAAAACTCTTTGGAAAAGCTTGTCTAGGAGGAGAGATGGGATAGAGTCAAGGTGGAGAGAGAGAGATGAGGCTGGGGAAGTCTGGTTATGAACTTTTGTTCTCCTGGTGGCTGTCTGCCGAGGGTAGGTAGGAAGAAATACCCTGGAGTCTCAGGAGAAAGTCGGGTCCCCCAATGGCATAGCTCCCTGAGACAGCACAACACAATGGGGGCTGCTGGCCTTTGCCAGGAGGAAGCACCATCATCTCATAGTAGGAGCATGGCTTTGGGAGACAGTATGATCACAGCTTTGGTTAGAATGGTGAGGAGCTCCCTATGCAACTGTGTCTACTTACAATGTGTGAGGTCACCCTCCCAGGAGTGAAGAAAGTGGAGGAAGTTTAAAAATGTTGAGGAGGGGCTGGGGATGTGGCTCAAGAAGGGGCTGGGGATGTGGCTCAAGCGGTAGCATGCTCGCCTGGCATGCGTGCGGCCCGGGTTCAATCTTAGCACAACATTACAAACAAAGATGTTGTATCCACCGAAAACTAAGAAAAAATAAATGTTAAAAAATGTTGAGGAAATGGAGAAGATATGAAAAGCATTTTTTGTGGGGAAAAAAGAGCATATTAGAGAAATAGATTAAAATTATCAGGCAAATTGGAGGCCTAGTAATCATAAATTTGTAATGCTACTAGTTTTTTCAGTTTATACAAATTTCTTATTGTATAGGAAGGAGATGAGATGGGAAATGGAACTTAACTCTCCAGTCTCTTATTTGCTGTGATAAATAGAGAGCATTGGTTTTGTGCTTTCTTGGTAGAGCTGATGGGCCATTTTTGTCCTCCCTTTATTACCTCTGGTTTATTTCCTGAGATGCTGGACTAGGAAGTGAAGGCAAAGAGGTTTTACTGACATTCAAGACCCAGTGGCAGGACTTGGAAGGAAGACTGAAGGTTGATGTGCAGGACATACAGAGAAATCCAGGAGTGGGAATCAGGGAAATTCTAACTATTCAGAGAGGCATGTGTTTGGGGCAGCATTGACATTGGCCAGGATGTTGTGCCAGACAACAATAATCTAGGAAGAATGTGATTACAGTGGTCTAAAACAAAGCCCATTCAAATTGTTCAATAATACCGCAATGTCCTTCTCTGCAAAATGAGAATATAATAGTGCCCACCTCACAGATTTGGGGAGACTGAACTGGTTAATGCATATGAAACCTGTTAGCACAGTGCTGGGTAGCAGTGATGATCAGTCAGATGTAGGCCACAGGCCCTTTCGCAGTTATTCACACACAAAGCTCTCTGTCTCTCTGACATTGATTCGGTTTCTGTCATTCTCTCCAGCTGTCCTCCATGATAGCCTGCCCAAAGATTTTTATAGCTGTTTTTGTTTTCCTGGTCTATGCTCTGGTCTGATGATGTACATGTTTACTCCTTGAACCTTCTCTTACGGTTCCTTTTCTGCTACTTACCATTAGCATAGCATCTTCCAGTGGCCATGGCATTCAACTCTTTGGATCTCTCCTTAAGCACTAAGAAACAGAAACAGCCTAGTAACAGTGAACAAGATCAGATGAATCCATGCCAAGAGGTGAATGAGGTCACCTCCAAGACAGAAGTGAAATAGCAAGTGACTCAAAAGATAATCTCTCCTGGGGATATAAGCACATGGAAGGGCAGATCTGCATATTTCTCAGAATTCTTTGCAATAATAATAACTCTTCATTGGGCATTTGATATCTCCAGCTCTCCTAAAAGCTTCAGGTATATGATCTCACTTAATATTCAGCAATCTTAAGAGGCATTATCATCCCTCTCAGAGATCAGGATTCCAAGGTTTAGGGGGCACCCAGTGACAGTATAGTGTTCTTGAAACAAGTGTGCACAATAGATCCTATGTTCTTAGCCACCATCCCACTGCCTTGTCCTTTTGAATGGTGTTGCACTACAGAGGTTCCTTTGCCACCTGAATTCTCCTTCCATCCTCACAAACTCATCCCCATTCCTGTTTGTCTCCAGGTACAAGTCATCCTTGTTCCCAGGCAACATGGAGACGCTGACCATCCTGAACAGTTCCCCAATGGTGGTGGAGGCATTCTTCTGTTTTCAGAATGATGTCAAAGCAAGTACCTACTTTCTGGAGCCTGTCAACATGACTCTGAAACCCAATGAGAAACAGGTAGAATTGCCTGGAAAAAAAGTCCAACATGGCCAGGGTTTCTTGGGAAATTTGAGGCCTTGGCATCCTCTATATAAACGTCCTTTCTTTTGATTCTTCCATCAGATGCTAACCGTGTGGGCTTACCCTACTACAGTTGGCGTCATTGAAGACAGCATTGTCTGCTGCATCAAGGAGAACCCAGAGCCAGCTATCTTCAAATTAACCTGCCAGGGGATCCGTCCAGAACTCGAGCTAGAGCCCAAACAAATACATTTTGACCGGCTCTTGCTCCACAGGTCAGAGTTCTAAATGATGCCCAGGACTGGAATGGAATTTTTAAAACATTTAGTTCTAGAGTGGCCAACTCATCCTAATTTGCTCTGGACTTTCCCAGCTTCAGCAATGAAAGTCCTGTATCCTGGGAAACTCCTTAGTCCTGTGCAAACCAGGATGCCTAGAAGCCCTATTTAGGTCACAGAGTAACTTGGGTTCAGTGGATAGATTTCAACAGAATCCCCCCTAAGATGAACTGGACTCCCTTAAGATCAACTAACAAAGTATATAAATATTTTCATTTTTCTCAGAATGACTAGCTTTTTTCCACCTTCTCAAAGTGGTCCATTACCTAAATGTTAAGAATCTGCTCAAGAAGTTAGGGCTCAAACAAAGAACTCTAGGCCAAATCAGAACTTATGTGTTCATTCACTGGAATTGTATTATTCTAAGTAAAGAATGTTTATTCCTAGGAAAGATAATATTGTTATGTATATGCTGCATTCCTTGGTGAAGACCAATGGATACTAGTGAAGTATTCCTGATTAAATACTTCATCTGTCTAATAAATACTGACTATTGAACTAAATAAGAACTGAAGCAACAAGAACTACTTTTCTGACCCTCATGGAGAAATCCATATTAAAGGCAACTCTGACTATGGTCCAAGATTGGCAGTATAGCTGTGATTGTGAGGCCATCAATTAATTTCTCTAAGCTTCAATTTCTTCATAGGTCATGTTAGATTAATAATATCAAATTCTATTATTGAACACACTTTAGTAATATGACATATTATCAGGTCATTGCATCCAACTACTTTAGTGTCTCCCTCTTTAAAAGGATGATTATTAGGTCATATTCAGAAACCAATAACAATCTTAATTATGGCAATCCTGAGTCCATGGATAAAGTTTTTTGCCAGCCACCTAAAGAGCCTAGTGCAGCATCCCACCTGAAACTCCACTGTCAGTGGTTTTAGTTTTTCACATTGGAAAGCCCCTGCCCTTTTAAATCATATTGCCCTTTTTCAGCATTAAATTTTACCTTTAGCAGGAGTGCATGGCTGCTGAGAGTGAAGCTTCAAGAGAAACGCAAGCAGGTAGGACAGACGGTCAAGATAGGGCCCTATCTTCAAAGAGGAATGAGGAAAGAGAAGGCTGCCTTTTCTGGATAAAATCAGAAATGCTTGGCTTTGATTCAGTCCTTTGATTCAGGTCCTCAAAGATGACCAAAATTTTGTAGTTAGCAGACACAATGACATTAAATCAATTATTATAAATATGTTCAAGGTCACAGTGAAACATGGGCTCAAGATGAATAAATAGATTGAGAATCTCATCAGAGGAATGGAAACTATTGTTAAAAAGCACACACTGACTATTTCAGATTTGAAAAGTACAATGTGTGAACTGAAAAGTGCACAGAATGAGCTAATCAGCTGATGGTACAGCAGAAGAAAGAATTGATAAATTTGAAAACAGATTTGATATAATTATTCAATTAAAGATAGAGAGAAAAATAGAAAACATGACCAGGATCCTAGTAAATGATGAGACAATGTCAAGCAATCTGAATTTTTGTAATTGGAGTCTCAGAAGGAAAAGAAAGAGATAATGAGGCAGAAAAAAAGAAAACTGTATGAGTCTTCCTCATATTTTTTGTGAAAAAGCATAAACCTAACAGTTCTAAGAAACTTAGCCAACCTTAAGATGGGTAAATACAGTTATAGCCAAGTCTTGCCTCTAAATCTGTCACTTTGGAGCCATCAACTAACCTAAGCTTCAATTTCTTTATAGGTCACTTGGGATTAATAATATCAACTCCATCTACTTTACATGATAGATTAATAACCAGGAAATAAAACCAAACCGTGTCAAAGAATAGAACAGCTACTTAAGATCAGAGATGAAGAGAAGATCTTAAAAGCAGCCGGGGGAAAATAAGATACATTATGACTGTCTTCTCATTTTAACAATAGAAGCTGGAAGACAATGGAATAGCATTTTTAAAAAATGTTATTTTAAAAAGAAAATATTATCAAGCCAAAAATCTAGAACAAGAGTATCCTTCAGAAATGAAAAGTAAATACATTTCTGGGTAAATAAAATTGAGATCATTTATTGCCACCATTTCTGTATTACAAGAAGCTCTAAAGGAAGTTTTTCAAGTTGGAAGAAAAATGACATCAGATAGAAACTTAGAGCTAAAGGAAGTAATGAAGAATACTGAAAATTTTAAATATATGGCTAAAAATAAAATGTTTAACTTTCCTTGATTTAATTAAAAGGCAATTTAATGACTAAAACAAAAATATTAATACTATGTTGTCAGACTTAAAAAGCACATAGATAAAAACATGTATGTAGATATAGATGTGCATCAATAATACCACATTAAAATGTGTGGTGGAGATTAAAGAAATTTATACTATTGAAGGGATCTTCATTTCATATTAAAATGTACAATATTAATTCCAGTAGACTCTGAAGATTAAGAAAATATATATGTATTTATATATAAATAATATATACATTTATATATATTAATATATATATGATAATCATAAGAGCAACCAGTAAAAAATAAAGCAAAGCAGTTTAGGTAACACAAAGGATTGGATTACTAAATCAGACCCACAGAAATAAGAGATCTTATCTGGTATCAAGCTTTTCTAGCAATATCAAGGATTCAAACAATCCAAAGGCACCAATGAAGAATAAGGATGTCTGGGACCTCTCTTATCACTCCCCAGGTCTTTCCTTTCCACATCAGCTATGTTCTTTCTGGCCCAAATTAACAACTCAGACTCTAAGTGAGGTTTTTGAATAACTTCTCTCAGCAGGGATAACTGATTATAAAACATGTAATTGTGCTAGGTGGTCACCTAGCTTATGTGATATCGTCCAGGGAGTCCATTTCCATAAATACAGATTCCAAATTTATCTACATAAGCAATCCTAAAGCAGGAACATCTGCTAACATTCCAAATCTAAGGATTATTTTCCTAGGAAATGTTACTGGCCTATTTACCATGGGATCCAGCTAACATCACTTTTACAAGGAGATTAGAGCTGGTCAACTATCTTCTTTCTTATCCCAGGATCATCTCCCCAAGAAAGAAATGGTCAGAAACCAGATTCATCCACCCCAGCTGTGTACCTTAAAGTCAATTAAAATATTATATTAAACCAAAGAAATGAAACAAAAAATACAGGCAAAAAGAAAGAAATGAAAGCCAAAGGGACAAAAGAAAATGCTAGAACATTTTTGAGACATTGAGAAATGTTGCCACTGATAAACAGGGATAGCGAGTTCAAAGCCAGCCTCAGCAATGCTGAGGCGCTAAGCAACTCAGTGAGACCCTGTGTCTAAATAAAATACAAAATAGGGCTAGGGATGTGGCTCAGTGGTTGAGTGCCCCTGAGTTTAATCCCTGGTACCAAAAAAAAAGAAAAAGAAAAAGCAGGAGATACATTTAACAATGGTAAAAGGAAAATTTCATAAGGAAGACACAATTATCAAGAATGTATATGTATGGGGCTGGGGTTGTAGAGCACTTGCCTAGCACATGTGAAGCTAGGCACTGGATTTGATCCTCAGCACCACATGAAAATAAATAAATAAATAGAGGTATTATGTCCATCTACAACTAAAACAAATATATTAAAAAGAAGTATGTGTACCTAAGAACAGAGCTTCAAAATACTTGAAGCAAAACCCAGTAGAACTAAGGGGACAATTAGATAAATCCATAATCATAAACATAAATACCCTTTTATGAAAGACAGAGGAAAAACTAGTCAAAAGATCAGCACAGAAAAAAATATCTAAATAACACTATTAATTACCTTGATCTAATTAAAATTTAGGTAACACTACACCCATCAACTACAATGTTTGTTTCAAGCATACCTACACCATATGCAATAGAGTACTGAGCCATAAAACATATCTCATTAAATTTCAATTGATCAAAGTCTTATATGTTTTCTGACCACAATATATTTAAATTATAATCAGGAGGAGCTACAAATAGAGAAAGGGAGATTAAAATGTGTCTTGTGATATTAATTTGGAATTGAAGTTCTCACTATGAAGTCATGATTTTTAATACACAGACACACACACACTTCCTACCTCTGTCAGTGGAAGGGCCTGGAAGCAATGATAACCAGTAGCAAGGGGCACACCAACATCCAGATCTGGTTTCTACTATCATTCTCTCCCCCAAATAGGGACTCCAAGGGAAAAGATGTCTTCAAGGCTAGGGCAGGGAAAGTACAAGAAGCACCAGATGAGTGGAGACTTTTTTTGCACCAGAAAGTAAAGAAGCACTTAACAAATCATAGAGATACAGCAGAAGGGCAGAGGAGCTAACTCAAAGGGACTCCAACCAGCTAACTATGAGACAATTTGATTGTCAAGACAAATAATGATGGTAATGGAATATAGCATATCAAATAATAACCATGAAGCTACTGCTATAAATAAGTAGATTAGTAAATAAATACAGAGAATGGGATGTTCTTCTTGACAACAGAACACCAACTAATAAACATGGAAAGATTGCTCAAATTAGATAACGATCAATGAATGCTAAAACTAGTGGGTGGGGACCTTTGACCAGGAATAGGATGTTTGCATAGTCTCAAAGTGTCTCCCCACAAACTACCTATTACTTATAAAGGAAAAAAATAATAAATTGACAATGGAGAAATCTGGTGGGCATTATCTTAACCAAGTCATCAAAACTAACATCACTAATATTGGGACAAATTGACATCGTGGGACTCCTGATAAGATGCCCTGAGGACACACATTTGCAACTTTACAGTACTGCCAAAAATGAGTATCTTAGATCCAAACATGAAGAAGCATCAGACAAACTCAAATTAAGAAACAGCCTACAAGGTCCAGTTGAGGTGACACATGCCTGTAACCCTAGAGACTCAGGAGGCTGAGGCAGGGGAAAATGCAAGTTTGAGGCCAGCCTCAGCAACTTAGTGAGACCCTGTCTCAAAATGAAAAGGGCTTAGGGATGTCGCTCAGTGGTGAATCACCCCAGGGTTCAATCCCTGGTTCCAAAGAGAGAGAGAGAGAGAGAGAGAGAGAATATCAATCTACAAATTAACTGGCTCTTTGCTCTTCAAAATGTCCATGTCAAAAAACACAAAGAAAGGCAAAAGAAATTTTCCAAATTAAAGGAATCTAAGGAGATGTGACAAGTAAATGCAATACCTGATCCTGGATTGAATCCTTGACTGGGAAAAATATAAACAGCTTTAAAAAATTATTAGAATTAAACTTGAGTATTAGGATTAAAATTATTAGGATGAAATTTGAATCTAGACTGTGGATTAAGTAACCACGTTATATCAGTGTCAGATCCTCTTGGTTTAATAAGTGTTCTTGTCCTTAGGAAACATATACCAAAATGTACAAAGGTAAAGGAGCACATTTATCTGCAATTTAATTTCAAAGGGTTCTGACAAAAATAATATGGATATGCAAGTGAGAATGTGAATGCAAAGAGCATAAATGAAAACTGGTGGATCTGGGTGAAGGGGAGAGAGCAGTTCATACAGCGTTCTCTGTGAGTTTTGACTTGGGATAATTTGGGCTGACTTATATGTGAGGAAAAAATTTAAAACCATGCAGATTAGCCCAGCCCCATAAGCTAAGAGACCTAAGTAAAACAAGCAGGAAATAGGGGTTACGGAAAATTTTTAAACACCCACACACAAAAAAAGAGAAACTTTGATTTTTAAAAATTCGGTTAAAATTGACATTCCTTTTGGTCTCTGCAGAAAAGAATCCAAGATAGTTCTCCTCCACAATGTCACGCCCCTGACTGTGGCCTGGCGGGTTACCAGCCTGGAGCACCTGGGCGAAGACTTCTCCATGTCCATGATGCAGGGCACCATCCCGCCCAAGGGGAAGTACAGCCTGAACATACACTTCCAGCCCTCCAAACCCATCAACCTCAAGAAGGCCATTCGGTTGGAGGTGAGGCGTCACACCGCCGTGTGCTCATGTACCAAAATATGCGCACATTGGGTGCACAAAAGTCGGGTCTTCCTATTGCATGCTCCCATTTGATCCTTGACTTGTATCCCCAGCCCACAATATCTTGCTCTGCACACAACTACAAGCTCCAAAAATGCAGTATTTCTCAGAGCTGATTTCTTACTACCAAGAGCAGAGTACTCAATCAATGTGGAATGAATGAGTGAATGGAGTTACTATTCTTAGGTAAGCATTAGATACCTGATTCCAAACCTCAAGCCGAGTCACTTGTCAGATTCCTATTTTAGTAAATACCTGGGAATCATCCTTAATCCCCATTTCTCTTGACAGGCTCCCCTCTAACCCAGACTTTGCCCCTCAGTGTATCTTCTCCCCACTCACTTCTCTGTCTACACTGCTGCCACCACCCTCATCCAGGCCACTTATGGGATCTCTCACCTAGACTACAGCAGAGGCTTCCTAACTTATCTCCGTCTTAGAATTCTAAAGTGTCCAGAGGTATCTTTACAATGTCCTTTAAATCTGGTTACCCGCCCCTGCCTTCCTAAAGCACCTTGCTGCCTTCCCACTGTAGTAAAATAAAGCCCCGTGTCCTTCCCTGCTCCCGAGACCCTCCCTGACTTGGGCGATACCTTGCTCCACCCTTGCCCTTGCTCATTGGCTCCCATCTTGCTGTCTGAGTTTTTTCCTGCCTCAGACCCTGCCTTCTTGCCCCCTTGCTGGGACTCTGTCCCTGTGCTCTGCTGGAAGTTGACACCTGCTCTGTATTGAACATGCTGCTTCAACTGGGCTTCCCTAATCATCCCCCCCACACACTGAGGGAATCCCCAGCATGGATGGTCACTCACCATCTTCTGTCCTTCAGAGAACCGTCCCTTTCTGACATCATTCCATTTCTTTCTCTGTTTTCCTATATGAACTCCATCAGGGCAGAATCTCCCCTGCCTTATCCGCCATCTATATTGATTTTCAAAGGCTCCTGTAACATTTTGCTGCAAACTGAGTGGCTTGAAAGAACAGACCTTACTCTCTCACAGTTCTGGAGACTGGAAATCGGAAATGAAGACTTGGGCACGGTGGTGCTCCCTCCCACTGAAGGGTCTAGTGAAGAATCCTTCCTCACCCCTCTGGCCTCTGGTGTCTGCTGGTGCTTCTCAGCTGTGACTGCTTGGCTCTAATCTTGCCCCCCCCCTTCACAGGGCCTTCTCCTGTCTGTCTGCTCCTATTCCCTCTTATAACCCTCTGTATCCGTGGGTTCTGCATCCTTGGATTCAACCAACCATGTGTGGAAAAATTTGGAGATAAATTTGCGTATGTATTGAACACAGACAAACCTTTTTTTGGTCATTATTCCCTCAGCACTGTAGTATAACAACTATTTATACTGCATTTATACCATATTAGGTATTATCAGTAATTTCAGATGATTTAAAGTTATGGGAGAATTTTTAGGCTTTATGCAAATACTTCAGCCTTTTATATAAGGGACATGAACATTCATAGATTTTGTCATCCAGGAGAGGTGGAGAGTGGTCCTGATACTAATCTTCTGTGGATACCAAGGGGCACTGTTACTGAATTTAAGGCCTAGATAATTCAGCTGTGAACCTCATCTTGAGTTCTTTGACTTAATTGCATGTGCAAAGACCTCCCCTTTAAGGTCATGTTCACAAGTCCCAGGATTAAGAAGTAGACATATCTTTGAGGAAGTCCTCCTTCATCAGTGTCTCACACAGGCCTGGGAGAATGAATGAATGAGTGTCATTGACTTTTAATGCTAAGTTTATTCTGCAGCTTTCAAGGGGTCACTTCTCTATGAATACCTCCAGGGATGGAAAACCTCCTGCCATTCCAACTGCCTGGTCTCCCTTAAAATAGATGTGCTAATTCTTCTTTAAGCTCCAGTTTCTCTATATAACTTACATTAATTCTCTTTCTACCTTTTGGGGGCCAGTCAGTGGATCTACTCTTACTCTCCTAACCCCTTCCTGTGATAGTCTTTCAGATCACTGAGAACAGGCATTGAGAGATTTCATTCAATCCACAGAAATATATAAGGCCCAGCAGTGGTCTTCAACATTTTTAGCAGGTCTCTGGCAGGCCACATGGCCAGTGTAGGAACCTAGAGTCCCCTGGCCGTGCCAGCTTTATCCTGTAATTGCTGGGTCATGGGGAGTCCAGGGATTCCCATGATCAGCGGGTGCAGGAGACAGCAGTGAAAAGTCCTTGGACTGTTGTGTCCATCCCTATAGTATCCCAGCCAGACAGTAGCTGAATTCCAGCCCAGGGAAAGGCAGAGTGGGTCTCCTTGACACCCTGCAAGGTGGACTATGGCTTCTCTTCCTCAGATTACACTTCTACAACTTCTAGAGGAGGAAATGCCTTACTTTCTCATCCCTTTGGAAAATATTCCAGCAGACTGGCTTTATTCATTTGTATATCTCTTAAATTGTCCTTCCTATTGTTCTCAATTGAAAAATTTAATCTTACCTCCCCCGTGGAGGAGCAAAGCAAACAGAATGCTCAGGGCACCTCAGGTCTGAGGGCACCCCGTCCGTTGTCCTCCTCACAGCTCCATCAGAGGGCGAGCAGTGAAGGAAGAAAGCAAAACTCAGGGCAATCCAGTTTGCTCTGTGGAATGTCGACAAATGTGTGTTGAAAAAGACGGAAATTCTGAATTAAACCTGAGTTTAGTGACAGCCACTGACTTCCCCTTAGCACCAAAAGCACACATGACGGAAAGCTAGCCACTTAGTTTTCCAATTGGAGGCCTCCGCAGGGAGCAGGTGGTCTCCACGCAGATGGGGGAGCTCTGTGCCCACCACCCAGCAGCTCTTCTCCTGGCAGCCAGACCCTTGTTCACCTCCTGGTTAGTCTCTGGGGTCAGCGGCAGATGGAGCCGACAGCCTGCCACAGCTCAGAGGCTCCTCAGGACAGTGGGAGACGGATCCCAACAGGTGAGGCAACCGCAGGTTCAGTGAGCAACTGGAGCCTGTGGGTGTATTGGTGACCATGTTCACATCAATAAAACACTTGAAGTTTCCAATAGAGAAACATCAAACACTCTTATTTGCTACAAAAATCTAGCACTTTTCCATATTTTGAAAGCAGAATAGTTCTTTTTTTTTTTTTTTTTTGGTACCAGGAATTGAATGAATCCAGGGGCATTTAACCATTGAGCTACATCCCTAGTCCATTTTTTATATTTTATTTTGAGACAGGGCCTCGCTAAGTTGCTGAGGCTGAGGCTAGATTTGAACTTGTGATCCTCCTGCCTCACCCTCCAAACTGCTGGGATTACATGCATGCACCACTGTGCCCAGCATAATTCAGATTTCTAAGTGACAGGAAGACAGAATATAAAGGTTTTCCATAGCAAATGTTGGGAGATGCTCTTCTGGTTTATTTGATTTAAAAGTTCCAGAAAACACCTTCCTGCAATGTCTACTCAGCCCAAACGTCAGTATGTAGCAATGATAATCCAGTTAGTTAAACCTCACAAAAGGGTTTAAATCCCATCCCAACATAGCCCAGAGGGTGTTTTGAAGAGCAATCTACCAAATGCCTAAGGATAATGAAAGATCTCTAGCTAGATACATCTCAAAAACACTCCTGCCCATCTCCCCTTCAGGATTCTCACTTGCATGGTTCATATTTCAGACTCCCAGCACCTTGTGGGTTTTGCTTTTACTGAAGAATGTCTCTTATCTGACAGGTTTTAGATGCAGAAAATCTTGTTGGTGTTGTTCAGATTGAAAACATCCTGGTTTTTGCAGAAGCGTATGACATTGCCTTGGACATCACCTTCCCCAAAGGTCTGTTGAGCCCTTCAAGAAAAAGGTGTCTGGAAGTTGTCTTTTTCTATGTGGTGTAGTCCCGCATAGAGGAAAGCTGATGTGTTGTCAGTACCATGGTGGTCGTTGGTGCAGGAGAGGACAGTTTTGGCAATTGGTAATGTGTGTCCTGAGGAATGTTAGTAATATTAGTACAAATTCTAATTTCTCCAACTTATGATTAGCAAGGGGTAATCATAAAGGTGAAATTTGCAGACCTCTTTTCTAAGCATTAGTTTTCTATCACTGCCGCAACAGATTGACACAAACTCCTGGTTTAAGGCAACACAAATTTATTATCTTACAGTTCTGAAGTCAGAAGTTCAAAATGGGTCTCAGTAAGTTGTCATCAAGGTGTCCGCAGAGCTGTGCTCCTGGAAGCTCTAGAGAGAATCCACTTCCTCAGCTTTTGCAGGTTCCAGAGGCTGCCCACATTCCTCAGCTCCTGTCCCCTTCTTAAATCTTCAAACCCAGCAATGTCCTTCTCAGGCTGCCACCTCTCTTGTTCCCCCACTTCTGCAGTCCTCTTCCACTTTTAAGGACCTTTGTGATTACATTGAGCCATCATGTTAATCTCCATGTTCTAAAGACAGTGGCCTTAATTCTATCTGCCACCTTATCCCCTTTACCATGGAACATAGCATGTTCCCAGATTCTAGGGATCAAGATGCATATCTTAAGGGAAAGGAGTATTGTTCTGCCCGCCATGCTGTCCTAATGCCCGAGTTATGTCTCTCCCGAGCATGCAATTCTCTGTTGTCCCTCCTTTCCCTGATAGGTCTCTTATCAAGATTCAGAGAATATGATAGAATACCGGAACTACATCTTACCCTAGATGTCATTAGTCCTGTGTGCCAAGATCTTTCCTGCAGCATTATTTATAATCATGAAAAGTTTCAGAGGATCTAAATGCCTGTGAATAATAGAATGATGTTACTGTAGGACTAAGATTGTTAATTACTAAGCAGCCATGACAGAGAAGTTTTCATGCTCCCTCTAAGATCACACCTGAGGAGTTTTACTAATTTGGGAAAATGTTTATGATGTAATGCTAAGTAAAACAACACAAATGTATATCACAACTTGTAAATTGCACAAAATTTTTAAAATACTGTAAGTTTTAACTAATGGTAGACAAGAAAAGACAGTGAATTGGGGTGGAAAACAGAAGGAGGGGCCCAGATGAACTGAGGGCGAGAACAGTAGCTGTTGCTTATTTGCCAAGACTCGTCACTATAGTTTTCCATGTGAACTTCAGCAGGAAGTTCCTCTGCTCTGGCTCCCATGCCCGCTCACCCGGGTCCCTGCCTCTACAGGTGCTGAAGGAGGCCTCGACTTTGGGACTGTGAGGGTCATGGAGGAAACAAAGCAGCCCCTTCAACTGAAGAACCGAGGGAAATATGAGATCATGTTCAGGTAACCTGAGCCATATTAGGGTGTGGCCATCCATGTGCCGGCATGGCAAGAAGGGTGTTGTCTAGGAGATTTTTTTTAAGTGAATCAAGGAAATTAGAAGAACCTTCTCTGCTTTTTGCCTCCTCTGGTTTCAAATGAATGGAATTCCAACCACTGAGAGCAGAGATTTTTACACTGTTCTTAACTCTGCCATTTAACAGAGACCTTCAGGGCCTCTGAGTTCACCTGGATCCACAGGGGTCTGGGATGGAGGGAGGAAGAGAATGGGAGAGGGAGGTCTGGGCAGGAGGAGTCCTGAGGGTGGAGACTAGAGCCTGGCTTCATCCCCTGAGATTGACAAGGGGAGGTTCTTCAGAGAAGAAAGGGTGGCTTGGGGTAGAGGAGAGGAAAGAGGTTGCTCAGGCAGGTCACGCCATCCTCCTTGGCAGTGCCAGACTGCAGCCCAGGCAATGGCTATGGAAAGTTATCCTTCTCCCAGGGGAATTCCCATCTGACAAAGGGACTTCATCTTGCAGAGATGGGAGCAATTCAGCATGTTGGTGATCATTACAATCATTTCTTTTCAGCTAAAATAACACTGAAAGTAGAGAGGTCCAACCCCAATGCACCATCCATTAGAAGCAATGATACTGCAAATTGAATTCATTGAGTATAAATCAAAGCCAAACCAACCTAGAGGAAAGCCTTTGTCACTTTGGAATTAGTGAAGGATGACTCTTGCCTGGTTATGAGTTCCAGATTAGATCATGTTTGGGACTTTATCTCTGCTTTTTTTTATATTTATTCTCAAGTTTTAGGTGGACACAATATCCCCATTTTACATTCATGTGGTGCTGAGGATCAAACCCAGTGCCTTGTGCATGCCAGGCAAGAGCTCTGCCACTGAGCCACAACCCCAGCCCCAGGCTCTGCTTTTTTATATTGCATGTAATAGAGTCACCCTTTGATTGGAAAGATGAGCAGGGTTTGTTGAATATGCAAGGAATGGAAAGCAGAGGCACAATGCATGTAGCAGTTGAGCCAGCTGGTCTCCTGAAGCATGGAGTGACAGTAAGACCCCCACAGCAACTCTAGATGTCCCACTTCCACCTAAGTTCCTGTGTCTGTCCAGACTCTGCACCACTGTCCTGAGTCAGCTCCTCTCTCTGGTTCTTACCTTATCCCATTGGGCCATGGACTTCACTATTCCTCTGTTGCATGACTTCTGCCCCTGACTTCTCCCCTTAGGACTCCTGGTTTCCCTCTGTGTGTGCTGCATCCAGTCTCAGAGAGAGAGGAACAGAGACAAAGACAGAGAAAGAGAGGGAGACAGGAAGGAGAAGAGAAGAGTTAATTTAGCTGATATTTTTTGGTAGCAAGTGTACCTATTGAACATAGATGTCCTGCAAGGGCACCTCTGGACCATGGGAGAGAGGATAGCACTCTGCCTCATGCATCAATCCCTGGTCCAGTTGATCCTGTAATCTACTGCACAAAGCACAGTTGACATTCCTGACATAGCAGTTAAACAGGGCCAGAGACATGGTAGGGTCCTTAACAGTCTAGATTCTCCTCTCTAGTATCTTCAGTTCCCTGGGTAATGACTTAAACTAACTCTTTGTTCTGTCTTCCAGCTTTTCTGTGGACTCCTTGGGGATTTCAGCCATCAATATGAGTTCCTTGATCACAGTCCTACCCAAAAAGGGCTCACTGACTGCAACAGAAAAGCCCACAAACGTCCAGGTGTTCTTTAGGGCCAGAAAGGAAGTGAAGGTCGAGCACCAGCCCATTCTGCGCTGTCAGGTGAGAGGGCTTAAAGCGACGGGCTGCTCAGTGGCAAGATGGTAGGTGTCTCGCTGCAAACATGGGTCCATGGATGGTGTAATCGATGCCCCAGAGGCAAAGGGAGAGTGGTCTGGGTGGCAACCAGGTGGGATGCAACAAAGTTTGGTTCCAAACAGCAGGCAGGGGGCGGGGGGCAGGGGGCAGCCAGGAGATGTACAAAGTCATCATAAATAGAACGAGAGAAAATGGGTCCCCAGGTCTTAGGGGAGCATCAGAGTCAAGGAAGCTGCATTCTGTCCTCAAGCACAAGAGTGAGGAATTGGACATAGGAGGCACAGTTGCTCCCTGTCGATCTCTGGCTGACACACGGCAGGCTCTATGCTAGTGTCTGCTGATATTACAGTCGGCACAGTAATACAGAGTGAAATGCCAAGATTGAGGAATGAAGAAGACAACATAGGGGGTTCTGTAGCTATGCAACTGGCTGATATCTTCCCAACCCTCCTTCCCTTTGCAGATTATTGAGCCCAATCTTGCAGAAGGAAGTGAGATCATTGCCAGCATCCCAATTAAATGTTCTGTGAATGCAGTGCATTCCAAATTCAACATCAGCCCCTCCTCCATCATCAACTTTGGGGCTTTGATCTGTGGCACTCGCAGGAGCACCACCTTCACCATAGAAAACCAAGGCATTATCGACTTCAAGTTCGCCCTCTACAGGCTGACACGGGAGAGCCACATGCACCAAAAGAAAGTGTAAGACAAGTGTCCACTAAACTGCAGCCATTCTGGTAGAGAGTGCTTTATATTTTACAAAGTGCTATCACGTATCTTACCTGAAACCACCCAATGCCAAATTTCTTACATGTTCCAACTACTGTCAAATGTTGGATAAATTTTAGTTTAATTAATATGAAGTATCTGTTTTTAGCTTCTTCTCTGCTGTGACTAAAGGACCCAACCAGAACGATTATAGAGGAAGAAAGGTTTATTTGAGGGCTCACTGTTTCAGAGGTCTCAATCCACAGACACTAGGCTCCATTCCTTGAGGCTCAAAGTGAGGCAGAACATCATGGTAGAGGAGTGTGACAGACAGAAGCTGCTCACATGACGATCAGAAAGCAGAGAGAGACTCCACTTGCCAGATACAAATATATACCCAAGCCATGCCCCAATTCCCACCTCCTCCAGCCACACTCCACCACTTCAGTTACCACTCAGTTAATCCCCATCAAGGGATTAAATCGATGATTGGGTTAAGATTCTTACAACCCAATCATTTCTCCTCTGAACCTGTCTCACATGTGAGCTCTTGGGGGACACCTCACATCCAAACTGTAACAGTATCCCATGTGGGATTTGTTGTCCTGGTGTTTCTGGTGTGCTGAAAGACTTACTAGTAAGTTATTGTCTTATCATTCTGTAGGATATCCAGGGCCTACTATAAGCAAGCTGTATCAAAAGAAATTGTAACTGTGCTTCATAATGGGGGGAGCATTTCAAAGCTTTTAGTTATACTCAACCTTACAGACTTTGAAATGTGAAGAAAAGAGACAAAACTTAATCTATTTGTCCCTTCGTTTTTTTGTTCTAATTAGTTATACGTGACAATAGAATGCATTTTGACACATCATACTTAAATGGAGTATAACTTCTCATTCTTCTGGTGTACACTGGTCATGTAATCACATATGCACATAGGGTAATAATGTCTTATTCATTCTACTATCCTTTCTACCACCATACCCCTCCCCTCCCTTAACTCTCCTCTATCTAATCCAAAGTACCTCTAGTCTTCCCTATATGCCCCCCTTATTGTGAATTAGCATTCAGATATCAGAGAAAACATTGGACTTTTGATTCTTTGGTATTGGCTTATTTCACTTAGCATAATATTCTCTAGCTCTATTCATTTACCAGAAAATGCCATAATTTCATTCTTTAAGGCTGAATAATATTCCTTTGGGTATATATACCACATTTTCTATATCCGTTTATCTATTGAAGGGCACCTAGGTTGGCTCCACAGTTTAGCTATTGTGAATTGAGCTGCTATAAATATTGATGTGGCTGTGTCACTGTAGTATGTTGATTTTAAGTCCTTTGGGTATAAACTAAGGAGTAGCATAACTGGGTCAAATAGTTGTTCCATTTTAAGTTTTCTGAGAAATCTTCATACTGCTTTCCAAAGTGGTTGCACCAATTTGCAGTCCCACCAACAATGTATGAGTGTGCCTTTTCCCCATATCCTCACCAACATTTATTATTGCTTATATTCTTGATAATTGCCATTCTGACTGAAGTGAGATGGAATCTCAGTGTAGTATTGATTTGCTTTTCTCTAATTGCTAGAGATGTTGAACATTTTTTCATATATTAATATTGCCTGTATCTCTTCTTCTGTGAAGTGTCTGTTCAGTTCCTTAGCCCATGTATCAATTGGGTTATTTACTTTTTTGTGTGTCAAGTTTTTTGAGTTCTTTATATATGTCTCTTCATTTTAAAATTATATTTTTAATGAGATCAGGTAAAATATTTGATGTGTACCAATAATTTCCCACATACTGCTTTTCAGTGAATTCAAGCATTTTTTAAAATTATTCATTTTTTATTAGTTCTCTGTCACTATGACAAAGTACCTTAAATGATAAAATTATTAAAAGAAAAAGTTCCTTTTGACTCACAGGTTTGTAGGTTCCCATAGGATCGTTTGGCCCTGTGGCTTTGGCCCTGAGGTAATATTTCATGGCCAGTGCATATGATAGAACAAAACTGCTGCCCCTTTGGTCAGGAAGCAAGAGAGAGAGGAAGAGAAAGAGTCCTGGGTCCCACGATCCCCTTCAAGGGCACATTTCCAATGACCTAGATACCTCCCAAAAGCACCACCCTGGGACCCAGATCTTTAACACATGGACCTTTAGGGGACATTTATCCTAGCACTTTTCTTACAGTAATTTCCAATGTTCTTATGAATAAGTGGGATTACTACATCGTTTCCTTAAAATTGTCTATGAGTTTAGTCAGTGATGACCAAGCTACCTGTGTCACTCTGCCACCCTCTTGGGCAAAGAAACACCACCCTGCAATGCCTAAGAGAAAAGACCTAACAAATGCCACCCCCAAACCTAAGAGTGCACTCTTCCCCCTCCATCAGAGCTGGCCACAATCGACACACCAGAACCCGGGAAAGTGAGACCTTCTTCAAGACTGGCACTTCCAAAACAGCCAAGTTCTCAGACTCAATTCAGAAAGATGTGACCATCACAAGCCAGGTGAGTGCCCCTCCGCATCCACAGAAACCCAGGAAGGCCTCCTGTCAACCAGCTCTTGCCTCAGAACACCTGCCTAGGAGAACAGGATTTGAATCTACTATGGCAGGAATGTGAAGTACTAAAATCTCACTTTCATCTTAAACAGCCATGAGACGGCCTTCGTTTGGATATCCTCATTTGCTCTAAAACCTTCATTGGCTTGCCAGTATCCTAAAATTGGCTCCAAACTCTTCTTGGGTATTTTAATCAATAATCATTTGTTTTTAAGAAATGGAACCCTGCAAAGAAGTGAGATGGAATCTCAGCTCCTCTGGCGATCCCCAGCACACAGCTCAGGTTCAAGATAGTGACCAAGTCAGGCCAACAGCAGCCTCCATGTATCACGGGGTAGTCCCCCTTCTCCATACCAGGGGCCTCATCCCTACAGACACCCTGTGTGAAGAGCACCCACTAAAGGAGTGCCATGTGCCAGCCTGCCCAGCTGCCAGGCTGAGGGGCCCCCAAAGCATTCTGCTCTGGGTCATAACCCTGGAGAAACTTGGATCTCTGAGCTAACACATTGCTGGGCATCCTCTTCCAGGAGGGATGAGCTGCCCGAGACAGACCTCCTTATCTCAGGCCACTGTAGTCGTCTCAGCACATTCTACAGTTATCCTGAGAACTGTGAAGGGAGAGGGGAGGGCTGGGGACTCCAAGATCATCCAGGGACGACTCCTGAATGAACATCCCCCACTCTTTTTGAATACTAACTCTAGCCAGATGCTATGCTGTTTACTTCAAATATATTCTTTTTGCTTATACCTACAGTGATCCCTGGAGCTGGGGGATTTTGCCCCATTTCATAGATAAATAAACTAAAAACCAAAGAAGTCATTTGTCCAAGGTCAAATAATTAGTACATAGCACAGCTGAGGTTCTGGCCTGGGTGTATCTGACTCAAATCTTAACCAGTGCTCCACCCTGCACCCCTCTGCTCTGAGACCCCACCCAGATAAGTGTTACATGATGGGAACATGATCTGCTTTATTAAGCCTTTGATTCAGTCATGATTGCTCAGAGGAATGTGCAGGGAAGGAAGTACTAAGAAAGCTCGTCTATGAGGAACCCCTGGGCCCTCCATTCCTCCAGGAGGAGAGGGGTGGGGACCAAGAATTGCCTGTAGGGAGAGATGAGGCCCTTCACCCCTCGTGACTCTGGTGGAAGGTCTCAGACTCCGTTACCTCCTCTGCCTTCATCCCTCCCACCCCGTCCAGCAGGCCCGCTTCTCTCATGGTATGTTCACCGTGTACCCTGGGTTCGGCTCCGTTCCCCCTGGAGGACAGCAGGTCATCACCGTGGATTGCGTGGCTGACCCCGTGGGAAGGTGTGAGGAGTTCATAGCCATCGATATCACCGACCGCGACCCTAGAGAATATCCTGCTGGCATTTCTTACACTCTGCTTGCGGAAGCATGTATGCCAGGTACTGCCACTTTTATTGGATAACCCCCCTCCCTCTTCAGGCAGATTCCTTTAAGATGTCCAGCAGATGAGACAGGGCCACTTTCTTTGGGACCTTGGAGCTTCCTCTACTACCTTCAGCCATACTTTCCCTTAAAGCCTCACAAGCATGTGCATACCTGAGAGAACGTGATGCTTCAACTCTTGCCTTCTTGAGTCCAGCCCTGGATTTTCAGATGAGTATCATTATCTGAGAATCATGGTGACAAGAGACATGGCCCACAGGAACACAAGTGCCATTCTGCTCGGGCCACTCCCTGAGGGCAACATGCCCAGAGAACAATGCTCAGTAACTGCACGTGCTAAAATTCCAACCCAGCAAGAGCTCAGGTTAAGCACAGAGAGAACTCCTCTTGCTTCTGCTCAAGGCTTACTGAAGGGGGCCCAAGTGCCTCCTTCTTCCTAGGTCCACCCCAGATCTTGGTCTCACCCCTCCTTGCCATTGGCAGAAAAAGGCAGATCAAGATGTGTCAGTCCAAAAGAGAAAAAGACAACAGAATTTACCCCATCACTTAGCTCCTTATACGAATTTCCCTACCTCTTCTCTGCAACTAGCCTTTGTCAGAAGCAGAACATCCAAGTTAGGCATGAGAGCCAGGAATCTGCATGCAGGCATCATCTAACGCTCTTCCTCCCCTCCCCAGCCTTTGTGACGGACAACAATGCTTTGATATTCGAGGAGCACCAGATCTGTTCCAGCCCCAACCTACACTACATCTTGCAGACCATAAAGACTGGGGGACTCTTTGTGGAGGATGAGAACAAGTTCATTTTCTGCAATGTCCTGGTGGGCCATCAGGCCAAGGCTCGGTTCAAGATCAGCAACCTGGGAAAGATCGCCTGTGATGTCAACATCGCAGTTAAGCCCATCTCCAATAAGGTAAGGGGCTCCAAAGGCCCTGGCCCACCGTGGTTGGCAGAGGTCCGGGAAAAGGCTCTGGGAAGCTTCTGCTCTGGAGTCTTTGTATCTGAATGAGAATTATCTGGCTCTTAGCCCTGCTGGAAGTTCTGTGAGGTCACAGGGTCACCTCCCCTTGGCCAAAAGCCATACTTTTGTCCCAGAAGGTGTGTGTCCACTTGGCACCTCTAGGATCAACCAGTCCCTACTCATGAGCAGCTCATTCATCCATCACTCACTCACTATGTGCCTAAGATAATAGACAAAGCATTAAGAGGAGTCCCAGCTTCAGAGAGGTCTGCCTCAAACTGCATGTTGTCCTGGACAGGGAGATTTGGAGGGTGCCCATCCTTAAGGAGAAGGTAAAATGGCAAACCTTTCTGAGCCCGCGTCCCCCAGCACCATGTGACAGGAACTGTGCTGAATGATTTACATCTATTGCCTCATTTCACCTTCACCGTGACTCTTTCAGACTTTGTGTTGTTATTCCTTATTTAGTTAGGGAAATTGAGGCTCAGAAAAACTAAATTATTCCCTGGCCCCAGGGCCTGGAAATACATAGCCAGACTTAAAGCCCAGCTTTACCTGTGTTCAAGTAAATAATTGCCCATCTCAGGGTCTATTAGACTCTAAACTGCCTGCTCTCTCTGAGTGGGAGCATACTAAGATCCTTTTCCTCACAAAAAATCGAGGACAGCATGCATGAAAAAGGACTTAAGCAAGGGGTTTCTGTCACTGCTAATTTCCAATCCCATGTACTGCAAATACTGCCTACGCTTATCTAGGATACTTCAGATTTTCTGCCCAAAAGTGGAATTTGAGCCCAAGTGGTCTTCTTGCCCCAGAACTAGCATTGTTTGTGGCTAATGGGGGTGGGGAGATCTCCAAGGAGTCTCTACTTGGAGCCTCCTAGAGAGTGTGCATTCTAAGAAGACTCTCTCAGGAGAGTCAAGGAGACCATCTAATCCCTTTTATGACCTCCTTCAGGCACTGGTGACATCCAGCCTTTATTCTCTGGTCTTATTTGGACCCCTAAGGGGCAGTTCTCTCCCTATCTGTACTAAAAACATAAAAAGCAGGCAAGCCTGATTTCTAACCAGAGACTATAACAGGGGATGTGCAGGAGGAGGAGACTGTTCTCCTCCTCCCTGGTGTGCAGATCTGAAGGGAATCCCTGCAAAGGCCAAAGAAACCTTAATGCCCGCCCACAGCTTAAGAATAAGAGGGAGTAGTCAGTCTGTTCCCATCTGCTTCTCATAAGAATGAAAATTTTGTTCAAAGTCATGCCAGAAGTCCCCGCAGTCTCCAAACACTTCCACTGGTTGAGAATAGGTGAAATGCCTTGGGGGTTTTCTCTAGCCAAGGCCCTTGGAGCTACAAGGAGCAGAACCTCACTCAAGTTAGCCCAAATAATACTAGATTGACAACAGTGAATCCAAGACCTCAGACATGGGTTAGAACATGTAATATAGCCATCACTCATTACGACTGGAACTGGCATTCGAAATCCACCCTTCAGATCAGCAGGTACTCCATCCATCTTTTAAGGCCACGTGTCTCTCTGGTTGTTTCCATTGCTCCTTTCTGTAATATGGCTTCCTCATCGTGTATGTGGTCCCAGCTCAGCTCCACAGTAGCCACCAAAAACAATCTTTAGGCATCTTGATTTAGGTGACAGAGGATGGGATAGTGGGGAAAATATCTGGCTGACTGACTTGCTTCATTCATTGGAGTCAAAACTCAAATGCAACTAGATATTACTTAGGAGAGGATCCCAGTGTCTAGGCAGCTCCTTCCAGGGCCCATGACTCTGTAGGTGATAGAGCTTGTCTATCACAGAGCTTTGATGGGAGGGAAGTGCAAAGCAGGGCAGGTGAAATGAGCAACAAGCCCCAGTGTAAATGCAGAGTAGATAACACACCCTGGCCTCTACTTCCCCTCACTAGGTCATCGCACGCATCACGGACATCTTTGAAGTGGAACCCAACAAGATGTGTGTCGCCAGCCGCTCACATGCCTTTGCCACGGTGTCCTTCACCCCACAAACCATGCAGACCTACCAGTGCATCTTTGAGGCTACCTTAGATGGCTTGCCCAGGTATTGCTCCCAGATCCCTTCCATCCGCAGAACCGTAGCCCACATGCACCGTGGGGTAGTTATTCCTTCCAGTCCTGGCTGACAGCTCTTGATCTTCCTGTTCTCTGCAGCAGTCTGGCCAGGAACCGAGGCCTCATATTTGATATTGTTGGTGAGGGGACCCTCCCACGAGTGACCGTTGTGCGGCCCGTTCTGTATAACCAGTATGGAAAACCCTTGCTCCTCTTTAAGAGGCTTCTGCTGGGGCATTCAGAGAAACTGCCTGTCATCCTCAAGAACAATGGCACCGTCCCTGCCCAGGTAATATTGAGGGTGAAGTGAGGGGTAGAAAAGGGAACAGTCATTCAAAAGTTAGACTTTAGACATTGGGGTCTCTGCCATCCCTACTGCATGAGGACTTCTTTGACAGTCCCCAAGCATTAGCCTGTGTTTGAGACATGGGGCATACAGAGGGGAATCTGGCATGTTCTCTGCCCTCATGAAATATAGGAAATCAGATTACACCTAACACTAATAACTACTGGGTAAGGAAGTACATGAGGATGTCCACCAAGTTGAAGAGGTAGGAGTGTATGTTTTCTTATTGTCTTCTTTATGTTTTCATCTTTTTCCTGTAGGTAATATTATATTTGTAATGAGAAAACAAGGTGGGGAACTTTATAAGTGTAAGAGGTGCCAAATCTAAAGGACTTTGGGGATTTCTTTAGGAATTGAACCCAGAGGCACTTTACCACTGAGCTACATCCCCAGCCTTTTTTGTTTTCTCTTTTGAGACAGGGTCTCTCTTAAGTTGCTCAGGCTTGACTCGAACTTGAGATCCTCCTGCCTCGACCTGCCTAGTTGTTGGGATTACAGATGTGCACCACCTCTGCCAGTTTCTTTCACTTTTAATGTAATTTTTTCGACTATGGAATTTTGGTTTGGTCATTGTAGTCTTTCAACAAGTGGGAGAGATTTTTGAAACATATTCTGGCTTCTGATGTGTGTGCTAAAAGGTCCACCAAGAGTTTAAAATGTTCTTTTAAGACAATCTTTTCCAACTGCCTTTCACATTTTCACCTTCCATTTGTTTTCTTCAGTTCTGCTATGATATGTCTAGCCATGCATTTCTCTTAATTTAGCCATCTTGAAATTCATCGGGCCTTTTGATTCTGAGAATTGATGTCAAATTAACATGGGAAAATTCTTGGACATGTCTTCAAATAGTGTTTCTAATCCATTCTCTCTCATCTCTCCTCCTGGGATGTGAGTTGACTGTATTGAAGACCTTCTAGCTATATCCTCTATGTCTCTCATCCTTATTGAATTTTCATCTAGTTTTCATTCTGCATAATTTCTTTTGATTTGTTGCTGTGGTTGGATATATAAAGGTTTGGTCCCCCCAGAGTGGTGGTAGAGGGAGGTGCTATGGAACTTTAAGAGGTGGAGCCTAGTGGGAGGTCCTCGGGTCATTGGGGACTCAGGTCAAAAGGGATTGTGAGATCCTTCCAGTCCTCCCCCACCCCTCTCTCACTCTCTTCTGACTTGAGATGTGACTGCCTGCTCTGACACGCTCTCTGATCGTGATGTGCTCCCTGTCTCCACAGGCCCAAACCAATGGGGCCATCTAATCTTGGACTTGAACCTTCAGAACTGTGAGTCAAAATAAACCTCTCTTTTCTTCACCTGTGTCAGGTATTATATATATGCAGTGATGAAAAGCTGGCTAGCACATCTATATTCCATTCATTAACTCTCCCTTAGGCTCTTTTGAATCTGCTTTACATTAAGTTCTTTAATGATTACATATTTCAGCTCTAGAATTTCTATGGGGGTTCAAATCTGTATAATCAGCTGTCATGATTTCTAGTTTCATGTTGAAATTGTCAGAGTTGGCTTTTATTTCTTGAATATAGTAATCATAGGCATTCTGCAGTCTATGCCTGATACTTCCAAATTCAAAGTCCCTATGCATGTTTCTCAGCCTGCTATTTCTGCTCATTCTTGCCCATGCTGTCCTGTCTCATATACCTGCTTATCTTTTGAATGGATATATTGGGTATTATATTTATAAAAATATTTTGAAATAACTAAACTAAGAATCATGTTCTGTTCTTTTTTTCTTCAAAGACAATTTTTATTTGCTTCCGCCTAACAGTTTGGGGCACTAAAAATTCAGGATTACCTAAAACAAGTTTTAGGACTTGAGATTTTTTTCAGATTACCCAGAAGACTCACAACAGGATTGCTATTATTAGGAGAGCTGGTTTATACCCAGCTCATCTTTCATCTTATAGTGAAGACCTTTAAAGTTCCAGCCCAGAGAAAACACCCCAACCTTTCACAGGCTTTGGACCTTTGCCCTCTTTGCACCAACAGACTGTCAAAAGTGCAGATAAGCGCCCCCACCCATCTACCCCTTCCAGAATGACACATGCCTCTCAGTCAAAAACAGCCCAGGAAGTTAGGTAGACCTTTCTGGATTCTCATTTGCCACAGATATTTTTTTTTAATTTGTTGTATATGACAGCAGAATGCATTACAATTCATATTACACATATAGAGCACAATTTTTCATGTGTCTGGTTGCACACAAAGTAGAGTCACACCCTTTATGTCTTCATACATGTACTTAGGGTAATGATGTCCATCTCATTCCACCATCTTTCCTACCCTCTTGCCCCCTCCCTTCCCCTTCCTCCCCTTTGCCCTATCTAAAGTTCATCTAATCCTCCCATGCCCCCCAACCCCATTATGAATCAGTCTCCTTAAATCAGAGAAAACATTCTTGCCACAGATCTTCATCTGGCTCTCTTCATTGTCTTCTTAGCTCTCTGATGCTTTTCAATTTTTTTTATATTTAGTCTAGGATTTTTTTATTGCCTTGAGTTTATTCTACCGAGTTTACCATCACCCTGCATTGTTTCCATTACTGTGGCTTTATAAAAGGTGCTAGCATCTAGTTCAGGGTCTTCTTGTCCACCCACTCCCTGTTTTTGTAATTTTTCTTAACAATTTTTGCACATTAATCCCCCAGATAAACTTTGGGAAGAATTTCTACTTCACAGTATTTAGACTGTCCACCAGGAGCAACATTTAGGATTGCCATCCATTTAGTCAAGTCTTTTATGTCATTATTTTTCCATACAATTCCTCCATATACTTTCTTGGTAATATTATTTCTAAATATAGACTCTTTCATCTCAGAAGCTTCCTAGATCATGTCACTATCTCTTACTTCTTTGTGCCACATTTTTTTCTAGCACTCAATCTTGCTTGTAATGGTGTATTACTGTCTTCTAAAAATATCTGCTGTTTTCTCATACCCAATATCAGATATGTGGCTTTCCTGTTATTTTGTTCCCACTGGACTGGAAACCACTTCTTTTCTCAGAGTAGGTCAGAGGCCTGCCTCGTCTTCCTCTAGCAGGATGTTCACCATGACTCTAGGCAATAAATTCATAATGCCTAGAGGTGCTGGCTTTTAGGAATTCACATTCATGCAAGCCCTCATAGAATTATGAGTGCTCATTTCCATTTTATCAGTCTGGCTTAGACCTTACAACTGCATCTCCCTGGAACACTGGTGTGAGCAACCCACTGATACCATCTAACCATGTGATCTGAAGGTCACGTATACTCTTTGGGTCTGTAGTTCCTCACTCACCCAATAACGACTGACCTAACTGAATTTCTTTTGTCTTCTCTAGATCTAACATTTATTATAGTTCTTAATAAGAAACTCAAAAAAAAGTGAATATGAGGCACAGTGACCTTTTGGGGTACTTCCCCATGCACAGCATAGTATCACACCTCAGATTCCAAACTCATGAATGGACTTATTATAAGTTGAGCACTCAACCCTGCTTTCCTCCTTCCAGCTGCATGTGGACCTGCAAGATCAACTAGGAATCTTCTCCCTGAAAAAGAGACCCAACACCTCCTTCATCTACATCATAGAGGAAAACAAACCAAATGAAAAGGGTAAGTTGGGTACGGTGCCTCCGGAAGGCAAAGATTTCAGTGGCAGGTTTGTTGGGGACTTCTCAGGACCCATCCAGAGTTGGATGCATCGTCTTGTCACCAGTATCCTCTGGCTGAAGCTCATTCCCATCACATGATTGCTTCCCCCTCAGCCAGGGTCTTCATGGATACATATTTCTCTAAACAGACTCTAAATTGTATCTTCTTTCTAATCTTTGCAGCAAAAAAACCCCACATGGCTTCCCTGGTTGTTTCTCCTGGAGACACCGCTGAATTTGATGTCGTTTTCCACTCCCAGAAGGCTGGGAGGATGACTGGCTTCATCCACTTGTCAGTCATCAACAACCAGTACGAGGAGACCCTCATCCACTTGGTGGGAGAAGGCTATGAGGATGACATCACCTTGGACAACATCCATGGGCTGGTGCCTTCCGCTGGCCAGGAGACCTCGCCCATCTCAGAGGTCTTAGAGATAGCCGAGAACAATGCCGTGGAAGACATGGTGGCAGGTGGGAGCCGAAACAGTGAGGCGTTGAGAATTGTCGACTTGGTCATTTTTAAACCAGAGTGACATTTAAACAACTGATTGAGAATTTAGGAATGAAGCTCTTCTCTGTTACCATGTGTTCTTTCATGCCTATCTCAGTCACTACCTCTGGCCTTTCCTGTATTCACGTTCAATCAATGAACATTTACCAAGCGTCCATGTGCATATGCCAGGCACCATGCTGAGCCCTGGTGTTGCAAAGATTCGTAGGAAAGTCTCTGGCTTTTAGGGAGCTTATAGTTTGATATTCGAATTCCAGTTCAACAATTAGTGAACAAATGCCTCCCTGTGGTCTTCCCTGTCTCTGTCTCTCAGCTGGCTTGTGTTGGCATTGTCTATTCCTTCTGAAATATGGATCCTAGACATCCCAAGAGAAATGAAGGGGGCATAGGTTTGCACCACCTCTATAACCCCATTCTCCACAGCCTCACTCCTCAGTGAGCAGCCCGAGAAGCTATAGCATCAACATCACTAGAAATGGGATTTTCAGGCCCACCTTGACCTACTGAATCAGAATCTGTACTTTAGCCAAATCCCCAGGGGATTTATGAGTATGTTAAAGCTTTAGGTCACTCTAAAGTCTCTCATGTACTGAACCTTCCATTTAGTGACCATATTCTTTGGGGAAGGGAGAAAATACTTCGTCATAATTACCAAAAAGCATTTGTTCAGCACCCTCATTATGTGATTGGTGGCTGTAGAGAGAGTTATAGGCACAGTTTTCCCAGGAACTTAATTATTCCTGGAATGTATGATTAGGGAGTCTCTACAATATGTGTTGAAATCGACACTCCATTGGCCTTTGACCCTTCTTTGAAGCTACATGATAGCCTCTGGCTTCTCAGGGGTCAAACAGGAGCAGCAGTAAACCCAAGTTTAGAAATTAAATTTTGTACCTATTGTAGGGTTGCCAGATTTAACAAATCAGAATGCAGGCACTGCCGATAAATTTAAATTTCAGATAATAAGTAAATAATTTTTAGTATGAATGTGCCCTAAAATATTGCATGGGGCATATTAATCTTAGAAATTACTCACTGTTTATCTGTAATTCAAATTTAACTGGGTCTCCCTATTTTATATGGCAATCCAACCCTGAATTGTATTGTCTCACCAAAGAAATGGAGTTGGGGACTTGTGTTTTCTCTTATATCCATAGAGGTGAGAGTCATTGTGGGTAGGTGGATGGATAGATGGATGCATTCCCCTGGGAGGGGGGATCTTACTACCCAGGGATTCCCAATTTCTCAAATATAACTATCCAAGGAGGGAAGAGTTGCCTGAGAGGGAAGCAGGCCCTCTAGGAGGACTCACTACTTTCTGCTTCTAACCCCTAGCTGCGTTGATGGACCACATCCAGTTTGGGGACTGTCACATTGGAAACAGCTATAATGTGAATTTCACAATCACTAATCACAGCCAAGTGAATGTGATACGGTTTGAATGGCCTCTTTTAGCTACAATAGCTTTCTCCCCACAGGTAAGTGCAAGCAATTCATTGTGTTCTGGACCATCTTAGGCCTAAGCCAACCCCAGTCTGATAGTCAGACCATTTCCATGGATACATGGAATGGGGTGAAGGCATTTCAACCTGTGAGAGAGCTCACTAGCCATGCTACACTGAGACCTGGTCCCATAGGACACTGTTCACATCCACCACAGTCTTAAGAGAGGAAGAGCAGAGATGCAGTCTAGACTGTTGTTAAAGATGAAGAATCTATGGAGGCTTGAATGGATGGATACAGGTCACAGCCTTCCTTTCCCATCCCACAGTGTGGACCTATGTCCCCCCTATGTGTGTGTTCTTTAGAGCATTAGTCCTTCAGTAGTGGTTCATCAAAAGCTGAGTGGATCCTGTGAACAACTGAGATTTAGAAAATGATGCTGGGGGTATAGCTTAGTTGGTAGAGTGCTTGCCTTGCATGCACAAGGCCCTGGGTTCAATCCCCAGCACCTCAAAAAAAAAAAAAAAAGAAAAGAAAATGTTCCAAGTTACATCTTTCTCTTAAACATTCCCAGGGTCCATCAGCATATTAAAATCTAGTTAACTTTATTTTACTTGGAATTTTATAAATTCTTTTACCATCTTATGGTACACATTTTGTGAAATGCTGACCAAAGCTCGACATTGAATAAGGCTCAGGACAGTACTGTAGCAGGTTCTTGCCTCTGGCCAGTAGTTGCTTTTCATAGACAGTTCACTTCTCAGTTCCCAGGAGACTGGGACACCCAGATGTATTCACTGCAACCTCTGCTCAAGCCTATAACTTGAAAAGGACAGAGCTGGGAGGGTTAGAGACTCTTCTTTATCACCTTTAAATCTTTGAGTGCTATCAAGAATAAATTTTGTTTCCCAGAGGGACATAAAGTTTAAATTAATTCCCCTAACAGATCCTAGCCCCAGCACGGCCCAGATCTAACCCTAAATAAACTGAGTACATACTATACTCCAGTCTCATTTCCAAGACCCTGGTTAATTTATTTAATCCTCGCCATGACACTATAAGGTAAATGCTACTCTTATCTGCATTTGACTCATGAGGAAATGGACACAGTATAATCTAATATGGAGCATTATCTGTGTTATCAATGGGTTAGTCAAAGAAGGCAGAGATAAGCTAATAGTTCATTTATGTATACACTCACACATACACGGGCACACACACATGCCTGAGAAAGTACTAAGCCTTCTCCCTTCACTCTCCAGAGGCAGGAGAATGTTTTACCTGGCAGAAACATGATAGAACTGTCATATATGCCAGAACTGTCATATATGTGTGTGCTTGTGTATGATAATTCATAATGTGTATGATAATTTATAAAGTATTTTGTTTTAGACAACATTGGATTTCCCTTATAAATAGTACACTTCAGCAATCCAGTTTCTTGGTCTCAGGACTTCTTTATATTATTAAATATTATTGAGAACTCCCAAAAGAATTTTTATTTATTGGGTTATGTCTATCAATATTTACTATATTAGAAATTAAAACAGAGTATTTTGAAAAAAAGTATTTTTTTCATTTTAAAATATAATAATAAACCTACATGTTAATATAAATACCATGTTTTTATGAAAATATTTGTATTCTTTTTTATTGAGTGAGAAGGGTGGCATTATTTAAATTTTTATTAATTTGTTTAATATCTGGCTTACAATAAGTCATCTGGATTCTCATATCTGCTTTTGCATTCAATCTGGTATAATACTACCATATGTAGTCTTTAGAAAGTTCCATTGTACACTCATAAGAAAACGACAGTGAAAAAGTCAAATAACATCTTTGTGCTATGATGAAATGGTTACAGCATAGACTCCCTGAAAAGGTTTTGGGGATCCCAAAGGTCACTAGACCACATTCTGAGAACTGCTAGCACACTGAATTCATCACTCCATATTTGTATGGATCATATTGATTGAAAGTATAAGGTGGCTTGCATGTAGTATTTGAAACCATACTCCCTGGGTTTGAACCAGCTCTTCCATTATCAATGACCTTAAGCAATTTGCAAATTTTGTTGTTGGTAAAATGGGAAGAATAGCTATACCTCTCATAGGGTTATTATGAGGCTTAGTAGAATTGTGCAAGAGTTTAGAATAGCACTGGAAGCAAGTAGCAGTTAGATAAATACTGGTTGCTTTGTTATTGTGATTGCATTCCTAAGAGCCTCTTGTGCATATTTAAGTCAATCTACCTATACAGGTTTGGATGATGCACTTTTTTATTTTTTAGTTATAGATAGACATAATAACTGTATTTTATTTATTTATTTTTTTTTATGTGATGTGAGGATTGAACCAGTGTCTCACACATGCTAGGCAAGTGCTCTACCACTGAGCCACAATCCCAGCCCTGGATAATGCATTTTTTTTTTATGAATTAGATTCACATTATATTCATAAAATTTTTGTACTTTCAAAACAAGGGACTGTTTTATATTCTAATTAGTTCATTTAATCATCTTGTATTTATTTTATGTTTTTTACTTGTAGAGGTAGACTCCCTTTTAACATTTTCCTGACTCAGCTTATTTTTCAGATGAACTGAACATTAATAGTCACAAAAAACCAGTTTCTACTATGATTGATATTTCATACTAATGTGCTATATTTTTGAAACTGATGAACAAGTACTTTAATAAGAATTGCAGTATACTTACAAAGTAATTTGCCAAGTCCTGTGGCTTTACCACTTCTCTAGAATGTCACCACATGGTTATCAAGAGTCTTCAAGTTTGAGTTCCCAAAAAACACTAATGCCAGGCTCTTCCCTAGTTGGGCCACCTCCACCCTGGTTGTACCAAGGACATAGTGGTGACCATGAAATCAGATGTGCCAATCCACCTGAAAAAGATGGGGGTCAAGTGCAAGCTCTCCAGGATCGTGTTCCAGCTCCCTGCAGAGCAGGTTCCCGACTGGGATGACCGCATGCACACTATCAAGTGGGTGGATGCATCTAGAAATGCTCCTGGAACTTTGCCTACAAAGCGAAAGGTAAGCAGGGACGTTAAGCTCATATCTGACCTGGCCTGCTGGGCTTGGGGGCCTGATGTTCTCGAGCTCAGTGTCTTGTCATTTCTTTCTTTCATAGAGGCAGAGAAGTTTTCCATTCTACTTTGCCTTGATTTCAGGAGACAAACTGAACTTCCACACATGCCCCCTGCCATCCATACTATGCACTCCACACGACTTCATTTGCTAAAGTTATAGCTTAAGTCTTGACAAGTTGAGCAAGTTCACCCATCTTTTTCTTCTTCAAAAATGTAATCACTGTTTTTTCAGTTGTTTTCTTCTTCTTCTTCAGGTGTCCAGAATTAAAGTAGTCATAATCTCTCCCTAATGGCAGAATCTCATCTTTGGTCTGTAAATGCCTCTCTTTTATTTATTTTTGACAATTTTTTTCAATAATGTCATTATCACAGACAAACACTTACCCCATAAGGGAAGTAGAACCTGACCACTTGTGTGGTTGTAGTCATTCTCTCTCTCTACCTACCTTCCAGAGCTAATCACTATCTTGAAACTTGTTTGGTTCATTCAAAGAGGTCTTAAGGATCCACATCTTCTCCTACACTTGACCTTATCAGACATTTTTATGTGTATCATTTGGATGAGTGGGAAATAGCCTAAGTATGAACCTAACTTGCATTTCCCTAGTCATAATAAGGCTGAGGATTTCTTCATGTGATTATTGACCATGCAAGTTCTCTGTTACATGAATGCCTTCTCGTGTCTTTTGCCTGTCTTTCAATTATGATGCTTGTCCTTTGTCTGAGCTATTTTTATTTTAATAAATTCTTCCTTATATATAATTTGTCTGCAAAATCCTCACCAGATTTATAACTTAATTTTTACTTTATCTTTTGATGAATAAAAATGTTCTTGACTTGAAAAGTCAAATGTATTAGTCTTTTATATTACTTGTGTCTTATTTTTAATAACCCTTCCCTCCCAGAAATATTAACTCTCTCTCTCTCTCTCTCTCTCTCTCTCTCGTGCATGTATGTTTAAGATCCTTTGGCTCACTTGGATTTTTATGTATGATGTGAGGCAAGGATCCAATTTCATAATCTAGATAACGGTGTTGCCCATTTCTTGTTTTTACCCTAGTGATCTCCCAGGAAAAACTGACAATTTTGTATTAATTTGTCCTTTCCATTAGCAAGGTATATTTCTCTATTTATTTAGGTGTTTTAAAACATTTTTTACTACTATTCAGTTCTTTATAGTAATAAGGCTCTTCAGATTTTCAACACCTGTTTTATTGCTATTCCATTTTTTAATATTAACAGGATTCTTTAGGATTTTTTAATCTGTCCTTGCATTGATTTTATTAAATCATTTTTCTAGACATTTACCATCCAACTATGTTTTCTTTGTAATCTCATGGAATTATTTACAATATTTCCTCACCATATTTAAATATGTAGGCTTGGTAGTAATGCCTTTTTTTAATTTCTGATACTAGTTATTCATATTTTTCTCTTTTGTTCTTGACCTGTCTCACCAAAGATTTTTAAAATATTTTCAAATAAATAATTTTGTTGGTCTTCTCCATTTTAGATTTGTTTCCTATTTCATCAAGATATGTTCCTATCATTATAATCCTTTTTCTTCTACTTTATTTGGAATCCATCTGATCCTTACACTCATTCCCCTGCACCTCTGATGTTTTCAGTAATTCCTTATTATTCAGTTTCTTCCTTTTTCATTTACAATCCTTTGTAGGTGTGCCTTATCATTTACTCTAGAACCCGAGTTTGTGGGTTGGTGTTAACTCAGGTGGGGGAATACAGTACTGTGCTATCCCCTCATTATTCCTGCAGGGCATCTGGCTTTGTATCACTAAGGACACAGCTGCCTTTATTACAGGTGATAGAGACGGATCCTGAACCTGCCCACTCAGTCCTAGAAGAAAACTACCGAGAACTGCAGATTCAGATCAGTGCCACTGTGGATTACGCTTCATACCAGTGCCAAATGAATGATGTAAACTTTAAGGATACGCTGGTTTACCAGACCAGAGTGTTTGAGTGAGTCATCAAAAGCTTCATAACACCGCGTAGAGAAAGTCTTTCATTCCATCATCCACCATCCCATTCATCATACTTTCGCGCAGCATCTGCAACACTTGATACCAGGCCTCCCATCTGTGTAGCATGCACCAGAGCACCATCCAGGGCCCAATGAAATGTTCAGACATACAAAGCTGTTGAATTTCACACATGAAATCAAAATATAGCCAGAAAACAGTCTACCAGCAAGGTGGCATCCAGCAATCCACTCCAGTGGGAATTGTCCTTGTAGAAGTCTACACAGACACCCTGGATTGATATGCTTCCTGACCCCTCAGGTGACACCTCAGACAATATCCACACTAGTGGGGATGGGGTTCATCCGAGTTTAGAAGCCCCATGCCTAACAGAGGCCAACTTTTCTCAAACTAAAATTAGCTTCTAGCATCCCCGCAGGGAAGATGCCCTGTTTCAAGAGCCACTTCACTCAGAGAACCCTGAAGCAATGGCTTCCTTCCCATCATGGCTTTTCTTAGTCCCTATGTGATTTACCAACTTGACATCACTTCTGTTGAAAACAATGTTGCTGCATAGTACAGTTAATCTCTCTCTTTTACCAGGCTTATAGGGGAGCAGAGCTAGAAAGCTCATTCAGAATCACATTTGTCTTTCAGAAAGAGAAATGGTTATTTGAACTCTCACCCACACTCAGCTACAAGGATCCAAGGGCAGCATCTGCCCTGCCCTCCAAGAGCTCACACTCTGGAGGGGGGTGAGGGGAAGCTAGAACCAGGTGAATTATCTTTTGCAGCATAGTGTCATGTGCATGTAGCAAGAAAGCACCCCAAGTCTCAAGGTCAAGACATGAGAGAGAGAGAGAGAGAGAATGCCAGGGAAGGTCCCCAGGTGAAGTGGTGCCCAGCTTAAATTTGGAGGACAAACAGGAGGTAGCCAGGTGAAGAAGAAGGAATGAAAGGTCTTCTAAGCAAAGAGATCAACATGTACAGAGACCAAAACGTGAACTGCTGGCATTCCTACTTTGTAGAAATTAGCAACTAACTCATTCAACTCATTTTGCGTTTATTGTTCTTTAAATGTCTTCTCAAATCATTATAGATCCAAAAACGTAGAAAGCAGGAAGTATAATCATCTGATGACCATTTCACCTAAACCAGAGTTAGCAAACAATGGCCCTATGCCTATTTTTATTTTTTAAAAAATGTTTTTTTCTGGCACACAATCATGCCCATTCATTTATGTATTGACTGCAGCTGTTTCTTCATTACAAACGCAGTGTTCGGTAGTTGCTGCAGAGACCACGTGGTACACACTGCAAAAATCTTACTATCTAGCCCACTGTGAAAATGGTTGTCAACCCAACCTAAAGCAAGCTTGCTCTCTCTCTTTTTTTTTTTTACAGTATCTTTATTTTGTTTATTTACTTTTGTGTGGTTCTGAGGATGGAACCCAGTGCCTCACATGTACAAGGCAAGCATTCTGCCACTGAGCCACAACCCCAGCCTAGCAAGGTCTCTTTTTATGAAAAATTCTCTGTGCCCTGAGATTTCTCTACTATATAAAAATTATCTTTAGGATAAAAACTAATGTTCATAAATTTACACAATAAACACAGGCCCTTGGAGTCAACTTGATTTCAGGCACGCCTGCATGGTCTACTTGGGTTGGATGATGGAAATCGAATCTCTGCACCCCACCCCAGACTTACTACTCCCATTCAAACTCCTACTCTTACTATGCCCCTAAAACCAGGAAAATCATGTGTATTTTATTTCTCAGACACCATTGTTTCCTTGTGTCAAAGTCTTCCAACTGTGGCTGTAATCAAATTTAATAGTGATTCCAGAAAAAGGCTTTTGTCTCTCTGATTTTGTCTTAGATCAGGGAAACTGAGGCAAGAAAAGCCTCAGCTGACTCAGAATTTGAGTTCAAAACCACTAAAATTCAAGTTTGTATCTCAGTCAGGGAAGGTGTCACAGGCAGGGGTCAAGGACAAATGGTGTCTGCCCACGGGACATTATTTCTAGGGGGAGATGATGGACAAAGGAGGGTATATGGTATTTGTTCCTGAGAGAGATACTGTCCTGTGAGGTAAATTTTGTTTCCTCTCTCATGGGAATTTTTCATTAATATGATGGAAGCTAAAAGAAGTTTAGCTCAAAGTAGAAGACAGTAAAATAGTGATCACTTTTTTAGCTTTCACATATAAGAGGGAACATGCGGTATTTGCCTAAGTTCGACTTCTTTCACTTAACATATGTCCTCCAGTTGCATCCATTTTGCCACAAATGATGGGATTGTGGAGTCCTCAGAACCTTGATCATTGTGGAGATTCCTCAAAAACCTAAAAAATGGATCCAGTTTTCCCACTTCTAGACATTTATCCAAAGGAAATGAAATCAGTGTATTAAAGAGATACTTGCATTTCCATGTTTATTCATGTGTTATTCACAGTAGCCTAGATATAGAATCAACCTAGGTGTTCACAAGCAGATGAATGGATAAAGAAAATGTGGTAAATATGCACAATGGAATACTATTCTGCCATTAACAATACTTAAGAAATAGAGTCTTTGCCTTCAAGAAGCAGTACAGATGATATGAAGGCAGAACAAAAATCATCTGCAGCACATTTCCGAAATCTGTCCCCGATCAATTCACAGACTCGACCTGGTCAATTCAGGACGTGTACAGCTTGAATTCAGCTGGACCTCAGAAGATACTGCAAAAGCAGTCAGCTTCGTGATGCCAGGAGTGCAAGGTAAATACAATGACAGGCCAAACCCAGGGCCTAACCTGAGTCACTAGTTAGTAAAACATTGCACAGGGAGACTAGCACTATTCAGACATTCTCTTAATAGCTAAGGAAAATTGAACCAAAAGCAAATTGTCCTGAGACCCTGAAGAGCTGAACTCTGCCTTCCTGGACTCCTCCCTGACCCCTCCCTAGGACAATGCCCCATCTCATAGCTCACTAGGACTCTTGTCTCTAAGTACTTGTCCTTCTGGGAGATTACATACCCCTCAGAGAAACTGATGAAAGCTGCAAACTGTTTTCCCAGGAAAACACACACCCATGCCCGAGTTTATAGTTGTTATATGTGAAACACTTGAAAAGGCCCCAGAAAAAAATAAAAAGAAAAGAAAGAAAAGGCCCCAGCTCTTTGTAGGCAAATACAGTATTCATTATTATTTTGGAGATTAACAGACATTTCAAATGGGCCCCTAGATTGTAAACCTCTACTTTAGAAGTGGGACAACTGGATCCATTTTTTAGGTTTTTAGGTCTAATCCCCCCCACCCAATTATGTTCACAGTCCATTATTCTAGGGCAAAATATCCACAGTCACCTTCTTGACCCACCCCCTTGTACTCAAAGGAAAATTTGAAAACGTTATGGAATTCATAGAAATATTTTTCATGTGTGCCCTGTGAGATATGTGAGCCGATTCCTTACCTTTAGGGCTCAAGATTAAGTAAAACTGCTACAAGAGGTGGATCCCACAGACCCCACAGAGGGTCCCTCAGGACCTGTGAGTGAGCTGCCTCTCTCTGCAACTGAGGACTCTTGCCCACCCTCTCTGCCCCCAGGTTCTGCTCTAAAAGATCAGCTTAGTCAGGGCACGGGCAGCACCCCGGACAGTGGAATGGACCACTGGAACGAAGCTTCCCCCTCGGCCTTCTCTGTGGAGCCCTCCTCCGGCATCGTGCCCGTGGGAAAGACTCAGAAGCTCAAAGTGAAATTCTCCCCACTGGACTTCGGAGAGTTCGAAAGCAACCTTTTCTGCCAGTAAGGAAATGTGCTCCCCAGAACTTCCATCTTTGCAGGGGTAGACCTCTGTGGCTCTCTGGCTTTCGTCCCACCCCCTTGTATCCCACTACTGCCACCATTCTTTCCAACCCCAGACCCCTTCACAGCTCCACATTACCACTTTTCCTTCTGGAAGAATTGAGAGGGACCAGCATTTGGAGAACAAGGAGAATTTGGTCTTGATCCTGATCATCAACCCTCTCCAGATGCTTCCCTCTATCCACTTCCCCCTTCCCAGACACATAGAGCATTCCACTAAGCAACAGAATGATTGGCAGTCAGGTGGGTTCCAGTCTTTGGGCAACCATGAACTGGGCAAGTTTTCTTGCCCCTTCTCTGAGACTCAATTCCCTCATATATAACATGCAAATAATAATGTCCACCTTGTAGAATGGTTGGGAAGATTAAATGAGTTGATTGAAGCAAAGAACTTAGAACAGTGCCTGGCACACAATGAATACTAGGTGGTGAAAGGGGGTCATGCCATCGTCGGTGGTCCTGTTACATTGTAGTTGAGGAAAACATGGTGCCCAGATGCAGTAAGAAAAAACCTGATCAAATGCATCTGACAATTACAGTCCCTGGTGTGGTGCCATATCTAGAAAAGCTCCATGGAGAACCCCTGCCTTACAGAGGAAGTCTATGAACGGTGGCCTAGAGTGGCAGAGACTCGTGTGAGCCACTAGAGCCTCCTGAACCCCTGCAGTCACACCACAGAGACCCTGCCCACACCAAGGCCACCTCAGCTTGGTCCTGGGCTAAGAGTCTGTTCACATTTATTTACCTTCTTCAAGGAGCTCAAGATACTTTTTAATAAGTTCCAGGTCCCTCTTTGTATCCCATTAAATGTCTGTGAGAGGGCCCAGAGGGTAAGAGGGCTCTTATTTTTCAGCAGGAAGATTTCTTACCACTTTTGGAGTAATAACTTATAGCGATACCTAAGTACACAGAAGGAACTCAAAATCAGGCTCCTTATATTCAGCCCATTCATCCATTTACATTTAATGAATGAATACCTACTATGTGTCATGTACTAATAAAGTCACTAAAGTGGCAGTATTGACCCAAACCTACCTACCCTCTGCTTTCACAGAGCTCACATTCTGATATAATATTCATTTCCAACAACTAAGAAAGCAACGACTAATTTCAAAATAAAACATAAATAAAAATAACCTTATCCTCTTAGGATTCCCAACCTGCTGCCTGGAGAGCAAGCTCCAGTCCTGGTAGCGAAAGGACGGAGCTTCTTGCCCCTCTGCCATTTTGACCTGAAAGATTCGGACTACATCACTGGTCATCGGCGCAACGCAGAGCTCCGAGGGTCTGATTCAGGACCTCTGGATGCAAACACCCGGGTGATTGAGTTCACCAGTGTGGGCGTAGGAGAAAAGAATCTCCAGTGAGTTGCTTTGGTTTGCATTGGTTGAATTTATATCTGTCTTTCCTTCTAAAGAACTCAGAAAAAGAATTAAGAGAAACTAGCTAGACTTGGCTCTAGGAACAGTCCTGATATTCTGGGGGTTGACCTGAGTTTTAGAAGTTTGAATTTAGAGAACTGTTATATGAAGGTGGATTCCAGTGTCTCCTTAGCTTGGACAGAGAAGAAAAGTTGATATATTTATATATCAGCACACACACACACATATATATGTATATGTATACATATATACATATATATGCCTATACATATATGTCATATATATATATATATATATATATTCCCTAACCACCACCTTGACCACACAGCATCACAGATGGTGGCCTTGGCAGCAATTTTACTCCAAGTCCAGAAACCTAGCCACACTTTGGATCCCCAGATGAGATGGAGTTTTTAATTTCTATGATAATCAAGTGCTCAGAACAGTTAGGATTCCCAGTAGAGACTGTACTAGGGCCAGGTTCTAGGAAAGTTCTCTTACTTTTCAATTCTCTCCCTCACTTTCTGCTGTCAATTTTTCCCTTTGATCAGGACCTTTACAATCCTGAACCCAACCAATAGTGCCTACTCCTTCCGCTGGATGTCTGAAGAAACTGAAAGTCTCCAGAACCCTCCAGCCTTCACATGCCTCACAGAGAAGGGCTGTATCCACCCTGAAAAGAAAGCTGAGGTCTGTGTGGATGGGGACCCCCTCAACAAAGAGCTTAGATCATTGCAGCCATCTGTGAATGGCGGCAAGTTGCCTACAGCGTAGGTAGTGATAGGGAGAACCACCTAAAGATGGGTCAATCAACACATGTTTATTGAGTGGCTACCATGCATGTTGGGCCTGTTGAGCAAAACAAAGCTGAACTCTTGTCTGACCATAGTGAAAGAAAGAGCTCTAGTTATTTATTTATAGTTTGTTGCTGTTGTTGTTTAATTGAGACTATTAAAGCAGCAAAAGGGAACCAGACACAAATATCGGGGGACTCCATAACTCATACAATAGCAGGAAGAAAAGTTATCACTGGCCAACCGGCTGATAATAGTGAAAGGACAATGATGTGTTTTTACTAAGTTAGGTCAAAGGACAAAACAGAAAAGTGGAGGCATGTCCTGCAGCTTATTCCTAAATGTCTCAGTGATGTAGGGCAGGAGTCAGATATAAATATGAACTTACTATGGGTTCCCTATCCAAGAAGTTCTGTAAAGAGTCTTAGAGGTAGAAATAAACCTGTAGAACAAACATTACAAGTTAAAATGCCTTCAGGAAGGTCACTCAAATGAATGAAGACAGTCAGGTAGACAATGATAGGGAATGCCAGTCACCAATGCCTACTGGCTCCAGCTCTTCTCTGGCAGATGACCACCACATAGACAAGCAGACCTAGGGTGGCCTAGTCTCCAAGAATTTTTCTGGGGAAGCCAGAATTTTCCACGTTTCTATGTAAGTCTCCCTGTTCTACCTGTTGGTCGCTAGTTCAATATTTTTAACACTTTCCAAATTAAATGAAATGTATTTTGTTGACTCTGATATTGACCTCTGCATATTGCCAATACCTAGCCATCAGCATGACAGGATCCAGGAGCTGGGTCTGCCTTGGACATGGTCCTACTTGGATAGCCCCCACTACAGCCCAGAAATATGTCAAAGATGCTGCCCAATTCCTGGAGAGGCAAGTTGTAGAATCCATCATACAGAGTCATTCTGGCCTCTGGATGACAGTAGTGTCATTGAAGTGACCCATCTCTAGAACACTTCCCCGTGTCACCCTGGCATGGGCACAGAACCTCTCTGTTTCCTTTCTGGCCACATTCCATGGTTCTCCCATCTGGTCCTGACTGATAAATTGCAAAGAGACTCACTCGAGTTAAAGAATAAAAGGACTTGGGTCAGGTTTTGAGATTGAACTTTCCTTCCAGGTCTTTTTCTTCTCCTCTTCCATCTCATCCATTCTCTCCCCACCAGCCAGTTTCTTCCCCTGTGGCATGCCACGGCCCACCTCACTCTCACAGCATCTTTTACCATCAACTCCATTGCCAGCTAGCCTTGCCACTTGTTTTCTAATTCTGAACTTCTCAGTGAAATATATGGTTATCCCTGCTAATCTGAGTCGGGCTGTGTGGCAGGCTATTGACAGACAGGTATATTCTCTTTCTTTGAAATGGGTGCCAGCTCTATGGTCCAGTCAACCAAGGTACGACCATGCCATCCAAAGACAGGGCAAAATATAACAACCAGAAGAGGCTGTGGGTGGGATACATTCCCTTAAAGGACACGTGGGTAGGGCAGAGACACTGATGTTGCTGGTACAGCCAGACCTACAAGCCCTCACAGAGACTGGAAAGGCAGCAATAACTTGAGGATGTTAGCTGTCATGAATCTGGCACCAACAAACCTCTTAAGGACACAAGGAGTAAGCAAACAGAAGTGCCTTTCACCACTGTGTTCCCAATTGTCTTCTTAGATTGTGTTCCAGTTCACACCTTCCCATCTGGACATCACGGAAGCATTCTGGACCTTCTTAATCCCTGAACATAATATCTCAGTCCCTTTCCTTCTGGTGGGCAAAGCCATTGACCCTCTCATCTCTCTGGACAAGTCACACATCAACTTCAGTTCTCTCCTTATTGGTAAGGATGCCTGATTGAAAATAAATGCTAATCCAATCAAATTCTACTTAGAATCACAACTTGAGCTGCCAGATAAAATACAGGATGCAGTTAAATTTTAATTTCAGATAATAAGTGTCTTAGTGTAAGTATATCCCGTGCAATATTTGGGACCCACTTATACTAACTCTGACAGTTTAGCCCCAAAAAGATTGAGGAGGGAAGGAAATCAGATAAATTAGTCCTGAAATTTATGTAGGAAAATAAATTTTCAACAACAGCCAAAGGGCAAAAGAAATGAGAGGGGATGTATTAGTGCCCTGGAAAGGAAACTCCTGCCATACCTAAGGTCTAATTCAAAATAATTCAATTCAGGGAATATTTACAGAGATATGGGCAGTTAAAGGTCGGATCAGAGAGAGTCAAGCCCCATTAGCACATTCAAGAAGGCATCACAACTCCTGGGATCTAGGGAGCAAGGGAAGACAATGTTGTTGCCAGGATCCCAGGAGAGCTTCAACCAGGGCAGCTGAGCCACCCAGCAGGAGCAGGGGATTAGTGAAGTGAAGTTCTAGAAGGAAAATCCCCCAAGATAGAGAAGTCACCTGAAGAGCAAAAGGAAAGAAAAAAATTAGTCCGAGGCCAAGGAATTGAGACTGGGAGGGAACAGCACTTGGAGAGTCCTTCTAAGAAGACTCCATCCTGCCTGCAGGGCAGAGTCTGCTGAGGTACTTCAGCAAGCAGACAGGAGGCCTCCACTGGGGTCTGTCATTTCTTCCCCAGGCAGAGAAGCCCGGGAGACTGTGCAGATCATCAACAAGGAGGACCTGGGCTTCAACTTTGCCTTTCAGGACAACTCCCGATATTCTGAAGGCTTCAGCAATAGCCTGGTGGTTTGTCCCATGGAAGGCTGGATTCCACCACTGTCCAGGTAAAGGAAAAGGAAGACCTCAGGATGCACCCTCCCAGCATGGCAGGGATTCAAGGCCTGACAGCCAGGAGGATGCATTAGAGTTTCCCATTTATAAAACCTCTTCCAACTCTAAGATTTAGATATTAGCAATTCCATCTGTGTCCTACCTACTCCCTGGCATTCATTTTCTTGATGAATGAAAGAGCACTGAGGATTTTAAATCCTCGTCCTTATTATTTTCACTCATGTTTGTAAATTGTTTCCTTGCTGTCTCATATGTGTGAATCCACAGAGAAAAGTCTAGCCTTGCCTGGCAGATCTTAAAACTCCGTCATGATTTGGAGTGCCTTCTTGGTGCCTTTTACTCATAGTGTATCTGCTAATTCACTGGGCTTATATTTTTTAACAAGTTTTAACTGGTTGGCTCAGTTGACAAATCTACTGTCTTATTTTCCATCCAGGGTATCAGTTGATATTTTCTTCACACCAAAGCATGAAGGAGACGTGAACTTTAATTTGATCTGCAATGTGAACAAGAAAGTCCACCCTCTGACATTAAATGTCAAAGCTGAGGGATACACTATGAATGCAGAGGTCAAGTGCAAGGACAGGATTGGCTCCGTCACTCTCTTGACACCCAACCAGACCAACATCATCAACTTCTATGAGGTAAAGTTGTGAGAGGGCCTTACTATCTCTCTCAGTCTCCACAATTAACTGAGGAAGGTGGTGGTACAAGAGAATATGAACTGACAATTCACAAAAACTAAATTATGGATCCAGCTTAGGTGCCCATATGTGAGATATATATATATATATATATATATATGCATACACACACAATGGACTATTACTCAGCCATAAATAAGAATGAAATGATGACATTTGCTGGTAAATGGATGGAACTGGAGACTATTATGCTAAGTGAAATAAACCAATCCCAAAAACCAAAAGCCAAATGTTGTCTCTGATATGCAGATGCTAACTCACAATAAGGGGTGCCAGGGAAGAATAGAAGTGCTTTAGATTAGACAAAGGGAAATGAAGGGAAAAGAGAGGAACAGGAATAGGAAAGACAGTAGAATGGATCAGACATTTCTTTCCTATATTCACATATGGATACACAACCAATATAATTCCACATCACATACAACCAGAAGAATGGGAAGTTGTACTCCATATTTGTATAACATGTCAAAATATATATTCTACTGTCATATATAACTAAAAAGAACAAATAAAATAAAAACAAATTTTAAAAAGAGAATATGAGCTGAGCCTGGTCTGTCTCAAATGCCAAGAGACCAAAAGAACAGAAACAGCTCCATCCTCAGAATGTATATAGTTATTATGAGAATGCTTTGTTTCTTCAGAATGCTTTTCTTTTTCAGGCAGTGGGGAGGGATACAAAGGAAGGATGCTTAAGTACCAAGAGACAATTAAATTGACAACATACATTTGATAAGATATTAAGAATTTGGCACATGCCTATAATCCCAGATACTTGGGAGAATGAACCGTGAGGACTGCAAGTTTGAGGCAAGCCTAAGCAACTTAACAAGACTCTGTCTCAAAATTAAAAAAAAAAAAATTTAAGTATATAGCTCAATGGTAAAGTGCTTGCCTAGCATGTATGAGGCCCTGGGTTCCATCTCTAGCAGTACTGGAAAAAAAAAAAAAAAAAACAAGGAACCCAATACTTAGTAGCTCTTACCGAAATACTCAACTATATTAACTAATAGCAGTCAGCTCAGCAATATCATCTGCCATCCTTATTTCCAAAAGGATGTTTTTCTCAGAGATGGGAACTGTGATTTTCATTTATTGCTCTGGTTTCTGTCTTGCAGGCGGAATTAAATGAATGTGTACAGTGTGAATTCAGTTTTACCAACGCTGGGAAGTTCAACTTCAACTTCCAGGGAGAGCTTGCCGGGCCCAAAACCCTATTGAAGTACTTTGAATTTTCACCTACCAACGGCACTGTGAATGTGGGGCAGAGTGAACACGCCACCCTGACTTTCCACCCAAATCAGAAGTGTGTCTTGAATGGCCTGGAACTCATAATTAAGGTGAGAATATTTAATACTATCCATATTCTGAAAGCACTCACAAACCATAAACTTGCAGCGATCCTAGGAGCACTCACTCAAGAAAAATGGCTGAATATCCATAAGAATAGTGAGCACTGAGGTATTTTTGCCCTATTCCTAGTCCCCCCCACCCACCCTATGCTCAGCAGGAGCCTTGAAGAACAACAGTTCTGAAATCAAAGTGTGCAAACCACCAACCTGTCAGCCACTGAAGACAGCAGACCAACCACCCTGAACGCGCCCGATCTCGTCTGAAGACAGCAGACCAGCCTCAGAATTCTTCAAAGGTCCCATTATAAAAGAATTGTCATTATTTTCCCTGTCTAGAATTTCAGTGGAAACTTCCACTCAAGCAAACCCACTCACAGAGTTTTCTTTTCTTTGACCCGACTCAGCGCTTGCTCAATGTGAGCAGCCTTTTCTCATGAGGCATTTGTCCAAAATAATCGGTGGCAATTGTTTAACATTGCAGCTACCTGAGCAAACAACAAGTTAACCCCAAAAATATAAAAGGAAAGCTAGAGAAGGAGATATGCATAGGGGACTTGAAAAGTTCTAATATATTCCCCAGAATCTAGACAGCCATGTATTGCACGTGCAACACATGTGTATCTCAGGGTTGTGATACTGTTGAGAAGGCCTTAAGTTCTTACCTCTAGCTAACATTTAGGCTGTGAAAGCAAAAAGTGAAATATAAAGTAGAATTGGCAGCTGCCTACCTGAGTGTCACAGCCCCTGGTGAATGCATTTAAGGAAATCTCTATCCAACCACTGTCTTACCACTAAGATAACTGAGCAGAGAATTCAGTGGCCATGTATAAATACAAATACAGCAGCACCCCACCCCCACTTTATTTGCAATTCAGTTTTCATGGTTTTAGTTACACATGGTCAACCACAGCCTGGAAATACTTAATGGAAATTTCCAGAAATAAACAATAATAAGTTTTAAATGGTGTGTTGTTTTAAGTAGTGTGAAGAAATCTCATGTTATCTCACTTCATCTTTCCCAGGCAATGAATCCACACTTTGTCTGGTATATCCACCCAATCGTTAGTCACTTAGTTGCTTTCTCCGTTATCAGATCCACTGTTGAGTCATGCAGTGTTTGTATTTAAGTAGTTCTTATTTTACTCAATAATGGCCCCAAAACACAAAAGTAGTAATATTGGCAACTCAGGCATACCAATGAAAAGCCACAAAGTGCTTCATTTAAGTCTCATCCCAGACACCACAAGAAGATTGAAAAGTACAGTAAAGTACCTTGAAAGAGACCTCTCACATAAGATTATTATAGTGTATTGTTAAAATTGTTCTATTTCATTATGAATTGTTGTTGTTAATTTGTTGTGCCTGATTTTTAAGTTAAACATTATCATAGGTGTGTATGTATGTGTGTATATGAAGAAACAGGGTATAAATAGTGTTCAGTACTGTCTGTGGTTTCGACATCCTCAGGGTCTCTTAAAACATATCATCCACATATAGCGACTACTGTATAGACTGTACTGAAAAAGTTACTAAACAAAGAGTAATAACAAATCTACTGAAAAAGAAACTAGAAAACTATCCTATTCACAAAACCAAAAAAAAATCTTGGGAATCAACCTAACAAAAGAGATGAAAGATTTCTATGATGAAAACTACAAAACACTGAAAAAGAAATTAAGAAGAACTTAGAAGATGGAAAGATCTCCCATGCTCCTGGATACGCAGAATTAATATTGTCAAAATGATCATATTACCAAAAATGTTATATAGATTTAATGCAATTCCTATTAAAATCCCAATGATCTTCTTCATAGAACTGGAAAAAGCAACCATGAAATTCATTTAGAAAAATAAGAGACCCAGAATAGCCAAAGCAATCCTTAGCAAGAAGAGGAAAGCAGGAGGCATCACAATACTAGACCTTAAACTATTCTGCAGAGCCATAATAACAAAAATGGCATGGTATTGGCACCAAAACAGACACATAGACCAATGGTACAGAATAGAAGACACAGATACAAACTCTCATAGATACAGTTATCTCATACCAGACAAAGGTGCCAAAAACATTCATTGGAGAAAAGATAGCCTCTTCAACAAATGGTGCAGGGAAAACTGGAAATCCATATGCAGCAAAATGAAATTAAATCCCTATCTCTCACCCAGCATGAAATTCAACTCAAAGTAGATCAAAGACTTAGGCACTAGAACAGAGAATCTGCACCCTATAGAAAAAGTAGACCTGAATCTTCACCATATCAGCTCAGGATCTGATTTCCTTAACAAAACTCCTAAAACACAAGAAGTAAAATCAAGAATCAATAAATAGTATGGATTCAAACTAAAAAGCTTCTTCTCAGCAAAGGAAGCAATCAATAACGTGAAGAAAGAGCCTGCAGAATGGAAGAAAATCTTTACCACATGCATCTCAGATATATAAAGAAATCAAAAAATTTAACACCAAAAAAAAAAAAAACCCAATCAATAAATGGGCAAAGAAACCGAACACACTTCACAGAAGAAGAAATACAATTATTGATCAACAAATATATGAAAAAAAATATTCTACATCTCTAATAATTAGAAAAATGTAAATGAAAACTACTCACTTCATCTCACTCCAATCAGAATGGCAATTATCAAAAATACAAACAATAAATGTTGGTGAGGACGTGGGGGGGAAAGGTACACACATACATTGCTGGTGGGACTGAAAATTGTTGAAAAGCAGTATGGAGATTCCTCAGTAAACTTGGAATGGAACCACCACTTGACCCAGTTATCATCCCACTACTCAGTTTATACCCAAAGGAGTTAAAATCAGAATACTATAGTGACACAATCACATCAGTGTTTATAACAGCTCAATTAACAATAGCTAAACTATGGAACCAACCTAGATGACCTTCCACAGATGAATGGATACAGAAAATGTGGTATATATACACAATAGGATATTACTCAGCCTTAAAGAAGAATGAAATTATGGCATTTACCAGTAAATGGATGGAGCTGGAGAATACCATGTTAAGGGAAGTAAGCCAATCCCCAAAATGCAAAGGTCAAATGTTTTCTCTGATATGCAGATGCCAACTTACAAAAGGGAGTAGGGCTATAGATTAATAAAGGTACTTTGGATGAGGCAGTGGAGAGTGAAGGGAAGGGAGGAGGGAAAGAGTAGGAAGAACAGTAAAATGAATTTGACATTATTTCCCTATGTGCATATGACTACATGACCAGTGTGAATCTATATCACGTACAACCAGAAAAAGAAGTTATACTCCATGTATGTTTGATGTGTCAAAATGCATTCTTTTTTAATATTTATTTTTTAGGTGTAGATGGACACAACACAATGCCTTTATTTTTATGTGGTGCTGAGGATGGAACCCCGTCCAGTCCGGGCTAGGCGAGGCTCCACCGCTGAGTCACAATCCCAGCCCCAAAATGCATTCTATTATCATGTAAAACTAATGAGAACAAATTTTAAAAAAGTGTGACAACAGCAACAAAACCAGGATGGGGGCTGTGAGATCTGATTTCCAGAGTAGCTACATTATTTTAAATGTCCAATTTCCAACAACGAATATGAGACACACACCAAAAAAAGGAAAGCATTATTTAGATCCAGGGGGAAAAACCAATTAACAGAAACTTTTCCCAAGATGTTGAACTTAGGAAATAAATTCCTGAAATCAGCTGCTCCGGGTAGAACATATGCTTAGCATGCATGAGGCCCTGGATTTCAATCCCCAGCATAAAAAATCAATAAAATATGTCCAAAAGAAAGCCAGGCACAATGGCGCACACCTCTAATCCCAGTAGTTGCTGGGGGGGGCGGGGCTGAGGCTGAAGGATTGAGAGTTCAAAGCCAGCCTCAGCAAAAGCGAGGCACTAAGCAATTCCATGAGACCCTGTCTTTAAATAAAATACAAAATAGGGTTGGGGATGTGGCTCAGTGGTCAAGTGCCCCTGAGTTCAATCCCCAGTGCCACCCCTCAAAAAAATGTTCAAAGGACTAGAGGAAAATGTCTAAATAACTCAAATAGGAGAACAGTGTCTCACCAAATAGAGAATTTCAATAAAGGAATAAAAATTATAAGAATATAAATTCCAGAGTTGAGATGTATAGTTGCTAAAATCAAAAATTTACAAGAGGGGCTCAACAGAAGATTTGTTGTGGCGAAAGAATCAGCAAACTTGAAGATAGAGCAATTGAGATTACCCAGTATGAAGAATAGAAAGAAAAAAGTGGAGAAAAATGAATGGAACCACAGAAATCAATGGGACACCATCAAGTGTTCCAATGGGAGTCCCCCTGTCCCCACTCCACCAATCCCTCTTCAATCCATTTACAGTTTACTTTTTTTCTTAAATTTGCATCTGCAGACACACCCAATGCTGGGACCCACTGTGCCTCATCCATGCCTTCACGTAAAAAGTTTGGTCAGACTCATTCCACGATTCTTCCCCTTTCCCAATCCCTTCTTCCTCCTCCTCAATCCCCTTTATCTACTCTACAGATCTTTCCTCTATCTTGATGAAATTCCTTCTCTCCTTTTTTCCCTTTCTCTCTCCCTTTTTTATTATTCTCTTTCCCACCCCCTTATTTTGGATTAGCTTCTGCATATCAGAGAAAGTATTTAACCTTTGTGGTGTTGGGGATTAAACTAGGGCCTTGTGCATGCAAGGCAAGCACTCTACCAACAGAGCTATATCCCCAACCCTAACCTTTGACTTTTTGAGACTGATTTATTTCATTTAACATGATAGTCTTCAGTTCCATCCATTTACTGACAAATGCCATCATGTCACTCTTTATGGCTGAGTAATACTTCGTTGCATATATATATATATATATATATATATATATATATATATATATATATATCTCACATTTTCTTTATCTATTCATCTGTCAAAGTGCATCTAGGTTGGCTCCATAGTTTAACTATTGTGAATTGTATTGCTATAAACATTGATGTGGGTGCATCACTGTAATATGCCGATTTTAAATCTTTTGGTTATATACCAAGGAGTGGAATAGCTGGGTCATATAGTGGTGAAAAGCACAAGGGTTTTTGAAGACAATCATCCAAGCCATGAAATTCAAAGTGGAGCCTCTGGCCACTAGGTGCTCGGCTGTTCTCCTGGACTGGAACCCAGTGGTAGAGCTGCAGACATCATGCATGAGAAATGCCAGGCTGTGGTTCAGAAGACACTTCTGAGAAGTGTCTTTTCCAGAACTTTCATTTCTTACAGCAAAAAGAAAGCTCATGTATCATAAGATCTTCCTACCCTAATTAATAGAGAAGTTGATAATCTAAGGTAATAAGTCTAAACACTTATCAGAGAATCAACCACAAAGTATTGACATTCAAAATCTAGAATAAGAAAATGTTCTAAAATTGATAAAGTTGTACCAAGGAGTGTTGACTTACTCTAATGATGTTTAGAATGTTTCTTCTAGTATTTATTTTAGTAATATGTATTCTAATGATATACAGAATGAATAGTGGATATTTCATTTTAAATCAATTATCAATTTATGAAATTTTGTACTATAGAGTTTGTGAAGAACAAACTAAGTTCATGTACCAAGGAGTCACATATTACCTTATGGTTGCGTTCTCAAGGACTTGGACATGTTGGCCTTTGACCTCATTCTTGTCATCTCCTTGTCACCAATGACCTTTCTACCTAAGACCTGTGTCTGCATTCCAGAGTGGAAGAGTGTGAAGACCAAGAACATTCCCAAGCAAGACTCTGCCTCTGGTCAAGATGGGAGACCCTCCTGTCCTCTTTTGTTCACATCCCCATGATGAGCGGCACAAGAGAATGGGAAATCAATTATCCATCTACCCACATTCGCAGCCAGTCAGTCCCACTAGAAAAGAAGCCATGGGGAGAGTGGCAGCCACCATGCTGGGTGGTGACCACCAGTGTCTGCCACACCCCTCCACCTTCAAGCTGAATCATTGCTGTGGGAGCAAAGCAAGAGTCAGCGTAGCGTCTGGTTACAGTGGAGCTTTTGTAAATACAACTCTAACTTACTGAGTCAGAATCTCTGCAGTTGGAGCCCTGAGACCCGTATTGCTTCAAAACACCAACTACTTTCCTCCTTACCTTGAGGATATAAGTACCCTCTCTTCCTGTTTCTCCTAACCATGGTCCCCCTCTCATTCCCTCTCCACAGATCATCCATGGCCCGACATTTATATGTAGCATCTCAGGCTGTGCTGTGAGTCCAGCCATCCATTTCTCCTTTACCAGCTACAACTTTGGGACTTGCTTCATCTACCAAGCTGGGATGCCCCCATACAAACAAATCCTGGTTGTCACCAACAGGGAAGAAACATCCATGAGGTAAGTAAGGCTTCTCAGAGCATCCAAATGGTTCCTAAGCTCCTTTTGGGTCCTACAGACTCCATATAGATCTAGTCCTGCCAAGACCAAAAAGGAAGCATTATGGGAAAAGTCAAACCCTTTCAGGTAGACGTGAATCCTGGGTCCCTATCCTCACCACTAGTGGGGATCCCTGGGTAGCTGTGAGCCACTCTGCTTAAAACCCTCTTCCTGTGCAGAGGGCAATGCCAAAGACCCAATGGGAAGTTGGTGACATCTGTTTATTTTCTTCATGTAATAGATGTGGAATAAAGTTTAGAGAGTTAAATGGTGAATTTATCTGCAGAAAAGAGCAGATATGTACTCAGCCTAAGTCTTTCTGATTCAAATTTAGCCTCTGCACCATCCCAGTGGAACATTCTGGTGAAGATTTCTAGGCCCCATTTCAGACCTAAACAGAATCTCATCAGGCCCAGAGACCTGTGTTCACTCAGAGCCCTCTATATCAGTACTGTAGAGAACTTTACACAACGAGGAAGATACTGCTTATCTGCACCATCCAGTGTGACCTAGAGCTAGATGTGGCTCTAAAGCACTTGAAATGTGGCTAGTGTAACATTTATAAATTAAATAAAACTGAATGTTATTTAATTGAATTTTAATGAATTTTAATTTCAGTAGTCATATGTGTCTAGAGGCTACCAAATTGAATAGCACAGATATAAGTTCAAGTTTCAGCTCTTCCTTAGCTGTGTGACTTTGACCACATTTTTTTTTTCTTTTTATGGTTCTGGAATTGATCCCAGGACCTTGCACATGCTCAGCAAGTACTTTATCACTGAACTGTACCACCATCCCAAGGCCAAATTTTTTAACTCTTTGTGTCTCTATCTTCTTGCCTGAAATGGGGTAATCAGTACTGACCATATAAGAGTACTAGGAAGACTAAATTAATCCTTCTTGAGACAGTACTTAGAACAGTGCCCAAAATATAGAAAGTATTCAATTATTATTAGTTGCTGCTGCCATAGCTGTTGCTGCTGCTGCTATTATTTTAATACCCAAAATATTAAATTACAGGAGTTTCCATTAGGGTTAAATTTAAATTTAATAGGGTTTACTTAAATATCAATTTTTAAACTTACTACTTATATGCTTCTAAAATGATTTCATGTAATCTCACTCTTCCTTTGTTTAAAGCATCGAGCTCTATACATTGGCCTCACTAGACCCTTCTCTAAATGCCAGTCAGGAAGATGAAGGGTGCTACAATGGAGAGGTCTAGGTGCCTTCATAACCACAGGTGAAATGGCAGATATGATCTCTCAGGATCCCTTCAAGTTGAGCAATGAGCCATAATAATAATATCTCATCTTTATGGCATATATTAGTAGACTGCTTTAGCCACATCATCTCATTTAATCCTCATGACAGTCCTATGAAATAGCTATCACCTCTCCCATTGTACAGATAAGGAAACAGATATCCAAGTAACTTAGATCCACGAAATCTAGAAATCTAAGTACCTTTTCCTAGGTCACGTGGCTAGCTAGAGCCAGATCCAAACTCCTATCTGACTCTAGAACTGTATATTCCTGTCCAGTCTTGAGATGCATCATCACCAAGCAGGGGCTCAGTAGAGTTAAAGAGCGCTGGGAAAGGGGTTGTGAGCCTCTGAGTTAGAGGCCTGGTTCTGCTAGTATCACAGAATGCCACATCCAGAGTGTGGGCTGGTCATTGGTGTGGTCACTTCCAGTTCTTTAATGACTTCTCTGACTCTAGGACAGCAGGGCAGAAAACCTATCAGCATCTAACCCAGAGAGTCAGAAACATGCCAATCCCTCTAGGTCAGCATTCTCAGAGTTTGCACTCCTTCCTCTTGGTTTCCCCCAGCATAGACTGTTTGTACACCAACACCCCACACCTGGAGGTGAACTTCCGTGTGGATGTGGTGAAGCCAGGAAATTCTCTGGAGATTCCAATTATCTTTTATCCTCGAGAAACTATCAGCTATCAAGAACTCATCCCCTTCGAGATCAATGGGCTCTCCCAGCAAATTGTGGAAATCAAAGGGAAAGGCACTGAAATGAAGGTGAGAGATGTTGAGGGAGGTCCTTGGGCTCAACCCCCTCCTTCCCACCCCCCACAGCCTCCTTTGCCCACCGGAGCCCACACAGCTCTCCCCCCCTTCCCCATCCCCCCCCCCCCCCCGGGTTGCTCTCTCAGAGGTCCGCCTCTCCCACTGAAACAATGTCTCTAATCACACAAAGAGGGAAATCGTCAAATCAGACTCAAGAGAATGGTAGCTCCTACTCAATTCCAAACTTCACTGTGCAAAGGATTCTGGTAATCACAGGCACTAGAGAAACTTTCTTTGTTTTCTTAGAGATTATCAGATGCAGCTTCCCAAGCATATCTTTCTCCCGCCTTGGGGTGTGTTTTCTTTTAGGCTTAATAGACAACATTTTTAGGTGACATATGCAGACATAGATTTCAGCTATGAAACATCTTTCTTTAACACCCCCATTGATTAAAATTCTCCAGCCAGCCATGGGTCCCAGGATTACATTTGGTCAAGGATTTCTTCTACCCAGGCACCCCAGATAGAAAGGAAATGATCTGTCCTGCTGTCCATTCATTTCTCCTCAGTGTCTTGGTAAAGTGTAAGGTGCTTGTCTGGTGGGATGTTTGTATGTCACAGAAGGTCTGGGAAAATTGAAACCTTCCAAGAGTCTTAAGAATGCATGATATATATCATCAACCAAAAAGAATTGGGAGGGGATATGTTCCAGGTAGCCTTGCCCTAAAGCCATAGGAGAAGCAGCACATGGTCATCTGGTGTGTCTAGACCCAGGACAGAGACAGGGCCTGTCCCCATGGCCCGGCTCCTTCATTCACTTGTCCTTCCATTGGCTCATCCTGCACCCATGGGATGCTGGTAACTTAAACATGTTCTCAGGCCTCCAGGTTCTCACTGGCCAGTCAGGGGGGTCCTTTTCAGGCACAATGGAAACATGTGGACTGAAAGATACAGATAGTTGGAGGGAGGAGTACAGTTTAGTAACTGATCAAAGGAGAGTAGTCAGTGGTTGCTACTTATTTTGGTTCAAGTCCTCCTGGAGGGCAAGGCTCGGCCTGATCCAGATCAACATTTTGATCAATGCCTTGTGTCGGCTTTTCTCCAACTCTAGCCAAACCGCCATCCCCTCTCCTCCTTGGGCTTTCTCTCTTCCCTTCTTAGTCCATTCTCCCCCGAGGAGCAAGCCAGAGCACTCTCACAAACACACTGGGTCGGGTCACCACATGCTTCTCTGTCTTCCCATTTCTCCCAGCATAGAGCCCACCCTCCCTCTCACCACCTACAATAGCCTACAAGACCTTGCAAGACCTGACCGCTTCTCCAGCCTGCTCTAGTCTGCTAGCTCCACAGGCCTCGGTAGGCCACCTTCTCAGGCCCAGGGCCATGCACAGCCCATCTCCTCCCGCTGCATGCTCCCCAGCCCATGCCATGCCGATTAGGCCCTGCCCTGCTTTAGCACCCAGTGCCCACTGCAGGAAGGCCTCCCTCAGCCCCAGTCTAGTGTCAGCTCCCTGCATTGTGCTTTTTCCTTCATCTCTCTGAACCCAGTTTACATTATGTAATTTTGTGAAGAGTTGAGTGGGCATTTTATGCTCATCAGTGTTGAGGAAGTGAATGAATGCCTCACCCATATGAAGAAGTTAGAGCGCTAAAAGAGAGAGAGCCACCCTTGGCCTCGCCAGGATAGGTGTATCATAATACATATTTTTCCCATTAACTAATGAGCCCTTATTCCTATCCTCTTGCTCATTTCTTCTGCAGATTTCAGTCCTAGATCCAGCCAACAGGATTGTGAAGTTAGGAGCTGTCTCACCAGGAAACGTTGTGACGAAAATGGTTTCCATCAAGAACAACAGCCTTGCCCAGCTCACATTTAACCAGTCAGTCCTGTTCTCTGTTCCAGAACTCCAGGAACCCAAGGTAGGTGCTCAGGGGACTTCCAGGGACCTCTCCATGCTTCCTGATGATCAGAACGACCTACAGCACCAACAGCTCACATTTCTTGTGCACCTAGAATGTGCCAGACCATTCAAAGAGTTTTCCACGTGCTATCTCTGATCATGTCCCCAAAACAGTGTGGGGTTAGCACCCTAATATTATTACTCTCATTTTACATTTTCATATCATTTTCCATGTCATTCAGTGTCATTTGTTCATTTGTGCCTCTACTAGGTAGATGAACCAATTCTCTCTTTCTGTTCATTAGAGGTGTTTCAGCTTTTTTATATTATAAACATTGAAATACCTACGTACCTAGGACTTTGCGTGCAGTCGTGATTTTCTGCTTACAACAAGTTCCTAGAAATGGACTTGTTGGGCGAAAAGGAAAAGTGTGTTTGAATAAGCATTGCCGATCTGCTCCCTGAAAGGCTGTCCAGCTCTCCTCAGTGGTGGGAGAAGGGCATGCTTGTAATTAAATCCATGCCCACAAGGTCCCTGGATAGAGGAACTTCCAGTCCAGGATGCCTGCTACCCAGGTTACCATCACCAGTATTTGGATGGCCCTTCAAAAAGAGGCCACATGTTTTTCATTCTAAGGATGGACTACATTCATTCCTTCATTCAGCTCATTCTTCCATTTGCTCAGTGAATACATGCTAGGTGTGGGGAACATAAAGGTGACTATGAAAGACCTCGGTCTGGTGAAATTCACAGTCTTCGGGGGTCACAGACACATAGACAATATCAGGACATCATGGAAACTGCAGAAGCAAAGTGGGAGTTGAGAACAGGGCTACTCAGAGGAGGGTTCAGGGGACTACGGAAGGCCTCAGAGTTCAGGAGTCTGAAGTTATTTTTATAGGATGAATAGGTGTCTCCCAGACAGACGGATTGAGGAGGGGTGGCCATAGGAGGGCTAAGGTATATATGTTCCAAAGGGGCCTTCCTTCACAATAAAACAGATGTGAATCAGTGTAGAACAAGTGCCACAGACTACCCAGGGATTTCAGGACACAGAAAAATGAGCTGTGAGAGGCTAGTCAGAGGAAGAGACGCAGCGGGCTGATCCCCTTTGCCCACTACTACACTACTCCAAATTAAAGTCCCAGTGGGTTGGGGCCCCTAACAGTTTGGCCATCCCAATTCTGCCTCATAGGTGGTCAGACCAAAGCTGTCAGATGACCTGTGCTGGCTCCATCACCCTGAGCCTAGCTCCCAACACCATTTTTTTTTTTTTTGAGAGAGATCTCTAGGATTACTTTCTGGTTGTAGCTTCACCTCACTCCCTGTGGCCACAGTCCCTTTGTAGGTGAGTGCCCAATACCCTGTACCAAAGAGAGCTTAAGTATCCAAAGGGAATTGACTTCCTTAAGGCTGGTTTGGATTTGCTTTTTACTAGGACTGAAGGGAAAGTCATCCAAACTTGTGCAGTGGCTCTTGAACTTTAGAATACAGGAGGTACCCGGAGGGCACTTTTGGAAATGCAGGTTTCAAGCCCTCCCAGGGATACTGATTTTGTTGACCTGGGCAGAATGTGCGTCTTAATAATCCCAGAGAGTACAAGGCATAGTGGTACATGCCTATAATTCCAGCATCTTGGGAGACTGAGACAGAAAGATCACAAGTTCAAGTCCAGCTGGAGCAACTCAGCAAGACCTTGGCTAAAAAAAAAAAAAACAACAATTAAAAGGACTAAGGATGTAGCTCAGTGGTAAAGCACCCCTGGGTTCAATCCCCAGTACCAATAATAATAATAATAATCCCAGGGAACATCAGGAAACATCAGAGTACTATTTCCTCTTTCCCAGTACTATTTGTTCTTTTCCTCCTCCCCATGGAGAAGAAAGAATGAAATGCCCAAGATAAGTTGGAAAGGGAGCAGGAAAGGGAACTGGCGTTCATTGGATGCCTATTATGTACCACACATTTTATATACATGATCTTAACCTTCACCAGAGCGCATGTCACAGAAGGTTTAAGTCATTTACCGGATTACACTGCTGGTAAGAGCAGATGTGACATTTGACGCCTGGGCTGGGACCTCAGGAAATGGAGGCCTCAGGAGCTTCCCTGACACCTTCAGCTACTGAGTCCAAGTGTCGCTTTGTCCAGGTCATCACCTTAAAACCCTTCCAGAACATCACTCTGAAGCCCAAAGAAGTCTGTAAAGTGGAAGTCACCTTTGCCCCAAAGAAGCGTGTCCCTGCCTTCTCCGAAGAAGTGTTCATGGAATGCATGGGACTCCTGCGCCCCCTCTTCCTCATCAACGGGTGCTGCCAGGCCCTGGAGATCTCCCTGGACCAGGAACATGTTGCCTTTGGACCAGTTGTGTATCAGACTCAAGCCACCCGCCGCATCCTCATGTTGAACTCGGGTGATGTGGGTGCAAGGTAGGGAACAGCGCCCCCCACCCGGGGCTGCAGCAGACAGCTCTTGCCTGGATTGCCATTGTCTTGCAAGGACAGCAACTTCTCATTTCTGTCCTCTCCCTTCTGTACATATACTCTCACCTCAGGATGTGACAGCAGTGGCCTCACCAGAGTGGCTGCTACCACCATGAATACTGAAATCGATGTGATAGAGAACATCTTCTCTGTCTTGTTAAGTGCCCTTTTACCTGGCTCATCTCATTTAATCCCAACAAGCCTAGGAGACCAATCCCACAACTAATCTGTTTCACAGATGAGGAAACTGAGGGACAAAGAAATCAAGTAAAATAACGCATGTAGCAAAAATTTATCAAGTCCAGGTGCAAGGCTGAGTGCTGAGCATTCTTGCATATAATCTCCCGTTTAATTATCCCAGGATCCTCAAAGATAGGTTACTACAGTGTCTCCATTTCACAGATGAAGTGAAGCCTAAAATGGTTAGTGACTTGCCCTCGATCACATAGCCAGGAGGAGAATCCAAGTGTATCTCTGACAGCTTTTCTTTCCACGCTGTTTCCTCTTGTCTCTTGCCATTCTGATGTAGCAGTACAAGCTTCATGCCACACTTCCCGCCACACTTCCCGCCACACTTCCCACCACACTTCCTGCCACACTTCATGCCACACACCACATGGGCACTCATCACAGAAAGACTCAGTCCTGGCACTGGAGGCACTAATCTGCACCATCCATCCTGGCTCCTGCCTGGACCAAGCACCCGACCACACAGGGCCATCAGATCCCAGTGCCACCAAGAACAGGCCTGACTCTCATATGAAGAGATGGTCACCCCCTGATGGCTCTAAACTGAGAGGCAGTGCAGGGAATGGCAAAGACTGTAGCCTTGGGAGGGCTTCAGTCCTCACCTAGCCACTTGCCAGCTCTGTGACCTTGGAAACACCTGTGTACACACAATCATGCATTTGACTCCTGATGTGTCACGTTTGGGTACTAGGATTAGATGTGGCCACTTTCCACCCTGGCTCAGCTCAGAAGGAGCCCATCACCTTACCCAGGGCATGACCTTGCCCTGTGTCCCACAACTGCCTCTGCTCTGTCTAGCAGATCTTTCTCCTCCTAGGTCCCAAGGAACAGGCAAGAGAAGGAAACCCAGCCACCAAAAGCCCAGGAAAAGTCCGTAGTCTCAGGGGCACTGAGAATACCCTTGGAGTACTAGCAAACTGTCTTCCTTGTCTTCTTTTGCTTCAAAGGTTTAAATGGGATACCAAAAAAACTGAGCCTCATTTCAACATCACCCCAGAAGAAGGCTATATCACCTCAGGCATGGAAGTCTCTTTCGAAGTGACCTACCGTCCCACAGAGGTGGGAAAGGAGAGTCTCTGCAAAAACGTGCCTTGCTTCATCCAGGGAGGTAATTCTCTATGCCTCACCCTGTCTGGAGTCTGCGTAGGACCACCTGCAGTAAAAGAGGTGAGTGGGGTAGAAGTGAGCCCCACGAGGGAACTCAGTCCTCAGCACCCATGTCAACCCTTCAGACCTGTCCCCTCACCACCAGAGGGACTTTGATCAAGCCATGCCCTCTACTAGGATATTCTTTTCTTCCCTTCCATCTAGTTAACTCCTGTTCACCCCTCAGCTCTAGATTCAAGACTTACATTCTCAAGGAAGCATGCCCCTTCTGGATCAAATTCTATTATAACACCTTCTCTGTGGTTTAAACAATGGCCTTCGGTGAACCCAAGTGCTTTCAACTCTATTTCTGACAATATTGCTTACAGTAAAAATGACATGACCTCCCTCCCTGAAATTTTGTTATTTCAAGAATGTTATATGGATGGAATCGTACAGAATGCTATAAACAAGTCTCAGCAAGAACCAATTCTTTTTTTTTTTTTCTCTTGGGTAAACACCTAGCTGTGGAATGGCTCAGTCCCTATTCACCTTCTAAGAAGCTGTCAAATTGGTTTCCCTTTCATATCCTTTTTCTGTTCCAGTTTTCCTCTTGTGACCTGTTATGTTCCCACTAGCAATGTCTGACATGGCCACTTGCTCAATGTCCTTGTCAACATTTGATATGCTCAGTTTTTAAAGTTTTGGCCACTCTACTAGGTATGTATGTAGTAGTATCTCATTAAGGCTTTGATTTTCATTTCCCTAATGACCGAGGATGTGGAACATCTTTTCAGGTACTCACCATCCATGTACCTTCTTTGTTGAAGTGTCTTCAAATCTTCTATTTTTAATTAGGTCGTGGTTCTCAAAGTTTTGAGAGCTCTTTATATATTCCGGGCACAAGTCTTACATTTAGGTCTTCAATCTGTTTGGAGTTAATTTTTGTACCTAGTGCAAGATATGGATCAAATTCATTTTTTGTATGCAAATATCCAATTATTCCACCACCATTTGTTGAGAATATTTTCCTTTCTCCACTGAATTGCCTTGACACCTTTAACAAAAATCAGTTGACCAGGTGTGTGTAGGTCTGTTGCTGAGCTCTATACTTGTCCATTGATCTATTTGGCCAACTTTATGCCTGTACCACACTGACCTTGTTGATAAACTCAATGGCTGCGTCTTACCCATTGTCTTACTTGACCTGTGATAGCACGTGACACCATAAACCAGTCCCTCATCCTTCAAACACCCCTTCCCTTAAGTCCAGGACACCGCCCCCTCCTGGTTTCTTCCCACCTTACTGGCTGCTACGTCACATTTTCTCTGATTCTTCCTAACCTTGGAGTGTGTCCATCAGGAATCAAGGTCCTCAGATTCCTTCTTTCTTCTAAAGATATTCCTTCCTCTTTGATCTCATCCAGTTTCTTGGTCTTAAAACAGCATTGCCACATGGAAAACTCCCAGATCTATATCCCCCACCTGGACTTTTTTCCCTTTCACTCAGTTTGTAAATTCCACTTCCTGCTTGACTGATATTCTTCCCAAATGTAACTTGGACAGAACTGAGTTCCTGAATCTCTCCCCCAACCTGCTCCTCTCACAGTCAACATCGCCACCTTCTTGTCGCTCGATCTAAAAACACGAGGGTCATTCTTGAACCTTCTTCCACTTACACCAAAGATCCCATACATCAGAAAATCCTAGCTGGGCTTGCTGGCTCACTCCTGTAATCCCAGCCACTAGGTGGGCTGAGGTAGGAAGATTACAAGTTCAAAGCCAGCCTAGGCAACTGAGACCATGCTTCAAAATAAAATACTACTTCAACAGAAGGAAAGGCCTCTTCCAGGATTCCCAGGTCCTACATGCCTTTCTTCCCTGTCCGTTATCTCCCCGTCACCCATTTACTAGAAAGGTTCCCTCGTCATTTATCAAATTTAGGACCTTTACAATCAATGTTTCTTCTGCATGGAGGCTCTTTTCCCTCAGGTCTCCCCTGATTTTGTCCTTGTTGGTCTTTAATCCGGCACAGGATTCCCTATGTCCTTGCCTGGCTTCATCCCAGCCCTCTACCCCGAACTCCCACCCCCATGTCCTTCCCCTACCTACATGCTGTGTCTGTCTCTCCCCACTAGAGTGTAATCTCTTCCAGGACAGAGATTTTTTTGTGACTTTGTTCATTGCTGTAACTCCACAACCAAAAACAGTGCCTGGCACACTTTGTGCAACAAGATAAATATTTGTTGAAAAAAAAAATGAAAGAAAAAAATTACCCATTGGAACTCACGATGGGAAGTGCTGTTAAAATGAGTCTTCCCTGCATTCATTCTGCTCCTCCGGCACCTGCACACAGACCAGGGGCAAGTGCCATGGAAGGTGACGTGCCTGCTTTCTTCCAGGTGGTGAATTTCAACTGCCAGGTACGCTCCAAGCACACGCAGACCATCCTGCTGTCAAACCGTACCAACCAGACCTGGAATCTGCGCCCCATCTTTGAGGGCGAGCATTGGGAGGGGCCTGAGTTCGTCACCCTGGAGGCCCATCAGCAGAACAAGCCCTATGAGATCACCTACTGGCCCCGCACCATGAACGTGGAGAATCGCAAGCACCAGGTAGGCTGAGGTCCCCCCATCAGATCCCTGGCATAGTCGAAGGAAGGCGAGATGTTAGAAGTCAGATTTGGAGCTCAGAGACTGAGATGAGAGTCTCCAGATCATGATGGAACAGTGGGGAGTCATGCAGATTGTCAAGCTTTGGCTTCTCTTTGTGTCCCTGTTTCATTGTAGGGGATGCTCTTAGAGCCAAGGGCTCAGTTCTGAAATGAAGTCCTAAACCAAGCATTGAGCAATAAATATTTAGCTTGATTGCACAAACAGCATTGTGATGATTGTAATAAAAATCAGAAAAAGAAAAGGAGAGTAACCACAATCTTCTACACTATAAAAAGTGAAATTTTTTTTTCTGTCTTTGCTACCAGGACTTATTCAGATGCAGCCATAAGGTCACCATAGCATACCTGATCTTGTTTTCCATTTATTTTCACTTAAAGCATTTTTTTCTATTTAACTATGCAGTTTTGTTATAACCATTTTAATGGATGCCTAGTATTTCATTGAATGAGAATCCCATAATTTATTTAACATTTCCCTTTTGTTGAACATTTATCTCTATATTTTCATCAATATTTTAGGTGTCTGGTGTGTGTGTGTGTGTGTGTGTGTGTGTGTGTGTGTGTGTATGCGTATGCGTGCGCCTGGAGTAGGACTCCTGGTTCAAAATCATATGAACATTTTTGTAATTCTTTGAGCACATTGCCAAGCTGCTTTCCACAAGTGTGATGTTTATTTGCAAGGCCTCCATTAATCCTGTGTTCCCACCATGCCTGACAGAGCTTTAATAAAGGACGCTCAGTGCCATTCTGATCCACTTCTGCTTCTCCTCAGGGCACTCTCTTCTTTCCCCTCCCGGATGGGACTGGCTGGCTGTATGCTTTGCATGGGACTTCTGATGTTCCCAAAGCTGTCGCCAATATCAGCCGTGAAGTGCCATGTAAGACCCCCTACACTGAGCTCCTGCCAGTCACCAACTGGCTGAACAAGCCCCAGAGGTAAGGGGATGGAGCAAGGGGTCAGGCTGGGAAGATGGAGGGACAACTTCCACCATCCAGCTTGGTCCTTCCCCTGCTCAGTGCCTGTAGAGAATGGGTGGGACCCCAGGAATCAAAGACAAAGTAGTCTGATGTGGCCAGGCACCCTGAACTCTAAGCCTCTGGAGAGATTCTCCTGTTCAGTGCTATTTCTCATAAATCTCCTAGAATAATGCCTGGTACTAAATAAATTCCCATCAATGTTAGCTGTTGCTCTCATCATGATAATCACCTTTGTTATTCTTGACTGCTCTGTGTTATTACCTAAGCCACGGCCAGAGAATGAAGTCCCTTGGATCTTGGCCTGCAGTAGGAGTAGAATGGAATGCAAGGCCTAGAGGCACTCAAGTCACCCAGCGTGGTCCCCTTTTACAGAGAAGAACTAAAGACTGGAAGAAGAGGTGTAACTTGCTGGAGGTCACCTGCTTTGCATAGGCATAAATGCCCAGGTCTAAGTTTGAACCCCCAACTTGCCAATAACTAGTCATGTTACCTGAGCATGTTGTCTTGCTTCTTTTGAGTTCTATTTCTGCTTTAGTAAAGTGGAGATGTTAGTGACATGCCCCTTCTGTAGACAGTACAAGGTGTAAATGCCTGTAACACATGACTCAGTATCTGGCACACATAATAGATAGTCAATAAATGGTGGTTACTGATACTGTTGGTGACCGAATAAGACCGGAACCCTAGACCCACATGCTCTCCATAAAACCAAGAGCAGGCATAGCACCTTCCCGTCTTTCCTTTGGACAAGCAGTCTCATTCTCTCCTCTCCTCCCATGCTCTTCTGCCCCAGATTCCGGGTCATTGTGGAAATGCTGAAGCCAGAGAAGCCAGACCTCAGTGTCACTATGAAGGGCCTTGATTACATCGACGTACTCTCTGGCTCCAAGAAGGACTACAAGCTCAACTTCTTCTCCCATAAGGAGGGGCTGTACAATGCAAAGGTATCTGTGTACTGAAGGCACCACCCTGAAACCCTGGAGGCTTGACCCTGAGGTTGGCAATCCTGGTATTAGGAAATAACAGGTGTCCTCCCATAGTCACCAATCCAAGACCTTGCGAGGCCTTTCACACATGAGCTATTTTGCCTAATTCGTTCATTTGTTTAATGAGTGTCTATTGAACATGGAGTGTACTAGGTGCGGCAACCCAGCAATGGTCAAATACAGGCACAGTTCTGTTCGCATGGAACGCACTGTCTAGTGGGAGGACACAGACACTATATAAAATCGCACCATGAATGTATTGTCGCAGAATGAGATATGTGCTTCTAGGAAAAAGCATGGATCATGGGAGAGGTCAGGGAAGAAGGTAATATTTGGGAGTTGTCCATTTATATATAGTAGTCAAAGCTATGATACGTGTTGGAATCACCAAGAGAAGGATTTTTAAAGTGAAATGATAGACATCATCATCCAAAGTATACGCATGAAGACACAAATTGGTGTCAACATACTTTATATACAACCAGAGATATGAAAAATTGTGCTTTATACATGTAATAAGAATTGTAATGCATTCTGCTGACATTTATTTTTTTTAAAAAATTGATTAAAAAGGATTTTAAGAGAACATATATAAAATATAGATTATATAATAACTAATGTCTCCAAATGATAATAAGATAAACAACCCAATGTATTAAAATGGGCAAATGATTTGACAAAAGGAGCTATGTGAATGACCAATAAGCACACAAGGTCAACATCCTCATTCACCTGGAGAAAGAACTTTAAATGGTGATCATATCAGCATATCGACAAGTCAGTCTCAGGAGTAAGGGGACAGCTCAGTGCAGTGACAAGTGTGAGCTCTCCAGCCAGCACTGGACAAGCTGGACAAGCTGCTCTGGCCTCTTCTAAAGCAAGCTCAGGCTAGTTAAGACCAGAGTGCTTAAAGAGAAAGGTAGGCTGGCAGGGTTCCAGACAGGCTGCAGGGCAGTGCCACCTGTGCCCCTGTGCCCAGGCCAGGCTAACAATGAGCAGGAGCCCCTCTCTCTAGGACCTTCAGCTAACCCCCTCTGCCCTGCTTCCTCCCTGTGAATGCAGGTGATCTTCAGAAATGAGTCCACCAATGAGTTCTTGTACTACGTAGTGAGTTTCAAGGTCATCCCTTCAGGCGTCATCAAAACCATCGACATGACTAGCTTGGTCCGGCAGAGTACGTCAGCCTCCATCAAGGTGGAAAACCCCCTGCCCTACTCGGTGACCTTCTCTACAGACTGCAGGGTGCCGGACATCATCCTGCCCTCCCAGTTTATCGTGCCTGCCAACTCTGAGGTACAATCCTGGCTGCCAGGGACCCCCAAAGGGCTGTCACAGAGGCTTCTGCCCATAGGGGCTCTGGGTTCATGTTCTGCATGCCCTGAGGGTGGGCCAGCCCTAGCAGTGGTCAGGAAAGCAGGGGACAATCACCCTCAAGTTCCTTTCCTCTACTGCTGAAGTCCTTACTTAGCTTTGGTTTAGATAGGTAAAATGGACTTCTTTGTGTTGTGACCCTCACCTCTATTATTTGTTTGTTTGCCTTGTCCAGGATAAATATTTTTTATGTATTTATTTAGCGAATTACAAAAGTAGTATAGAGCTGAAGTGTGACTCAGTGGTAGAGTGCCCAGCATGATGTGTAAGGGTTCGCTCTCCAGCACTGCAAAGAAGGAGGAGTGGGAGGAGGAGCTCAGTAGCATGGACTATCTGTGCTGAAAATCAAGATACATAATGACACATCAACAGTCGCACTTTTTTTTTTTTTGCAATACCAGGGTTTGAACCCATGGCTCTGCACATGCTAGGCAAGTGCTCTACCACTGAGCTACACTCCCAGCCCGACATAGATGGAGATAGATAGATACATACATACATACATACACACACACACACACACACACACAGAGACAGACAGACAGACCACTGCAGGATGGAGGCCCAAGAAACCTTTAACAGGGATTGGGAGGACATGGCCTAGAATTATGACCCAGCAGGGAGACCAACTTTCATTTTGATTCTTCTTGTAAATGTATCACCCTGAACTCTTAAACTGCCCAGAATTCATCAAAATCCCTTCACTCCAATTTGAGCTCTTCCTTCACGTGCAGAATCTAGAGGCCAGATTTGTTTTCTCTGCTCTCCCATTTTTATCGGGGCTTTACCTTTCCTTTGCCTTTAATGTCTCTTAAATGATCAAGTAGATTCTACTCTCTCAGATTTCTCTCAGCACCAGATTTCATCTTAGCAAGGCACTTCATCGCTTTGCTTTGAACATTTAAAGGGCCGCTAACAATAAAGCAGAGCCCGAAGTCACCCCCCACCCCCAACCCCCGCCACAGCTTAGGCTACTGTTGTCAGATCGCCCATCAAGTTTTCCAGGTCACGTGGGATTCTTCAACTCAGGGGGGATTTCTGGATCCTCTGGCTCTCAGAACTGATGTTCTCTTCCCTTCCTCCACTACTTCTCATATAGGGCTAATTACTATACCAGTCTCATGGCTATTAGTAGCTTGACCAGCCGTTTAGGGCTTACCTTTCCACTTAGTTTTGCTATAGATGTTGATCATGGGTTCTTCTTGTTAGCTGAGGTGGTCTTTGTGTTTCATGAGGGTCGAGGGAGTTTTTAAACCATGCTGTAGCTGCTACTATCATCTTACCCAAAGCCTGGAATTGTTTTTTATGTATAGTGTAAGAAATCAAGTTCTTCTATTCTGAATCAATAAAAATCATCTCAGATTACTAAAAAAAGTTCATCTTTTTCTCACTGCTCTGCAGGATTATTTATGAAATATGTCAAATTCATATAAGTATAGGTCTGTTCTAGCTTTTCTGTGATATAATAATGATCTAATTTCTGACCTTGTACCAATACCACAGTATCCTAACATATTTAGACTTGTAGTGAGGATTGGAATCTGATAAAGGAAACAATCACTCTAGCTTTACATTAAGACCTAATAACCTCTTTTGCTTGTTTATTTGTTTGTTTGGTTGGTTGGGTTTTGGTACCAGGGATTGAACTCGGGGGCTCTTAACCACTGAGCCACATCCCCAGACCTTTTTTATTATTATTATTTTGACATGGGGTCTCACTAAGTTGCTTAGGGCCTCACTGAGTTGATGAGGCTGGCTTTGAACTCTGTCCTCCTGCCTCAGCCTCCTAAGTTGCTGGGATTGCTCCTACATCTAGCTAACCTCTTATATTTTTGCTCTTCAAAAGTATCTTGGCTATGTAGAAACTTATTCATCTTTCACTAGACTTATTTTTATGTTTCATACATTTGAAACCTCAAATGCTAAGTATTCAGGCTACCCATCACCGGAGGACCAATATTCCAAAGACAGATGTTGATAGGAAGGAAATCAGGTTTATTCAAGGCCAATCCCGAAGAAGATAAGAGGGGACAGCCTCAAAGCTTCATCTTCTGGACTCAAAGTTCTTAGGCTACTGGGAAGAGTTAGGGTAGCTAGTGAATAGCTAGTGAGACTGCAGCCTGGATGAGTTCTTCCTCTGCAAGGACATGTGTCATTTTCTAGAATATCACAATGGATTCCCACTTCCTGCTATTAGTTACTAAGGGAAGGTGTTACAAAGGCCATCTGGATTCTTGTGAACCTAAACAAAAATTTAGCAGTTAATATCTAAGTGAGGCTTCTCTTTAGCTAAAGAATTAGGGAGAGGTAAGGAGAATGAATAGTGAAGGTCAATTTCAAGGGAGCCCCTGTTAAATGTTATTATAAATTGTATCTTTACAAATTTCACTATTTATCACAAGCATATAGAAATACAGTTTGTATATACTACTCAAAATCCAATCATCTTATAAATTTAACTCATTAATAATGATTTCAAGCATAGATGTTTTAAATTTTCTGTACATGTAATAATATAATCTGAAAATAATTATAATTTTATTTCTTCCTTTCTAAACCTTTCCCTTCAATTTCTTTTTCACACTTTGTAGCACTATCTAGGATGTTCAGAACAATGCTGAACAGGATGGTGATAGAGAGTATCTTTCCTCTGTTACGGATCTTGAAAGCAACATTTTCAAAGTGTCATTGTTATTTGTTTTAGATTTTTTTTATAGATACTCCATATCAGATTAAGAATTTCCCCTTCATTCCTAGTTTTCTAGATTTTTTAATACATGAATGGATATTGAGTTTTATCAAATCCTTTTTCTGCACCAATTAAGATGCCTATGTGATTGTTCTCCTTTTAATCTGATTGATTGGTTTTTCTAAAGTTAAACCACCTTTGTGTTCATGGAATAAACCCAACTTCATGCTATTGTATGCCCTTTTTAATCCTGTTAGACTCAGATTTTACCAGGCATTTTATATCTATGTTTAGGAGAGAGTCTATCATTCAGTTTCTCTTTTTTCTTCTTGTTCCTGCTGAACTTTGGTATCAGTGTTATACTTGTTTGCATGGGTATTTTTCTTTGTGTTTTCTCCAGAAAAATTTGTGGAATACTACTAGGGTTCTTTCATCCTTGATTTTTTTGGTATAACTTACAAGGAAAACTTTATGATCCTGAAATTTCTTTAAGGAAAAAGAATTTCTTACTATTGATTCAATTTCTTTGATGGTTACAGGACTATGGAGGTTTTCTGTGTCTTCTTTGGGACTTTTTTTTAAAGTTATATTTGTACATTTGTCTATCTCATCTAATTTTATTGAAAAACCATATAAATTTTTATATCATGATCTTTTCTGTTTAACATCTACAACTTCAGTAATATCCTCTTTTATCCTATTTTTTTCATTTAAAGCTCATTTTTAAAAAAAAAAAAACCTACTAATGATAAAACAAAATTTCAATTCTACAGATGTATAGGAAATAGTAAAAGTTTGCACAATCCCATTTCTCCCACCCGTACATAACCACCAGTGAAAATTGGGTATATATCCACACAACCTCTTTTCTATACCCACTAGACATATTATTCTCCACAAAAATGAATTTAAACTTTGTATGCATGTTTGGAACTTCCTTGGTTCCACTTACAATATCACCAGCACCTTTCATTTCAATGCCTATAGCGCTACTTCATCCTTTTTATGGCAACCTGATATGCCACTGAAGTGGGGAAAACTATAAGTTATTTAACCAACCTCCTAACTGCTGGTGCCTTTGAATTATTCTCCCTGTTTTGCTATTACAAGCAATACTCTTCGCTTCTTGTTTTGTTTTGCTATGGGTAACCATGAAGGAAGAGAAAGCCAGTCAAGGCAGAACACAGGGAGCTGTTCTGAGTTGACTGTACAAAGAAGGAGCCACCTGACCTCACACTCTGGCTTGTGCCATGGTCTCCATAAATGTCCTTCTGCAGAGAAGATCCAACACTTATTTTTTAGACTCAAAGATATTTCAGATATAGAAATACTAGGGCTAAAGAAAGCTAGAAAGGGGTATAGAGGAGGGCGAATGAGCTACGCAAATTCTGGCATTCGATTTCTCTTTCTCAACTTACTCCTGTTGAACTTTGGTATGAGAGTTCTGCTGGTTGGCATGGACTCAGTATTACCCTGGACTCAGGATCAGTGTGGACATTTTCATGTGAAGCACCATTTCTGCCACCAGCCTGCTGTGAGGACTTGGGCAGGTCCCTGGGTGGCAGGGAGTAGGTCAGACTTCCTGCAGGACAAGAGCCTCCATCTTCTCTTCCAGGGCACGTTCTCATTCGAATTCCAGCCCCTGAAAGCTGGAGAAACCATTGGAAGACTAACTTTGCACCACTATGATCTGGGCTACTATCAATATGAGCTCAATTTGAAGGCCGTGCCAGCACCTCCTGAAAAACCTGTCCATTTCCAGACTGTTCTTGGCAGCAATCAAAGCATGTTCGTGAAGTTCACCAACTATACCCGGCTGAAAACAGAGTACTTCTGCAGGGTGAGCAGTCCCTTCTCTTGCCAGAAGTCTGGTTTCAAAAATAATGGTACTGTGCTATCATAGCAACCCCCACCTTGGAGGCCTGAATCTAGGCTGGAAAGTCCCAGCTTAGAAACAAATAGCACCAGGTTAGGCGCTTCCTTTACAGACTTTCTATCTTAACAAGCTGGGCTTATGGCAGGGTAGTCGATTCCTGTATCATGCTCAGGGGTCAATAAAGGGAGACAGTATCACTTGGTGGTCAGAAGTCTAGGGTGTAGACCAACAGACATGGATTTGAATCCTGACTTCACCACTTACTCATTGTATAAATCATTTACTTAAGCTCTCTAAGTCATAAATTGAGAGGACACCCCCTTAGTACATTTTTTTATTGCTGTAAGTGAATAGCTCTGGGTAATTATTTTTTAGAACTAAGATTAAACCCAGGGGTCCAGGGGTGATGCTTTACCACTGAGCTACCTCCCCAGTCCTTTTTATTTTTTATTTTGAGGCAGAGTCTCAGTAGGTTGCTTAGGGCCCTGCTAAGTTGCTTAGGCTGGCGTTGAACTTGCGATCCTCCTGCCTCAGCCTCCTGAGTCGCTAAGATCACAGGCATGTGCCACCAGGCCCAGCAAGACTGAGTAATTTCTAAATATAGGTTTATTCAGCCCATGATTCTGGGGACTGAGTGCTCCAGGTCAAGGGCCTGGGGCTGGTGAGGGCCTCTTGCTGGTGAGTATTCTCTGCAGTCAGTCCAGAGTTGGCATCCATGGTGAGAGAAGTGTGTCTAAGGTAAAGAGTCAAACTGGCTTTTCTAACAGTCTGTTGATCCATGATTGATCTAATCATCCATGAGAGCTGCCCTCAAGACCCATGTCCCACCTGGTCCCAAATCTTCCTATCTCTTAATGAGAATTAAATCTCAACATGAGTTTTGGTGGGACATTCAAACCATAGCAAACCCCAACTTCACAGGACTGCTATAAGTACTTTCAAATATGTATGCCATTTTCTTAGTGCCTACCCTTCAGTAAGGTCTCCACATATATTAGCTATTATAGCAATTGGAATATAGGTCCAAAGACTGAAACTCCAAATACAGCAAAATTGACGCTTTTTCCTTGCATAAATAATAGTCCAGGCATTAATAGTATGAGACAGAAGAATGGCAGTCCCATGACAACAGGTACCTAGACTCCTTCTGTGCTGATATTCCATCTTCTGCAGAGAGTTGCTTTGATCCATATGGGCCAACATAGCTTACCAGGACATCAACATTCTAGTCAGCAACAAGGATACAGAAGGGGAGTTGCATACATAACTTCCACTAATATTCAATTGAACAAACCTTTACAGGACCACTCCTACCAACAAGAGGAACTAGGAAAAAATGGGCTTTTTGTGAAAATCAGGGATTCTGTGGCTATTGTCAACATGTATTTGATCAATTGTATCAGTCAAGAAAAGCTAGGCTATGCTGTAATAACCCTGAGATTTCAGTCGCTTAAAAGAACAGATTTGGGTTGAGGATATAGCTCAGTTGATAGAGTGCTTGCCTTGCATGCACAAGGCCTTGAGTTCAATCCACAGTACCACAAAAAAAAAAAAAAAGGAACAGTTTCTTACTTATATTGACTTATACTATCATCCCATGAGTGTCTACAGGGGCTTTGGGGACCTAACTGAAAAACAACCACACTCTCAAATGTTTCCAGTTACAGAACCAGAGGGGTGAAAGACCCTGACAGGATTTGGGAGAGCAATTAAATGCTCTAGAGTGGAAGCGACACCTTTCACTTCCGCTCACAGATAATAGTCCAGAAGCAGTCCCACCCATTCACAAGGAGCCATAATGTATCATCTTCCATGTACATGGAAGGAAAGAAAAACCAGATATGGGGGAACAGCCACATCTGTTACCGGAGATGGGGACTTCTGAATCGGTGGTGGTAGGAATGGAATTGAGCCGAGTGAGCACAGACAGACACACAGGCAAGGCTTTCACTGGGGATGCAGCTGGAGGGAGACAGCCGTGATGGAGAGAGGGAAATCAGGCTGCTCTCCCAACAAAGAGAGATGTAAGCTTTTATTAATTTGGGGGGTGGACTAAAGTCCAGTAATTTTCTGCTGGCCAGGGGCAAGTTCCAAAAGATGTTTCTTCTTGCACAAGTCTTGGCCCACCAAGTGGTCATGGTCAACTTGTCCTGGGACCTGCTCAGTTACTCTTGGTGCTGGCACCATCACCCTGTGCTGAAGGACTTTAGGTGCTTGAACCGCTGCAGCCGCTGAAAGCACAGTGGTGCAGTAGGAAAAAAAAAAAAAAACATATAACAGCTCCCACAGGCGACCAAGGTGTCAACATGCAGAGCTGAGTAGAATCTGACCCAAAAGTTCAGGCTGCACAGATGCCGAGCCTTTTCATCCTATTCCAGTCACCCATCAGATACCTGCAGGTCCAAGGGAAAAGTCAGTGTTTTCAGCAAAAACAGCCTTCAAGTCCCTGGAAAGTAACCTAGGCAACCGTTATCATCATAACCCACACATCAGAGACGGTATCTACAGTGAAGCTAGTGAGGAACTGATAACATATTGCCCATGTGTGACCTCCAGAATTAATGATTTTTAAGTTGACTAAGCACATTTAAAACTACAGGGTTTATTTAGAGTTTTCCTCATAACAGTTTCATCTTGTATAAACATTCTGCTTCTGTGGTTTTCTCAGGGTCTCATGAAAGGCCTTTTGAGAAGAGCACAAGGGTAGACAAGCAGCTTGCCACGCTACAAACGGTCAGAGTTTATCAGACCCCATGGGGGGGCTGTGTAATTAGGTTTTCACTGCTGCAAGCCAAAGACCTGACAAGAACAACTTAGAGGAGGAAAAATTTATTTGGGGCTCATAATTTCAGAGGTCTCAGTCCATAGATGGCCAACACCTTTGCTCTGGGCCCAAGGTAAAGCAGGACATCATGGTTGGAGGACATGGAGAAGGAAAGCAGCCCAGGACATGGTCACCAGGAAGCAAAAAAAGCAACTCTGCTCATCAGGAACAAAATATGTACCCCAAAGGCAGGTTCCCAGGGACTCACCCTGTCCAGCCACACCCTACCTGCCTACAGTTACCATCCAGTTAATCTATTCAAGGAGATTAATGCACTGATTAGGTTAAGACTCTTATAACCCAATAATTTCATCTCTGAATTGTCTTGCATTGTCTCATGTATAAGATTTGGGGACCCCTAATATCTAAACCAAAATAGTTTCATTGTCCCAGCCCTTTGTCCCAAAACATCCTGACTATCTCAGTGACTGCACCACCAACATGATCTAGTGTGTGTGTTAGAGCATGTCACTAAAGTCTCTTTACCTCCATTTTTTGGTAGCAAATAGGAATAATAATGGATATACCTACCCTGCAAAGATCTCTGCTCTATAGATTCTGAGGACACTGTTTTAGAGCCTGCCCATCGTCACACAAGCACTGTTTGTGAGTGGAGGGGTGGGGTGGACTGGAGTCCTGGGATGCTCTGTAGGATTCTCTGTGAGATGAGTTTGTTTGTTCCCCTTTCAGACAGACTGTTCAGACTTCCACACAGAGAGAGTTATCACCGCACCTCCAGGAGCCCAGGGGGGCACTGAAGTCAACGTGGAAGTCTTCTTTGAGCCCAGCCACCTGGGTGAGACCAAGTGCACCCTGATGCTGACATCACTTATGGGCGGGGAATATACCATCCCCCTCTTTGGAAAGGCCCTGTACCCCAAGCCCCAAGGCCCCTTCCTGATCCGAGCTGGCTGCAGCATAATCATCCCCTTCAAGAATGTCTTCTTCCACACGGTGTTCTTCTCCTACTCCCTGGACAGCCCAGCCTTCCTCGTCCGGGCTCTGGATTCTGTGCGGCCCAAGAAGATCAACAACATCACAGTTTTCTTTGAAGGAAACCCATCAGGCAGCAAAATCCCCATCACCACCAAGCTCACTGTGACCTGCCCTCCCAGCGAAGGCAATGAAACTGGAATTAAATGGGTCTATTATCTGAAGGGGATCACCCCTTAGTGACAGCCAGGATTCCCTGCATCAACCAAAAGCTATCTTCTCAGCCTGAAGAGTCACACATTGTTTTAGCATAATACAAAAAAAGAGAAGAAAACAGGAACTCTGAAGAGATTGTTCTCTTCATTTAATTATAGGGGCAGTTATTTCTGTATCTTATGTTTTCCAAATATAGACATGAAATAGATATTCCATATTAAACTCTATAGCCATATACTTGAAATAAGTAAATCCTTGCAATTCCCTGAATTTTGTTTCTTGGCATGTCCCACAGCTTAAACACTGTGTAATGATCTCCCTTTTAACAAGAAGACACTGTGTCACACTCACGACCTTCTCTACATAGCACTTTGAAACGTCTGGCACCAGGACACTGCAGTTTCTTCTTAAAATGTAAAAGTCCATAGATTTGACTCTATTCTGATGTGATATTTTATTCTGCTTTCACATAAAAGTCAAAGAAACAACTCTTTTCAAAATGATGAGCAGACATCATGAAGGCAACCCAGGAATGCTCTCATTCACTTTTTCTCTTAGATTCCTCCAAATGCCACATCTGTGGCCTGCAGAAAGTTCTTGCTGGAAGTCAGGTCCTGGAGGATGGCTAACAGAGACCCAGTTTCCACACCCTTCCCCAGCCCTGGACACAGCAGCTAGCTCGAGGGCAGTGATTCTTCACCCATCTGCACATCAAGTCACTTAATTCTCACCCAGAATCCAATGCTCCCCAGATTCCAATTTAATTGGTCTGGGGAGACCCATGGGCATCTCTTTAAATATATGTAATTTGTACTGCAGAGTTGAGTGCCAGGGCTATAGAGAAAACATGCCCCCAACCATTTGTGCTACAACTGAGTCAGGAATCCCATCCAGGGGAAGGACCACATCCCAGTTAGATGTGTTGAAACTGAACTTATTTTGTATGCACATAAAGGGTAACCATCTAGGCCAGTGCCTTTCTCCAGCAATACTCTGGAAGCTCCACTTCCACCAAGCCCCAGAACACCTGCCTCAATCCAGAGACCTGGCTCCACAGCCACCTCTTCCCCAGGGCCTTGCATATGTTTTCCGGGGACCACCTACCTGTCAGTGTGCCATGTGTCGAAATAAAGATGGTTAGAGCCTGGCCCTGGACCATTCTTACTACTCCAGACACACACCTTTGACTAAGGGCCCTCTGCCTCCACCTCCTCCCCCTTCTCATTCCCTGCAGCCCACCTGCAAGAGAGGGTGGAGGTGTGAAAGCAGATGGCCACTTGGGGATGAATGCTCAAAAGAAGTGGGTCTCTAAAATGTCGCTGGACCACCACCAGCAGCACCTGGGAATTTATTAAAGATCCAAATTCTCGGTCCCCACCCCAGACTGACTTGAGTTATAAACTGAGGGGGTGCAGCCCAGCAATCTGTCTTATAATAAGCCCCTCTGCCTGTTGGAGATGGTATTTAGTGGGTGGACACTCTAATACTTTTATTTCACCTCCCCACAAGCCTAAGCCCAGCACATAATATGTGCAGCTAGTACCCATTAAGCATTTTCTAGAGTGCTTATAAACTTAGACCTATATACTTAATAAACAATTTATTGTTATAACCTCTAAATACACTATTAATAGGTCTAAAGACAAAGACCTAAATGACACATTTTTCCCAGTGGTTAAGTAAGCAAAGACTACACTAACAAATAATCTGTATTTGCTAGTGAAAGAAGCATCATGACCAGCAAATACAGAGTTTGTAAAAAAAAAAAAAAAAAAAAACAGTGGTTCTCCGGTTTCAATATTTATCAGAAGCATCTAGGCCTCATTTTCAGAGGGTCTAATTGGATAGGGCTAGAGAATTTGCATTCCTAACCAGTTCCTGATGATACTATTCCTGCTTCTTGGAGAAGCAAACTGATCATCACAGCGCCAAAGCCCTGAGCCTCCTCATCACTTAGAATGGCCCATAGATGTGCTGCATAGTATCACCTGGAGACTTTCAGGAAGGCAAGACCTCAGGCCCCTCCCCAGGTCTACTGAGCTAAAAATCTGAATTTGGAGGGGGTCTTGTAGCTGAGAACCCTAATATAAGGTCACTTTGCCCAATCCACAGCCCTCTCTTTTCACTAGACCCCTATAGAGTGGCCTTACCAACTCTGCTTATGGGCTACTTTGTGAAAGCAGCCCTCCCCAGAACGGCCCTCCCACCAGTACCCATTCACCAGAGGTACTGAGGGGTAATTGGCCTAGCACCGCATTCTTCAAAAGGGGCACCTTTCAACAACTTCAAATGCAATACACTAACAGTTGCTGAAACTGAAGAAAATATGGAGGCAGTTGTGTGAACACTGAGGAGGCAAAGCCTGGTGACCTCCTCTGGCTTTTTTGACATGCTCCTTTGAGGCTGGAGGGCTCTCGACCACTACCCCAATCACTGGCTGCTACAGAAACTAGCTACTTCTGGTGTCACTGGCTCAGTGATAAAGCTTTCTGGTTTCAATCCCCAGTAACCCAATTTTTTTTAAATGGCAGTCTGCCTTCCAGTGGGCTAGGGGCAAAGCTCCCTCCCCACAGCCCTCAGCTGAGTGCATGATACATACTTCCCTACATACTTCCCAAACCTGCGTCAGCTCTCCCCAAACCATGGAGTCCGGAGTCCAAATCTTTCTCAGAGAGAGGAAGAAGTCCTCTCTCCCTGGAATCTAGAGCCCTACTCTGATCCCACATCAGCAAGAACCCCTTCCTGGCTGACTTGAGAATCAGTGCATTTCTCATACTTCCTTTGCCTCAAAAAAAATAAATAAATAAAACAGTTTTATATTGACAAAATAGCTCAACAGTGACCTGAGTAGAGCTTGGGGAAAATAAGCAATCTGACACAGCATGTAAAAGTTACATTTGACAGAGTATATATTCAGCAAAGCAGACCAGGAGGCTTCTAACTGGGAGACGATCAAAAGATGAAGGCAGGCAGGGTCAGGGTGCACTGTGCACAGAATAACTTATAAAGGAGACCCCCTGGCACTGCTCCACAGAGCCCCTGGTAAGTGTGACATGCTGTCTAGCCACTTCTTTTGAAGATATATGCCTAAAGTCAGAGGTGATAATATTATGACATTGGCAATGGCTGTGAGATCTCAAGAAATTAGATCACATTTCTTAGACTTTCAACTATGTTGCCCTGAAACTCTTGCTAAAATTACAGTGCTGTTGGAAAAACTGCTTTGATTAGGGTACCACTGGATGACACCACTACCATTTTATTACAAGTTATGTAATAACTTTTACATAACTTGGTAATAGCTGTTATTAATAGTTGTTAGAGAACTGTTACAGAGTCCATAATAATGACCAGGCCCCTCACAGATGCAGATGAGTCATGGTTGTGAGATGATGGTCAGCACATGGCCAGGCATGTCAGTATCCACAAATCCAGAAGATACTGAGCACAGGAGGGCTAGCCAAAAGCCTCAGGGAAGGGAAAGACATGTATAGAAAACGAGGATGGGTCTTGGGCTTTATCCTCAATACCACTGTCAATGCAGTATGCATACATAACCTTAATTAGTTGGCCTCTCTAAGATATCAGAGAAAAGAAATCACTTCTTTTTAGGAACTTCTGACCTAGGTAGGACAAAGCATTGGTTTAGGTTTTGAATAAGAAACTGGTTTCTTAGCAACCTGACCCAGAATGTAATTTCAGAAGAGTTCCTTCTTGTTAAAAAAAAAAAATAAAGGAAAAAATCCATACCACTTCAGTTATTAAGACTCATATCACAGTATGACCCTTGGGAAATTCAGTTCACCTTTAATAAAAAGCCAAACCTAAATGCAAAGAAACAGATGAAATATTGTATGAGGTATGGGTCCAATGGGAATGAGACCATGTTGGAGAACAAACCCAAATCATCACCACTGATTTAAATTGCTTTCATTGTTTTGCATCAACATCATCAAGTCCTAAGGACACAAACTTTGCAAGACATTAGATGTCCCCAGCAGTACTGCTGGATATCAAGGTAAGAGGAGGAGACTACCAAGCAATACATTAACTGTGGAGATGAATCTATATAGGGGGGCAGTTTTCATATTGTTGATGCACCTACCTCCATTCATCAGATTGTGTTGGAAAAGTTTTGACACCTGTGAAAACGCCAACAGTAAGAGAAAACACATTTTCACAGGTTTTTCTAGATATAATTTCCCCATCCATGACTTACTGAGTTTCATATTAGCCCCCATGTTCATTTTTTATGGCCGCATAATAAATTACCATCAACTTAGCAGCTTAAAACAACACAGATTTGGGGCTGGGGCTGGGGCTCAGCAGTAGAGCTGAGTGAATACCTAGCATGTTCGAGGCGCTGGGTTCGAGCCTCAACACCACATAAAAATAAATAAATAAATAAAATTTTAAAAAAAACACACACAGATTCCATGACTTAGGAGTCCAAATGGACTAAAACAGGTTCTCAGTTCAGGAACTCACAAGACTATAATCTAGGGACAGCTGGACCCTCATCTAAAGGCTCAGCCAGGGAAAGTTCTCGTTTCTAAGCTCCTTTAGAATGTTGGCAAATTCATTTCCTTGCTTTTACATGAAAGAAGTTCCCATTTTACCAGAAGAAAGAAATGGGGGTAGGGGAGAAAGGGAAGAAGGAAGGAAGGAAAGTAAGTTAATTAATTCCCATTTTCTTGGCAACTGATGAAAGAGGACTGCTCTCTGCAACTAGAGACCATTGTCCTTACCATCATAGGCAGTTCACAGCATGAGTGTTCACTCTCGAGGTTGGCAGGAGAACTTCTCTCCTACATCGATTTAACCCCTATAAGGACTCACCAAATTAGGTCAGGCCCACCCAAGATTATCAACCCCTTTAACAATACCAACTGACTAGGGACCTCAATTACATCTGAAAAACCCGCTCTGCTAAAGAACATAATTATGTGAGTGATATTTCACTGTATTTGCAAGACTTGTTCACACTTAAGGGGGGGATTATTCAGGGAGTTTGATTATTTCAGGGAATTTGAATTCTGCCTATCATGGCCCCTCACTCATTGTGTTTCTGATCTATGAGTGGAAGGTAAAGCTCCATTTTCAAGATTGTCATAAAGCTTCATTGTATGTGCTTTTCACTGATTAAAGAGTACCAACATGCATCTAAAACTATTCATATTTAATACACATTGAACTCCATGGTGATCCATGGTGTCCACTTGTATTACTTAGTATTTTCTCTCAAATCAATTCAGCCGTTGGCCAGCTGTTGCTCTGTGGTGATCTAGTTTTTGTCCCCTCTGGAAGGCTACATTGAGAAATTTTGATGCATTTCCCCTATTATTGCATCTTTAATCACATCGTGGCCACAAATAGTAGGGTGTTTTGGGGAGGTTGTTTTTTTTTTTTTCTATTTGTTTTTTAACTTCATCACATCGATGCAATTTCACTTCCACCATTTAGTGTAAAAGGACCTGCTCTCCAAGGGATCCATCTACACAGCTGCTCTCAGTGGCTGCTGTCTGTAACCCAGCCCTCCTGGTTCCCAAAGCATGTGAAATACAGTCTTGACTCCCAGATTGTGGGATGACAGCCGCTGGCGACACCTGAGATTTAAAGTTGGGAATCAAACCTAGGGCTCCACACATGCTAGGCAAGCACTCTGCCTCTGAGCTACATTCCCAGCCCTAGGTAGGTACCCTTTTTAATTAGGAAATTATTTTAATGTCTTGGAGTGGGGAACTATTCAAACCCAAGATTTTGGGGCACAGGGAAGTCTCAAATGGAGAATTCAAGGTTTTCTTTAAGACGCATTGATTTGAGAGAAAATATTAAGTAACACAAGTGGACAGGATATGGGCAAAAAGACGATGGTGGGAAACGCTGGTGTCTGAGAAATTGACTGGTAAGTACTGAACAAACTACTGAATTCAACATGAATTATCCTAAGTCAGACTCGTTCGGTCTTACTAAGGTCTGCAGAAGCCCACTACGTGCCAAGCCCACTACGTGCGGGTAGTCAAACCTGTGCGATCTACGGTGGGAAAGCGCCTCTCAAACCACACAGGGCCCCGCGGGAGGCGTGGGCGGGGGAGAGGGTGGAGCCTGAGGGGCGTGGCCAATCCACCTGCGACCCGCGCGTGGGGGCGTGGCCGGAGAGGGGCGGGTCCTCGCGGCGGAAGGCGGATGTTGCTGCGGAGTCATGTGACCCGAGTAACATGGCCGCTGCCCAGTGAACGCTGCCGGTCCCTGGCGGGAGCTAGTCGCGTGAGCAGTTAGGCGGCCCGGGTCGGGTGTGGAAAAGTGGGCAGCGCGCGGCGGCTGAGCGAGGCAGACGGGCCCAGAGTGGTTGTGGTCCATGAGCCGGTGCCGGGGGCAGCGAGGAACCGCAGACTCCCCTGTCCCTGGTGCTGTGCCGGCAGCCACGGGCTAAGGAGTCTCGAGGCTTCGGAGCTCATCCCAAGCTTCCACTATGAATCCCGAGAAAGACTTCGCGCCGCTCACGCCCAACATCGTGCGTGCCCTCAATGACAAGCTGTACGAAAAGCGGAAGGTGGCTGCGCTGGAGATTGAAAAGTAAGAGCTATTGGGACCCCGCCCTGGCTATGCAGCCTCTGCTGCTCTGTTCCCCGGGGCTACTTCCCGCGCCTCTCAGCCAGTGATGCTTTCCCAGGTCTCAGGCTCGTAGCGCAGTGCTAAAGAGCTGGAGATCTGAAGTCATGTCTGGGAATCCCAACTTTGATCCTGAAAGGCTGTGAAGAACTTGGGCCAAGTTCTTTAACCTCTTGGTGCCCAAAGGGCTTCTGTGAGAAGGATATGACATAATATGTAGTGCCTAGCACACTGCCTGGCACTTGGTGAGTCCTCAGTGTGGTCTCCATCAAAACCAGCCCATCTGAGTGGCCTCTGATCTGATGGGAGAAAAGGCAGATGTTGACCAGCCTGGTTTCTTACCTAGCTTCTAAGAAGTGAAGGGGACTGTTAAGTGCCCCAGTGAAGAAATCAGGTGGAAATCTCAGAGGATTGTTTATCTTCTGTCATATCACCTTTCTCTGCAGGTGGAAGTAGGGATAATTGTCCTTTCTTGCTTCTGCAGTTTTATTACATGTATGTGGAACCCTGACCTGACAATTTGCTTGTATGCCCATGTTCAAGGTGGGACATGTTTAAGTAGAAATGTCTTCTTGTTTTTATTTTTGTATTTTTTTCCAAGCCATATTTTAATGACAAAGTCAGGTGGGTGGCTGATTTCAGAACAGTGAAAAGAAACAGGCTGTGAAACTGGAAGAACATCAGTCTTAGAATTAGCAAAGATGGATTATAGTTTCGTCCTGTCCTGTAGGTAGCCACTGATCATGTGTAGCTATTCAAATTTAAATTATTAAAGATTAAATAAAAATTTTAAATTTATTTTTTCAATCATACTACCCACATCTGAAGTGTGCAGTAGCCACATGTAGCTATTGGCTACGGTATTGGACAGTGCAGATTAGAAAGCTCTTTCATCACTGCACAGTGCTACACTGGACAGCCTCAATCTAATATGTGGTTTGACACACATTCTTTGGCCTGGGACAGATTCCTCAACTCAGGGTATCTTGACCTCGGCACTGTGACATCTTGGGACAAGCAATTGTTGGTTGTAGGCTGTCCTGTGCTTTGTGGGATTTTTAGCAGTATCTCTGTCCTTTACCCACTAGATGCCAGTAGCACTCCATCAGTTGTAACAACCAAAATGGACTTAAGCCATTGCCAGATATTCCCTGAAGGTGCAAATTTGCCTCATTTGAGAACCACTGCCTTAATTGCTTTAGATTTTAGTTTTCTCCTAAAGGGTTTGAATTCTGATTTAAAAAAAAAAAAAAAAAGACCCTCCCATTCAACTCTATACTATGTTCACTCTTGCTACTTCTCTCATCAGCTACCACTTTCTTGACTGCTTTCTTTTCTCCAGCTTTCTGTTTATCTCCTGGCTTTTCAATGCTACTAAGTCTTAATCAGAATTGCCATACTAAGTAGATGGACCCAATTATGATATATAGACATGATTCTGTGTCCATGGGCTTTGTTGACTTTTACATTGTACTGTGTGTTAGCCAGCTTTGCATTACAGAATTAAATACCTGAAGGTTTATTTTTATCTCACAGTTTTGGAGGCTTCATTCCTTGGTCATTTGGCACTCATACTTTTGGACCTGTGGTGAAGCAGCACATGACATCGGGGAGCATTTAATGGATCAGCATCATTTACCTCATGGCCAGGGCTTGATGAGGAAAAGGAGGGGCTAAATCCCACTGTCCCTTTCAAAGGCACACTTCAATGACTGGAAGATGTCCTAACAGGTCCCACTTCCTGAAGGTTCCACCACCTTCCAATAAAGCTAACCTGGAGACTGAATCTTAGTACGTGGGCCTTGAGACACTTAAGATTCAAATTGTAGCACACTGGCACCCGGTTTTGTCTATCACCCACTCAGCTTTTCAGGAATATCTGGTTTTATCCTAGCTTAAGCCATCCGTTAGGTCCCTGAATAGAGGTATTCATCTCAGCATTATTGCTGCTTCCAGCACAACGTACGTAAGTGCTCTCATTCCACAAGTGGTTCTTTAAGGGGTTTGTCTTTAATGGGGTTAATTTTGTATTAGACATTGCCCTCATTTTGTGGAATTCAGAGAAATTCTCTACAGGCCTAGCTGGACTGTGAACTTCTTTAAGAGAAAGGACCTGTTTTATTTATCCTCAATGCTTAGCATGTGCCTAGTGGCATTTGATATTTGGTGTTCAAATGAATGAGCAGCCACACATTTTGGGTAGAGAAATAGCACTGCAGCCAAAGGACCTTGGCACTCAGGAGTGTGGCCTGCAAACAACAGCATCAGCAGCTTGTTAGGAAAAAACTCTAGCTTCCCTCCATCTAGAGTTACAGAATCAGACTCCACACTTACAGAATCCCTAGGTGATTATTGCACATATGAAAGTTTGAGAAGCACTGTCCTCAAAGATTGGCTGTTCTTTACATAGAATATTACATATTTGAATGTATTCCTCACTTGGCCTGGTCAAAGTGATCCTCTGCAAACACCCCATAAAAGAAAAGGCAGAATATTGGCAGTTGCTTGTGTAGTGTAGACAAGTCAGCTCACATGCTGCAGAAATGAAAGTGCTTAGTCTTGTTCTTAGGTAAGTGGCCCCTCTTAAGACACCTGTTTTCTTAAAAGGCTACATGGTATTGTGGTTAAGATCAGCCTGGAGCCCAACTCCTGGGGATAACCCTAAGCAAACAATTCACTTCTGCCTCAATGTCCTCCTCTGTAAAATGAGAACAATAATATTCATATTTGATTATATCAGCTAATCCTGTAAAGTGCTTAATGCAATACTAGGCACATTATAATTATTATGTAATAGTTTTAATCATTCATAGCATATATTATGTAATCATTTTCCATCAGTACTGCTCTTATCTGTCTTTAGATGGCGTAATAATGGCCCCCCAAAAAATGTCCTAATCCCCCAAACCTACGAATATGTGGTTTAAGATGGCAGGAGGAATTAAGGTTCCTAAAGAGATGACCTTAAAATATGGAGAGTGTGCTGGATTACACAGGTGGACCCACTGTAACCCTAAACCTCCATCAGCATGGGAGAGGGAAACAGGAGAGTGAAAGACTCAACCAGCCATCACTAGCTTGAAGATGGAAGGGGCCACCAGCCAAGGAATACAGACAGCTTTTAGAAGCTGGCAAGAAGGTGTGTTTTCTTGCAAAGCTTGTAGAAAGTAAAGCAGCCCAACCCACACCTATTTTTAGCTCATCAAGACTTGTAGTAAATTTGTATCCTAAACCACTAAGTTTGAGGTAATTGATCATAGTTGTGAACAGAAAACTAGTAAAACTCTACAGTCATTCTTTCTGGTAAATCTGTTCTGTAACCTTCACATCATCTCAGTGCTTGTCATCTCACAGCAAGATTAATAGAAGGCTAAAGGCCAGGCTGCCCATCAGTATTGCCCCTGGCTTTCCCAGAGCAAGTAATAAGCCCACAGCTTCTTTGGCAGCCTGAGCCTAACAGTCAAATAAGTGTGATTTTTAAAGGAAAGCCCCAGGGAAAAGGATACGAATTCCAAAGGCAAAAATTGAGATTGGTTTATGATTTACAAGGAGGTGGAGTTCTCAGTCATAGTACAGTCATAGTCTATCTCACATTGTCCCCTTCAGTGGAGAGTAGGTGAGGGGAAATAAGGAAAGTTGAGAGGTGTTAAGCATGCTTTGACTTCTCTCAGAAAGCCCCACCAAAGTACACAAATGTGCTTGTATTAGGCTGCCACAACAAAATCCCTCAGACTGGGTGGCTTCAACAGTAACAGTTTATTTCTCACAGTTCTGGAAGCTGGGAAATCCAAGATTGAGGTAGTGTTCATTCTGAGGCCCCTTCTCTTGGCTAGTAGGTGGCTGCCATCTTACATGTGCTCACATGACCACTTCTTTTTTGGCAGGGAAGGAGGGCTGGCACTGATGATTTTATAAGGATAGTAATCATCTGAGATCAGAGGCCCCACCTTTATAATCTCACTTTATGTCTTTATAAACCCCCTCTCCAAATCCAGTCACATTGGGAATTAGAGCTTCAGCATATGAATTCGGAGTTGAGGGGGCAATTCAGTCCATACAGTGATGACAGTGAAACCTAGGAGCCCATGTGTATGAAGCACTGTGTGCCCCATTGTGGGGGGCAGGTGATAGGGAAGATTCCCTTTGATGGCCATTGGATACCCCTCATCTCACTTCCTCATGGCTGTCCTTTGAGCTAGGAGGTCTTGCCCCATTTAACAGATCAGAAAATAGAGATTCCTTCAGGTTACATCACTTTCCTGAGGTTTCACAGCTATACCTGGATAGAAAACCCAGGTTCATTTCTCTCAGAGGCTTCCCCACTACCATAAATGGTTTTCCCTGCCAAAAGGGGGACATAGAAGAAATTTCATACTTGGTCATCTTCATGGCAGTTTTAATTGCCACTCTAGATTCTCCAGAGCCTATCTGCTCAGATGACAGAGCCAGTACTGCTTATGGTGTTCCAGTGAGGGGTTGTGTTTTATCATGATGACAGGCCTCCCAGAGGCTAAAAATGCAAAGGGATGGATATCCGGCTCACCTTTGGTAGTGTGATGTTGTGACCAGTATCTAATGGCAAAGGTTATGAGCCTATTGTACACAAGGCCACACAATTTTCAGTTAAGGTTGTAGAATGGCTGCTTTGGGTTTTGTGGCCTCTCACTCTCAAGGGACATAGTCATTGATCAGTCCTATGAAAAGGTTGGTAAGACCCTGGGTTGTCCTCTCATGGAGAGTCTGGCATGAGGGAGAAAGGCCAACAGGCACTCTGATTAGCATGGGTACTTGCTCTTCTGAGGGTGCCACCAGGCACTGTGGACACAGGGCCCCCTCCTCTTGCACTCCTAGCTGGAGATGATACCCTGTGTGGTCAAGTTTCTGCTATTTCTAAGCTTTGAATTACATCTCTAGCCATATCACCTAAATACATGCAGTCTTGTCTGAATTTTGAGTCTGCAGAG